ACTCCATCTTGGATTCAACGGGATTCGGCCCTGCAGGCATCATCGCAACATCCGAGTTGGCATCCGCAGCGGGCTTGACAAGGGCGCCGTAGGCGACTTGACCACCGCCTTTTTTTCCGTAATGGCCACCAAGACTGAGTTAACCTCGATTTGCCAAGAGGGGGGCTCACTTGCGGCACCCACTTCTGCTTCGGTTTCCCCTTTCACAGCCTTCACCTTGAAAACCTTGACTTGCCATGACCAATCATGCAGCATTTTCTGAATCGTCGTCGCTGTGGAGTCGAAAGGCAGTCCTTTGATGACGAAGCGTCGCGTGACCTGCACTTCCCAACCTTCGCGCAATGTGTAATTCGGGTTTACCTCGGTTAGCAGCGTCTGCAGTGCATCCTTCGTTGTTGCAAGACCCAAGCGGTTCTTCACACAAATCAGACCATGCGTAACGGATTCATTGCGCTGCTGCAACAGACGAGCCTCATGGAGCTCAATGCTTTTGGGAAGCCAGGCGATGTATTCATCTAAGGCCTCCTCACGCTTTCTCGTAGCAAAGACACCTTTGGCACTACATGTTTTCCGCAACGCTTTGAAAGAATCTGCATTCATGCGGACCGTGACTTGGAAAGCAGTGGCATCCATGCGGGCTTTCGGCAACCAGCGGCGAGAGTAAAAGGTATCTGGCTTTGCACTGTCCGAAAAGATATGCTCAAGTAGGGTGCGCACAGGGGCATCCCACAGCTGATTCCAAACATCCACTGGCATGTGAGATTTAGCTGCCAGCAGAATCACTTCAAAGCCTGCGGGGCGCTCCATGCTGAGCTGCGGTCCCTTGCACCGTTGCACCTTGACATCCCCTAGCTGAACCATAAAACCTTTCACCCGATGCACCTGTCCACCCTTGTCCTCTCCCAGGAAGAAAAGCTCTTCGACTGGCCATTTGACCTTAGGGGGGTCATGACACAAGATAAGGACAGCAAGGGGGTTGAGGGTCCAGCTTTTGGTGGCTGTCCCAAGCAAGGCACAGGCAGTGGCCTCGTCAAGTGCACAAACCCCTGAGGCAGATGGCTTAACCGCATCTGGAGTTAAGATCGTCATTTCACGCGCCGACTCGTCAACCCAATCACCCTTACGGAGGCACACTTCTACAACCTTGCGGTGATGAGTTGTGGTAGCATTACCACTGCTGCTGCGCAAGTTCTGAGGAACCGATGCTTGTGTCCAAGGGTCAGAGTGGAGCCAAGGATCTTCAACCGACACTGCTTTTCTTCGCTGCTTCGTATCCGCATGATGTTGCTGAGCCTCCTCCGTTGTGAGAAGACGGAATGCGGCACAATTTGCTGCGGCCTTCAACTTGGCCCATCTATCCTTAGGGTTTTCAGTCTGCATAGCGTCTTCCAACACAGAATCGCTGACAACTTGCCTCAGTGCCTGCACACGTGCTTTGCAAGCATCTGTCGGAACTCCATGGTCAATGAGTTCCTTCTCTAAGTTGGCAGACAAACCTACACTTGCAGGGCCATTCCCGAAGAGAGCGTGCAACAGTTGATTGCGAGTGGCGGCCAGGAATTCAAGGAATCCCTCCACACCACTACCAAGCAACACGTTAGAGAAGGCACTGGCGACAGAACGACACTTGCAAGCCCACGCATGAACATCTTGCACACCTAACACAGGCGCTCCAGTTTTAGCCGAGTTACCACCGACAGGCAACACTGACACCCAGCTAAACCCACTAAAAAGAGCACTACAACAGCAAACCGAAGGGAGAACTTCAGCTGCCAAGGCCACGGAGCTGAACACTATGTGAGTCTTCTGCTGAGAGCACGGGGACGACTGGCACGAACTCACTGCCCCGCTAATCCACTCCCTGTCCTGGGATGTTCTTGAATCCTTCATGAAAGCCTCTTCAAATAATCGCAGCCGAGGAGTTGGCTGAACCCCTCTCCATCGAAAAGGCGTGGGCATCGTCGATGGAACAGGCGTGAGAACGATAGATTCCACCTAAATTGCGCATCAGGTTGTCATTTGGAGTTTTCTGCTGTCGTTCTACATTGCATCGCCTCTCCTCGCGTACAATGCACCTTGGCAGTTCCGAGAAATACTACAGTAGTTGCTGGAAGCAGTGAATGTAGGGTGTCGTAGTCTGCCTAATTTGGCCATGCTGTTCGTCTGGAATTCAACCGTTAAGCCGAGGTTCTGTCAGCTTTCGCAATCGACGTCTATCAGAACATTGAGAGTAGCGCTTGAGCCTGGGATCATCTGTTCTTGTCTCATCCCTTCAAGCTTTGCCATGCTTTGCCACAGCCGCAGGTCTCCCAGGAGGAGGACTCATCTTGCTTGCGACTCCAAGCAACGTCGGTGCAGTCTTCTTCCCGCTCAAACAGGGGGCTCAAACTGTCCCCTTACACCGCCAACCTGTGCCTCTGCAGGAACACGGGCGAGCCGAATGCGAGGTCGAACGGAACCTGTTGAAAATCCAGGCGCCAGGGTTCTGCTGGTGCTTTGTCCCCACCTGTGGCCGGGCGAAACAGTTTGGCTTGTGAGTGTATGAGATGTATGAGACTATGAGAATATGTGATAAGATGTGATGCTACTATGACATACTATGACATCTTCATCGTACAGCGAAATCGATGGCAGGCGGAGCTAGCCGAGGACGGCTGGGTGCTGCACATTCAGGACATTTGCCTGTAGTGCGGCGTAAATGGTTGTGGGTGCGGTTGGTGGCTTTCTATACTCGGCCTGTCCAGCTTGGTCAACCTACAGTTCAAAGTTGGCCACCATCCCACAGTGTCGAGCACTGTTGAGCCTTGGGAGCGTTTGATTTCGATCTTGCGGCCACGACCCATCGCCTCTGTTATGTCCAGTGCGGGTGAATGCTTGTTTGCATAGCTACGAATCAGTGATGCCGAGCATCCGATTTGCGGTCACTTCTCGGACGCCTCGTCTGTGCTTACGTCCGCGAGCCCTGTGATTGCAGGAGTCTGCTGATCTCGCGAAGCTCCGCGTGCATTCGTCTTTATTCAACGTGGACTAAGCGTTGCAGGCCGCAGAGCATGACATTGGCGTTGGAGCTCCTAGGTTCCAGGCTGAGGCAGCGTGGGAGCCTTGAAGCCTTGCTCAGCCACGGTCCGGTAGAGCTGCATGGAGCTGCCAGTTGCCAGCTCTGTTTCTCCAACTTGGATGCTGCTGGATGCAGGTCTACCTGGGCAGAGTGGCGGAGCTAAGGCTGCCGTAGACCCACGGTCAATGCAAGTTCTTACGTCAGAAGTCGGGCCGGTGTGAACTTGTAGGGACGAGATGCAGTGGAACTCCGACGCGAGACTTCTGATGGTAAACGGACCAAAAGGCACAGGGCTTGCAGCCCTGATGGCGGAAATGCAGAACACCCAGAAGCCTTTACTTGCTTACCCCTTGCGTCGCAAGTGGAGCATTCCGTCTTCAGGAGGGTTGCCCCGTCCAGCCAAATGGCTTCAAAACGGACCAGACTGGAAATCGCGAAGCCACCAGCCAGCTGCTGCACATGATGACGTGCATCGAAATTCGCCATTGATCTTCGGCCATTCGGCTCAAGCAATGTGGCCGCTGGGAGAGAAGCTCATCTATCGAGGCCATTGCCATTGCAAGCACAGTCGGGTCAGTACCAATACTTCGGAAGTTCTGCATTCGGCGTGAGTCTGTTTGCTGCTCGAGTGTGTCCCAGCTGTTGAGATCTTCGCTTGCTTGAGCTTGCGGTGTCAGGCTGAGCCTGCATAGTGAGCTTAAGAGGCAGGTCTGCGCATGTCTGCCTTTTGCACCACATGAATTCAGCGCATCTTGACGAAGCCCTTTGCATGCCCCTTGCAGCCCACACATTTCGGACAGTGCTAGCTGCCAGCTTCAGGCATCTCACCTTGCTTTACCTTCTCTGTGGTTCGAAATCAGGTCAGCCGATCAAGTAGATACATCATATGCATGCAAGTGTCAAGATAACCCAACATTCCGACATGAAGAGTCACTGGTTTGGCGATTCCGCTGCATTGTCGGTATATAGACTACGGGCGAAGCAGGTTACTGTACCTTGAGCTCCGTGCAAAGACCATTCAAGTTGACACCCTTCGCCTTCACATTTCGTCCGGGTCCGAGTCTGGTGCGAAAGCTGTGGAGAGAAGCTGAGAGCAAAGCACTTCGCACCCCAAGGCCGTCATGACTCGATCCACCCCTGGGGATTGAAACTCAGTTCTCTCGTGATCCAGGGATCTGTGGTGCTCAGTCAGAGCTTTTGCCGTGAGGCGATCTTGCTGAGCTTGCCTGAGTGCCTTTTGGGGCTCCTCCAGCTGTTGGACGCACAGGTCGGCAACAGAAGCTACGCTGCCACAGTTTCACCCGCTGCCTGCTTCAACCTGGTAGCAGGGACTTGCACAGCTTCGCCGCTGCGCACACGTGGGCTCGGGGCCTGTGACAGATCTCACGGCTCACGCAGACTCGCGGAGGTTGTAAGTCCAAACAGACGTGACATGGCATCTGAATGCCCATGTTCTGCGGGCTGTTATGGACAGGCAAGTCTACGTGACATTTATCCCAGAGGCCTCGCAGGTCACCCGTGTCCCGTGTATCCCGCACAATACACAGATCCCCGCGTTGGCACAAGTTGACTGGTCCCACCTCCGATCAACCTGAGCTCCCAACAGCCCAGGCTGCCATGGGTCAGCGCTTGCACACGCCGCACGGGTTTCGATCCCAGCGACTCGCAGTTTGTCGGCCTAGCAACGGCAGTCAGCGACGCCCGCAGCATTTTTGCCTGGCTTTAGCCACTTTTTCCGCTCCTCTGGAGGAGGAGCCGTCCAGGTATGAAAAGATGCCATCACCACTCGCCTAATTTGCAATGGCCGACACGTGCGACTTGGGAGATGTAGCGACACTTGAACACACCTAAGATGACCAAAAGCAAGGGTAGAGTGCGCAACCTTCGCAGTTCGCCGACTAAGAGGTATCTCTAAAGGAGGACACTCAGAAAGCTGCCCATCATGTTGGGGATCCCTGGTCTCGCTGGCGCCGGGGCAAAGGCGGCCTCGCCGGTGATGACATTCTCCAGTGCCAATGAGATCGTCGAGACCTGGGCTTTAAATGCAGAGTCTCTTTTCGTTTAACGTGTATGTTCCCCGGGTCGAAGGGTTTGCGGCAAACGCAACAATGCCACAGGACCCGACAGACAGTTAGAGACAACAGAGACAACGGCTTCTTGAAGGTGCGCAGTTTCGCGAAGCCAGAGGTGACAGCATGCTATGGCAAGCAATTTGCCCTGCAAGCATCGAAAGCTGAACAGGCCACAAATCTGCCCACCCCCGCTTCAACTAAATCTGACCATCTCTACTTCAACCATCTTGATTCGGATGTTCTTAAGAATCGTGTTCTGCAGTTGGCAAGGATTCCATCGTTCTGGAAGAGCCCGCGGAGCTACCGCCGTTCTTCGAAAGACCTGCGCACACCTCAGAGCTCTGCCGCTCTGCAGGTGGCTGCAACCTCTCAGTTCCTGGACCCTGCAAGGTGGCGCAGACATCACATTGGCTGCATACCCCTGACTCGCCTGTCACGCAGTCCACGGAATCCCGGCTGGACTCGCAGGGTTTGATTTCACAGCAAGCCCCCGCAGCTGATAGCAACAGGGTGCCCCTTGCTCCTGAGGAACTTCCCCACAGCCTGGTGGTGATGAAGTTCGGCGGCACTTCCCTGGCGAGCGCTTCGCACCTGCTGCGATGTGCAAACATCGTGCGGCAGGTCCCCTGGCGAGCACAAGCCGCACGGGTGCGTGTAGATGTCGTCGTGACCTGGTCGGAGAACGATAGCTAATAGGCCATTTATCTTGCGGCCAGCATTCCTCACCTTGACAGACCGGCTCGTTACGGAACCGAACACCCGTCCGAACGCCCTAGCAAAGAATCTGCACTGGCTCATAAATGGATCAGGGATGCCTCCACAGTGAGATACCTTGGTTGCTACTGTGAGGGCAGCTCTTCGCAGGCTCTGCCGGAGAGACCGGTGGTGGTAGCAAGCGCCATGGGCAAGACCACCAACGCACTCCTTCACGCCTCGACGTTGGCCTTGGAGACCGGTGAGGTGGATATCTCTGCGATACGGACCGATCTACGCTGAGTTTTGCTGGATGTGGTGCTGTGTGATTCATGAGTACAACTCTCGATAGGACTATCCACGAGACGGCATTGAAAGAACTTGGGCAGCTTGACAGAGTTTACGATGGCTTGGGCATGACTCTTTCGACATAGGGCCGGGGTGCCTTGTGGTCTGCCCAGGGTGGAGATGCCGACATCAATTTCAGAGCTTCTCAACGAGCTTGAAAAGGTTCTCAGCGGCGTGGCCCTCCTGAAGGCTTCCGACAGGGCTGGAGAGTGTTCTAAGTGCAAAATCGCTCACTTCTGGTGCTCTTTGCAGGAGATCTCCATGCAGACGCGTGATCGAATTGTCTCTTTTGGAGAGCGCCTCAGCGTTCGAACCTTTGCAGAGGCCTTCAATTCCTCAAGGAAAGATCCACAGGACGGATGTCAAGACATAGTGTGGGTCAATGTCCCTGATCACAAGAAAAAGCAGCGATGCAGCTGTTACTCGTTTCAGTTGAGAGCTCCCAGCCTTTGTAATTTTATTCGAGGAGCCGGAGGCTCGGGCCTTGGATGCCTGGCAAGTGGGCATGAAGACCACCAGCGGCTCCGGCAGTGCCGACTCCGCCTTCTCTTCCGTGGAGATCCTCCAGGAGTCTTACCCAGTCCCTCAGAAGGCAATAGCGGGCAGCAGGCGTCTGGTGTTGAGTTGCAATCGCCAGAGGCCATCAAGCACCACCTCGGGCCACTGAAGCTTGCGTATTCCTTCGTGCCAATTGTCACGGGCTACATTGCCAAGGCCGGCTGGGCACTAGGCAGGCTCTGTGTACTTTCGGTGTACTCTTCGAGTGACAGGACGCCCGTGGTGTCATCACTACCTTGGGCCGGGACGGCTCGGACCTCACCGCCACCGTGATCGGAGCCGCCGTGAAGGCCTCGGAAGTGCAGATTTGGAAAGACGTCAGCGGCGTGCAGACCACGGATCCCCGAGTGATCGCAGCGGCGAAACCCGTGGCCTGGTCTGCAGAGCACAGGAGTCAATCGTGAGAGTTTTTTCTGTACTTCTCCGAAGAGAGAGGGTGCTCGGCGCTCGAAGTTCCCGCGAGGTGCAGGTTCTTACCTTCGAGGAGGCAGCGGAGCTGTCGACTTTCGGCTCCAAGGTGGTGCACCCAGCGGCCGTGCTGCCGGCCTGGAGCGCTGGTGTCCCAATGAGCGTCAAAAACTCCATGGCCCCGGAGCTCCCAGGCACAGCCGGGCCGGGGGAGATTCACGCTCACCGTGGTTTTACCGTGGTTGATTCTGGACGGAGGTTTAATTATTCAACAAGCCGATGCGGCTTGCGATTCGGTTGGGTCCACAGTGCATGCAGGATGCCAGCAACCGAAGTTGTGTGAATCCAAAAAGCCGTGTTGGCACCACCATAAAGGTAATTTCTCGAAGCTCTTGAGTACAGCTCACTCGTGCCGTCGACATTGAAAATGCTGTTGTTGGTGGCGGTGGTGGCGGTCCTGTTGTTGGTGGGAATGCTAGTGAAGTCAGTGAAGTGCTGCTGGTTTCCATACTGATCGTTGCTGTTGGTGCTAGCTGCGGTGCCTTTTCCGCCGGAATTCTTTTGCTGGTAGTGTTGCTGGTGCCGTGGCGGTTGCGGTGGCAGCGAATGCTGCTAGCATTCTTACTGGAATGCTCTTTGCTCTAGGTGAAAACTATGACTAGGAACTACTCATCAGGCACCAGAATAGTGCCGGAGCTGGGCGGCAAAGACGTCCGAGAGGGCCGAGTGGCGGCCATCAGCAGCAAGAAGAACATCACCATGATCGCTTCTTGGTCAAAGGCTCTACCTGTTTACCATGGCGAACTTGTGAATGGATTGGCTGGTCTGATGGCTGAGGTAATCAAAAGCAGCTGCAAGCTCAGTATCCAGAACGCCAGGTTCTATCAGTCAAGTCATGGAGTCATGGTTTGAAAGGCCGAATGCTTGGACAGCATGGCTTCCTGGCGCATGTCTTCCAAGTCTTCAATAAGTTTGCTGCCTCCGTGGACGTCATTGCCACGTCGGAAGTGACTGTGTCACTAACCTTGGATGAAGGCCTGCGAATCCGGACAGCCAGCTTTGTATTCACGCGCCGAGCGCCTTTCTATGCCTTCTTCTTTTGAAAGTCTGCCTGCAAGCAGGCTACAAGAGTGTGGACCTCAGTGCGATCGAAGACGAGCTCAAGGAAGTGGCAAAGGTATCTGATGCTGCGTAAGCGGTTGATAGGAACAGAGGAGAGCTCGCTTTTTCCGAAAGCCCATGCTTTTCGGCAGGTGTCGGTGCTGCACGACATGTCCATGCTGACGCTCATCACGCACAAGGAGGACTCTGTCACCGTGCTCAAGGAGTCTTGCGCTGCCTTCGAGGAGAGTTCAGCAGCTGTTTGTCAGTTTATCCATGTCTTTTCGCAACTTGGTGGTTGCGCTCTTCACATTGGCTTCAGGAGCTTGGAATCAGCGTGGCTTGGCTGCGTTGAGTGTTTCACAGGCGAAGCGTTCTTGGCCAAGCCCGTGCAATCTAAGTTGGAGATGGTCTCGCATGGAGCCTCGAATGTCAACGTCACGTTCGTGGTGCCTGGAGACCAGTTGCTCATGGCCTCGCAGCGACTGCATAAGGTCTTCTTCGAGAAGGCAGCGACGCACGAACCATGAATGAAGATTTTGTTTCGTAGTTCCATCGGGGATGGCTGCCACAGCTAAGATTCCAGCAAAGCTTTGCCAGAAGCGGGGTTGTCTTTTCCTCAATTGGATCAAGCCATCTTGGCTTCCCTGCATGTGTCAAATCCGGCCTGTTGGAAGCGAGAGTGCAGGATGGATGAGACGCTCACGGCTGCGCAGCCGCTTCGGAGAACCTGCTTGCCTCGCGAGCCCTGTGTTATCCCGGCCCTTTTAATGCACCTCCAGGACCGAATCTGTCCTGTATGGCCAGTGCGGCCGCGGTCGTGTACACACTTCTCTTGTTCCGGACTTTTGTTGTAAAGTTTCTGGTAGGGCTGGTAGGGTGTGAAACACCGTCGCAGCGCAAATTGAGCCATATCTGTCCAAAGCCCGACTCTTGCCGGTCTGCGCTTGAAAAGCTGCTTGCACTCTGCTTCGTCCCGCAGGTGGAAAGTCAGTAAACAGGCAGGCGTGTGCGGCCTCACAAGCTTGTTAAAAGTTTTGGAGCTTCAGCACCGGCATCCATCATCTACTCTTGGTTCTAAGGTTGTATGCGTCTACTAGACATGAAAATCTCGAGCAAATCACATCTGTTGCAGAAAGCCCTGCCCACGGCCTTCTCTCTCGGCTATTCAAGGTGGCGGAGCTTCGGGCCGCGATTCTGGAACAGCTCCGGGCAACGAAGCCTCGGGCTCAGGTGCGAAGCGTTTGTCCTGTCGGATGTTGCCCTTTGGTGGTGGCCGCCAAGCGGCCTGGCATGTGTTTGACTCAAGTGTCTTGCTCATGCTCAATGAGAGTGACTGGAGGTAGGCACCCGCAAGCAGAGAAATCGGCAGAAACAATTGCCCCAGGTTCCCCTTCGTCCACGCTGCCTATGTGCTGGGCTTAAACGGGCCTCAGCCTCGGCAGCAGGGCATTGCCGAAGCTTAGACAGGTGGTTTTCTGTGGCCAGATGGTGTCTTTGAGACGAGCAGAAGTGGGCTGATACTGAGTATAGTATTGGCACTACTTAAGGCCGCCTTATTCAACACTGTGGCAAGAAGATCACAAAAGAGACGTCCTACTTGATGTGCGTGGGTGTCGAAGCATCATTGGACATATTGGCTGGGGATCTATGCTGCCGTCAGCAAATGTTTGCAGGGATTGTGTTTGAGCTGATCAGGTCCCACTACAGTTTGGACACTGCCACAGACAGGCGGTAGAAATCGGTGAAGACGGGCCCAAAGAAGCTAGCATCGTCTCCGCCCGTGCCAGGCACTACGGCATTCCTCTCCGCTTGCCAAGGCCATGTGCACTGAAAATGTCTTGACCGTATTAGGCGCGGCCTCTCCCCTTCTCCAGGTTGCTTTGCGAGCTCTTCCGCCTGGAGGTGCCCAACACCGTCAAACCCTCGATTTCCAAACTTGAGGGCTTTCTCAAACTTTGCGCGTGCGGAGCCTCGCCAAGGATTTCACAACGATCCGCATTCAGAAGTTTGCATCCTCGGTGGCTTGGCAACAGCTTCAAACTCAAGGTCTGGCGGATGTGTCGTGCAATGGGCCCGATCAGGTGAACTTCAACGGCACCCACCGTACCCTCCCGGTGCCATGTGCCCAGAAGCCTGCGCGTTCATGCTGAATTTCCAGTCGATAAAGTCAGCAAAGTGAAGCACTCATTTCTTCCATGTTCTATGCACGGCTTGTACGACCATGCAAGGAATCTGCACACGCCGTTCTTCCCGGAAGCAGAGGTTTGGGGCTTGGAAACGTGACTCCCGAAAGCTTTCAACTTTCAATGCCTTAGAGCCAGGATGGCTCTTCGAGTCCTGAGCCTCATGTGGAGGATGCCCAATGTAGCTCAGGCTGGGGTTCTTCTGTTGCTTTCTCGCTTGGACTTGCCATCGTCCAGGTGTTCCAGCATCAGCTCTCTGTTCTGGACCCAAATCGCACATAGGGATTCCTTGCTTGGTGCGTGTGTCTACCAAGGTCTGACGGAAGGCTGCAAAGGCCGGCTTTGGCTGCTCACTCTGGTCCTTTGCTCGCAGCTGGATGAGAGGTGGCCGTGGCGAGCTGTGCGAGAACCTGGAAGGAGACGAGGTCGGAAGCAGATCAAAGATGGCCCCCCAGAAGCACGTTGGCTGAGGGCCGTCGTTGGCGTCGCTTCGTGCAGCCGGCCGCTGGGCTCGGCTCTTGGCCCCTGCGAGTGCACGACCACTGACCACTCGCTCTCGCGATCTCTGCGAGCAGGTCGAGCGCGCCACGCTGGATCCAGTTCCCGATGGACCGAAAATCTAGGTCTAGGTGACTCTCTGCGAGAAGGGACCGCGCGCTTGTCCCGTTGTTTTTTGCCCAAGAGCAAGGACACATGGCTTCGATGGTATTGGCCCACTTCCGGTGATTACTTCGCTGGAGTGCCAAGTGAGGGTTTTCGGCGGCTGCCCGTGTTGGGGGTTGCAGACTCCAGCAGGTCATCATTGCTACCTGCGAACCGTCAGACTTCATTCGAGCCTCGGAAGCACTTGGGTATTCTGAACTGGATGATGAACATGCCAGCATTGTGCTTGATTGGTGGCACAGCCCGGAAGCACAGAACCAGAGCAGTTGCAGATGATCTGCCCTGACTGCCCCGACTCCCAATGCAGTGCAAGGTGGGCTACGCGCACGCCAGCGTCGCCAGCATTTCGTCTGCAAAATCTCTTCCGTGAGGAGCTTTAGGTTTCGCACTACGAGCAGCCCCCACTTTATACTACAGTCAATACACCTTGACCGTCTATCATCGACTTAGGATGCTGAAGATTGGATTCCGGCTGCCGGAGCCATGGAACATTCTCGAAAAGGACAGCTGTCTTGCCGTTCAATTGCTTGCCTGACTGATCTGCTGCTCTCGGCACTGCTTCCACCTCACTTCTCCGGCAGTGTTGATATCATCGCACTGCTTGGGTTTGAGGAGGATGGAGAAGACGACGAGGGTCACGACAAGGTTCAGGAAGGCGCGTAAGCCCAGTCTGAGCTGTGTCGAAGCGGCCGAAGTCCTGCCGTGACGACTGGAGGCGAGCGTCGGAGCCCGCGCCGCTTGAGCAGTGCGCGAGTGGTGGCTGCGAAGAGGCGTGGCCGCTGCCGATTCGCAATGCACCTCTGTGAGGGCGTTCATGACCTGACTCCTGGAGATTTGGAGGCTTCTTGGCCTTCAAGGTGTGGCAGTCCCAACTCTTCAGGCCTCACCGGCCATGTTCAAGGAGTGGCGTGCGCACACGGGAAAAATGAAAATGCTGCGAGGAGATCGAGGAAGCCTACAACCGCGCGGTGAGGGCAACAGAGAATGGGGCGGGACACCTGGGCTCTCTCTCTCCCTCTGAGACTGTTCCTGCACTTGTTTGCGGTTTTTGGCGGAGGCTGAACGAAGCGAGACGAGAGAGGCACACGGCCTCGCCCCGCTGAAGAGGCTAGTTGGACACCCACTTCCAAGCAGCCAGGGGAATCGATGTGGACGATTTGGTTGGGATGCTGCCAGGATCTTAACACAGGTTCGTGTCTTTGATCATGTGGGAAGGCAGGAAGCAGAGTGATTTGATTCGACAACTTGCTCGACCGCTACCTTTGAGGCGCAGCTTTCCTGGGCGAGTCGGGTGCTGCGTGATGCGCTGGACCCGGTCTCGCCGAATTGATACATCGGCGAGCCAGTGCTCGAAGCCGGTGAGGACGGAGACGAAGAGAGGCTGCGCCGAACGCTCTCCTGAGGCTCAACACGCTGCCCAGGAAGCCTCCGCGCAAGGCTCCGACACTTCTGATTTGTTGCAAGAGCCCGTCTTCGCCATGCAATGCCATGCAATGTTCGAGCTGGACTTGACAGTGCATATTTGGATAACGCCCGAACGCGCGGCGAAGTGTATTTTTCATGGAGGTGATTTGGATTGCGTGGCATTGAGCATGGTGGGTTTTCGTGCGTCGGTTGGCCCGTGGGATTTCGTCGGTTTGATTTCATGTTAGAATCGGCAATTTAACTCCTTTATCGCACGGGACAGGGCTGGCCTGAGTCGCCCCGCATCGTAAAATTGCGCTGCACATGTGGTCCCGCGACGATTCGTCGTCTGATTTGGCAATCCTCGCCTGATGCCAACGTGTTCTGTCGCGCGAACTGGTGCTGTGACGATTCGTGTTCCGAGTTGACAACCGGCCGCTGCACGCTGCGAGTACGCGTCCTCCGGTAAGCACGATCCATTGCGAATTCCAATACATGGGTCTCATGTTGGTCTCTAGTTGTCAACCCATGACACCCTCTCGGCCTCCCACAAGTGCATGGGGGAGGCAGTCTAGCCGCTACTCTAGCCGTGCTCCTGAATCCCACCTGAATTCCGCCAGTATTTGGGGGAAGCATGTTCCGTGTGTCTCCGCAGTTCATGGGCATGAATGAGAGCATTTTATTTGCATTTTATAGTCGCGCTCTTGAATCACACCAGTACACGGGGGAAGCATCTGCTTTGAAGAGGGGTTTCTCTAGTAACAGAAGCACGCTTTTGGTGCTCCCGCTCTTTGGCTTGATTTGCGCTCAAGAGGCATTGCTGGGCTACGACCGTCTGGGAGTCAACTCAAGTACCCTGCAGGAAACAAGTAGAGCTTGTCAGTGCCGTGTGCACTCTGAAGGAACCGTTCCTCACTGGATGGAGGACCGGACAAAATTGCATACGTGCATGCATTTTGCTCCGCTCGTAGGCACGCGCGTTTGCAGGAGCACGTCTCCGAGGAGCCCATCGCCATCGCCTCGCGGTCCCTCCTGCCTCTGCCAGCTCCCGGAGCCTGAGGCCTCGGCGTAGCCACCAAAAGACGACCTGTGTTCTGGAAAGATGGCCTCGGGTCTGCACAGGTCGTCATCTCTGAGCGGCAGACAGGATTTCTTGGCCTTCGTTGCGCCGCACGGCATGCAAGCAAGGAGAACAACAGCATCAGCACCAGTTGCTGCGCATGCCCTCTGCGATGCACCAATGCCAAGCTTGCCATATGAATCCATGTACAAACGGATCTTCCGCTTCCATGCCAGTCCATGCCTTCAGACGTTGACACTTCTCGACTGCATGACCGGTTTCTGGTCGCCTCGCCAACTGCAAGATATGCCAGTAGACTAGGAGACCTCGGAGCAAGCAGGACCTGCGGTGTGGAAGTTAAATTTGCATGGACATGCGTCCATGCAGTGGCCCAGTCGGGTCAAATGCTCTAGATGGGTTTTTGGGGAAGGCACACGTGCAGCTTGCGGTCTCCCCCGCTACCGGGCTTGATGAAGGATTCTAGGCCAAGGTACTCTATGAGAGTCTTTGAGGAGGAGCTGGGTCTTCGGGTGAGTCTGCGCAAATGTTTCGGCCTCTTGGGAGAATGCCCGTGTTCCGTAGCTCGTGCTGCACCATTTGGAATTCATCATGGTGAAACTCATGGTGTAGAGTCTCGAGCTCCCAATAGATCCGGTGTACTTCAAGACGGGCACTTCCAAAGCCTTCATTCTGCAATGGTCTGACTGGTTCTGATTGCTCCTATGGCCTAGACCTAGACTAACTTGCGAAGCTGGTTCAATATCACCTCCGCGAGTCGGCTGCACCTGCCAATACACTGCCTCAGAAGGAGCTGTTGGAACCATCCCGCCATCCCGGCCTGCTGTTGCATCGGGCAGCCGAACGGACAGAATACCTGCCCACCGGACACGAACTGCTTCATGCGTCGCTCGACCGCCTGGGCTCTCGCATTGTCGCACTCGCACCTCGGAGCCGCCGCGAAGCGGCTGTGCCGGAGCATGCGCCTCGTTGCAAGGAGCGAGGGTAGATGCCACGGTTTGGAGCAAATCTCTTGAGCCCGGGCGATTGAGTGTCCCTTCACATGGCGGCCGCTGCCCACGAGCTTGTGGCGGCTGGATGCGGGCATAGCAACACGCGTACACACGCATGCCCCATGCCCTATGACGCAGCACGGAGGCTTGGGCAAGGTGGCCAGCTCCCGGCTGCGGTCGAGACCCTAATGGTGGCTAAAACTTCTTCGGATACATGGTACGAGTAAGAGCGGTGTCGGGACACCTTGTGCATATACCTTGCTTTGGGCTTTCTTCTTTAGGCATGTAGTCATGGCATCTTGATTGTGTCGGCTCCCTCAGAGATCCAAGCTTCTTCAGGCAGAATGTCTACATCCCCGCACAGTGTCCCGTAGTGAAGTCGCAAGGCCACCTTGTTCGAATCCTGCGCTGCGACACAGCCGTCAATATGATTTGATTGATTATTTGGTGCTCGTATGATGTCGGGGTCTCACGGGAGCGTGCCTGGTGGCTTCTGAAGAGCGCAATCGCCAACAGATGCAGGCCCTTCACCAAGGCAAACTTCCTGTGGGCACCTGCAGAAATTTTGAGTAGTTTAATTTACAGCTGGCTTGGCTTGGGCTCGGCTGGCCGAGAAGCGAAAGTCTGAGCATCACTCGAGGAGCCCGCTTCGCCCAAAGCTGCCCAGCTTGCCTGTAGCTTGCATGTGCTACGCAAGGTTCCCTTTTAAATCTGAGCTGCGCGTGGTTTGGGCAGTGCACCCAAAGCCTTCCAGTGCTTGCGCCCAAGCACTGCTGTCAAAGGTAGCTTCAGCAGTGCGATGCTATGAAAAGGACCCATACTACCCATACATCTCGGCCAGGACGTCTCAGCCATGGATCATGACATGTTTTTCTGCAGGTCTCTGAAATCCACACCACGTCTTGCACAGCTTCTTAGATGCAGAGGCTCCCAAGCCAGCCGGTCCCGGCGTTTTCGGGGCAGCTGGGTCGGCGCCACAATCCAGGACAGAGCGCTTCTGAGGCTAAACGCCTGCCTCAGGGTTCAGACGGAGATGAGAAAAGCTAGTTCATCTCGACTTGAGCACCGCCGGCATTGCAGCAAATTCAGTTGTCAGCGCAGGAACATGGAGTTGTGCCTGTTAAATGCAGAGAATGTCCCGGATGGGTGGTGACCTAAGTTCTGCAAGTGGCGCAATTTCGGTCTTGTGAAACGCTGATTGGTGAGGTGCCTTCTTTCCGTTAGCGCGGGTGGTTCGCGCAGACAGGCGGCCGAGGGCAAAGAATCCGCTGCTCTCGAAGTCAAGCCTGAATGCCCTTTTGGTTGTAATTCCTCAGGGGAGACCCCAAATCAACTGAGACGGCCTACCAACAGCCTTAGAAATAGTTCTCGTTCTAGTATCAGTACTCGTACTACTGCTGCTACTACCAGTACTACTACTCCTACTGCTACTGTTACTGCTGCCAACAAGACGACAGAAGACGACTTATCACAGTCATGATTGTCGTCATCGTCACCATCACCATAGCAGTTCTCGTGATGGCCCTAGTCTCGGTGGCGTCGAGGCAGCCTTGGCACCGAAGCAGAAGTTCGCGTTTTCCAACTCTTCCACCGCCGCGGCAGTGGCCGCCGGGGGCACCGGTCTGAAGGCCTGCGCTTGAAACGAGCGCACCAAAAGGACTCTCACTCTATAAATAATTGATCCTTGCAGAGAAGCCTCGCTCAGGTGGACCTCCTTTCGGTACAGGGCCGGGCCTGCTGGGCTCTCATCTCCCCAGGGCTTTCTTCTCAGAGCAGGGCTCTGAGGCTCTAAGCTCCGAGGCATTGCCAGCTCGGAGCTACTGCCTGGGCTGCAAAAGGTGCAATGCTGCACGTTGTATGCCAGAGATGCTAAGCCGGGCATTGCTTCCAGGCCTTTGGTGCCGGGACCGCTGGTGAAGGCGAGCGAAGTCGTCATAGGGCGCAATCCTGAATCACGTCGACTGAAGCTGTGTGAGAGGCGCTACCGGGCACCAAATCGAGGCCACAACCCAAGCCCTTGAACCTCAAGCGCTTCTTTGGTCTTCTTGTGACTGCCGCCGGTCCGAAGGATATCCAGAATCCCGCTCAGGTCATAGTGGCCCCGCCCGGGCAGGAAGCAGGCGAAGAGGAGGGCGTCGCACGTTGTGCACTACTTGAGTAGGTTCTGGTATCGATGCTCAACCTTCTCTAGGAGCTCACAATGAAGCTGAACTTCAACATCAAGCCCGACACATAGACACACATCTGGAGTCTAGAGTCCAACAGCGTGAACATTGATGTCACCGCGCCACTGGGGAAGACAGAGACAGCAAATGGTTTCGCAACAAAGGCCTGCCTCAAAGGACCGGGACGGGGCGGAGACTTCCCGCCTAGCCTCAAGTGTGCTTCTTAAAGCTGAAACCCGCACGAGTTCCAAGTGGTCCCAAGGGCCCCCGACTGAGCCAAACCGACCGAGGTATAAACACAGCGCGGACTGACCTGGAGGAGCTCCGACGAGAGCTGAGATTTAAGCGCCTCGTAGCGGCTCGTAGGAGCGAAGCTTCGCTCCTGCGACGGATCTTCTGAAGCAGTCCAACCTCTTGGACCCACTTTGCTGCAGCCGTCGCAGCTGTCGATATCTGTCGATCGCGGATGTCGCAACCGAATCGAGAAGAGGACCGGAATGCAGCCACGCTGGGCCCGGCGGTCGGCCCGAAAGCGCAACCGAGTCGGGAGCTAAGAGCTGAGGGGCCAGGAGGTACCGGCGACCTTGTGAAGCGCCGTGGCTTCAAAGCCACGAGTGCCGAGGCCCTCAGAGATCTTCGAGGCGGCATCATGCTGCTCTCCAGGCGCATGCCCCAAACAGGTCCAGAGTCCTCGTTTTCTGAGCTTCTCCGGGTCCCAATCGCGTCTGGCCTTGGGTGCGGAAGCATGCACTGGGCTGGCCTCTTCGACAACATTTATCATCCGCCTCCCGGGTCAGCATTTGCATAGTCCTTCCATGGAAGGGGAGAGTAATCATGCAGCTTGAGACACACTCAGACACTGCAGCCTTTGACCCCATCGCCTGGCCACGAGCTTTTGCCACAAGCGTCCAGGTCCGAACAAAGCCCCGAAGCCCCGCCGGAACTTTGAGCCCCAAGGATCCCATTGCCGCCTGAGCCGACTGGAGCCCTCTTTGTAGTGTCCCCGCAATGTCTTCATGCCCCGGCGTGCCGCCAATCAGACGCTGCCAGCAGCGGTAAGTTCTCTGCTGCGGCATGTCCAGGAGCAGGTCGGTTGCGAGCACGGCACTCCAATAATTACACCCATGTCTGTACCACACCCTCACCTCAAGCAGGCACTCCACACTGACTGTGAGAAGCTTGCGGCGAGACTGATCCGGCTGCTGCACCTCGTCCAAAGCAGCAGCATCCGTTCGTACGCTGTGTGCCGTGGGCTGTACAGGCACTGCGTCTGTCCGCGCATCACGGACGGGGACTCACCGAAAGTGTTGGAAATTGACCTCAACGTGGTCCGGCCTCTTTGTGCTGATGGCATACCCGACGAGGCCAGCCCCGCCTCTCTCTCTAGGGGCCAGATCGAAAGGCTTGCGGCTAATGCCCTGCAAGGCCCCGGCACTTCGAGCGGCACTCTGGAAGCTGCTTTTGGGATACCTGTGCCCTGGCCAAAGTGGCTCGTGCGTAGGCTTTGCGGCTCACTCTCGACATTGAAGACTCATGCGGTGCGATGCTTCTGTTTCCGATGTCAGTGTGTTGACCGCTTAGTTGCTGTAACAGAAGCAGCTGTTGACGACAGGCTCCTTAGACTCGGCTACCTGAGTATGCTGTGCTATGCTTCGTTCCGCAGTCGCAAGGCCCTGCGATGCCTTCCGCTGGGACATGGCTCTGGCCTCCGCTAGAGCAGACTATGCCACCTTCCTCCAGGCGCGGCTGGCACTGGCCAACAATGTAGGAAGGTTCTTGGAGATCTGAGTCTGTGAGGAGCTCCTCTCCGAGCTCCCCCAAGATCTTCTCGAAGAGCGAAGGGCCAAGGCCTGGCCTCCAAAGTTCAAAGGCCAGGAGTGTCCATTCCTGTGCTTCCGACTGCAGGACGGACCCCCCGGCTGGCCCGACGACGAGGACCACGTGGTCCCGCTTGCCGAGGTCGCAGCACGAGAACAAAGAAGACTACACAGAAGAAGCCTGAAGAGATTCTGAAAAACTGTCAGTGCCATCGAGGTGCTCGAGCAGATACGGAAGGATGTCATGCGCACCAGGCGTCCCGGCTGCACAAGCCATGCCTGTGCAGAGGCCTCTGAGTTCTGCAGCAAAGCTCCGTGAATCTTCTGAAGGCCCGAGATGGATTTCTTTTGCCGCACGCTGCCCACCGGCTCTGAGTCCTTGGGCAAAGACACAGTCGAGGAGCCGGCCTTCTCACTTCTCTCGCGAGCCCACATGTCCGGTGGTGTTTGTTGGAGGACGGCCGCCAACGCTTCGACCCTTCCGAAGTCACGCTGGCCGTCACGAGCCGGGATCCAGAGTGCATCGACGTCGAGAGTCCCAAGAGCCACTACGATGTCGTGGCGCGGATCTTGCTGCTTTATGCCAAACTGAACCGCGGAGTTCGGTATGTACAGGGCATGAACGAACTGTGTGCACCGCTGTACTACTTGTTCGCGCAAGATCCTTTGAACTATCAGCATGCAGAGGAGACTTGTCTGAAAGTTTCGAAGTGATCCTGAGCCTCCCAGCAGGTCCTAGTCCTAGCCCTGGGGTGCTTGGTACACTGTATGACTTGCGAAACAAAGGCAGACACATTCTTCTGCTTCAGCCTGCTGATGTCAGACATGCGCGACACTTTCGTCAAGACCATGGACAATGAGGAGGGGGGCATGATGGGTCGCATTGACCAGTTTAACGAACTGCTCAAGGAGAAGGACCTAGAGGTGGGACATGAGCTGTCAACTTTAGCGGGCATGCAGCGGGGTACATTGCGCGAGTAAGTTCGCTTGCCAGCAAGGTCTGGAACCACCTCGAAGATCTGCGAGTGTCTCCCGTGTACTACACAGTTCCGCCACGGCCTTACGTCTCACCCCGGGCCCCAGAAGCTCACTTCCACCGATGACAGTCATGTCGCACATGGCCAGGTGGCTGACACTGATGCTCACCCAGGACCGCCCGTCTCTGTTCACTCAAACACAGTTTGCTTCTTGTGCTGAGTACTGTACTGGCAGCACCGGACGTAAGAGTGCAGTGCAACGAGGAGCTTGACATGGCAGATGTACTTCGACTGTGGGACTCCTTACTCAGCCAGACCCTCAGACGCCCTTCGGGCTCACGCTGGCCAAGGCCACCCTTGTGATTCGTTCTTTTGGCGAAGACGAGGCGATTTGGCCCGGCCTCACCCGCTTCTGTGTTGCTGGGCCCAAGAGACTAAGAGTATCTAAGAGTACAAGAGCTTCCGATGAACAGCTGACCGACGCGATGCTGGTACTCGCCAGACTTTTGCTGCTTTTCGCGCGGCAGAGCCGATGCTTGCTCAGCATACACAAGGTTACCTCTGCGTCGCCATGGTCATCGGTATCCGAGAGGCGCACCGATTGAAGGGAAAGTGGATGTCGGACTAATTGCTCAAGCACATGCTCACAAAAGCTGGTAGTCCCGCACTTGCATCACATGCACCCGGCAGACTCTAGCGGCTCTAGCGTGCATCGTGATGGGCGGACCTCCAAGGTGCTACTGGCTGGCGACTTCACAGACTGCATGCGCATGCTCCAGTGCTGCTGGCTGATTTCACGGGCGCCGTTGCACCCATCCACCCCTTCTCCCATTCCACTCCGACTCTGTGGGGTCGGACACGGGCGCGAGACTCCAGGCATTATCCCCCGGTGCCTGTCGACGAGCTGCTGCAGGGAGCACTCAGGAGCGCAGACGGTGCAGAAGGGTGGAAGAACAGAGCAAGAACAGTGAGACACAGCGAGAGAAACCCAACAGCGAAGTGCCTCTGCGGAGAGCAGGCTCCGGGCCGTCGACCGAACGTACGGACCTCAGGCAAAGCAAAAACGAGGACTTGAAATGCTCGTCCTTCCAACAGTCAAAGAAATATCAGCATGCTGGAAGGGGCATTGGCTTCTCCTCCAGCGACTGCGAGGCACGGCAGGGATCAACCGTCTCGTGCCAAAGTCGCCCCGCAGTGAACTCGCAGGCATCCGCCGATTCTGGCAAGAGGACTGAAATTCACTGGGGACAGAGGTATCAAAGGAAAGCGCTCTGTCTTGGGCAAGCCTGTGGCGCAGGGAGCTTCAAGCAAGCTTTGGGCAAGCAGAGCTCAGTGCCTTTTCTCTTGAATGCTTCAAGGAGCTTGCCAGGCTGGTGGCCATGGTGAGAGCCGAGAGACCCCTGCGGAGGGATCTGTGCATTTCTGCGTTGTTTCACCCTAGTAGCAGTAGCAGTCCCATGGCCCAACACAGGGCTCCACAAAGAAAAAGCGCCAGCCGAGAGAAACAAAGCAGTCCGGCGGTGAGGCGGTGAGCTATGCCCAGGCGAGGTCTTACTTGGATGACCACAACATCCTCAACTTCGTGGAGCGGGTGCTCCGGACCTTGGTGCAGGAGCTGGCGGAGCTGGGGAGCCGAGCACAAAGGAGCGTGACACGCCCTGGCGTGGAAGAAAAGCATCGCAGGATCGACCTGCCGATCCCTGGGGCAGGGGCCCTAAGAGGTCTAGAAGTAGGAGACAGTTTTCTGAAGTATTGGAGTGATATTGCACACAGCGATGTTCCAAGTGATCGTAGCTGCACCTCTTGCTACGCACCACCCAAACTCCGAGGTGCCATCGCTAATCTGCTACCGGAGGCATGGTGGCCTCGAACAAACATTGCGAGAAGGAGTTGCGGCAACATTGCGGGTATGATGGTCCCACCTGCTGCCTGACCTCCTGACCCGAGTCTGTCAGATCGTGGGCGCATGTGAAGGCCGCAGCTGCAGGTGGAGCCCTGCCGGAGTCCATCAAGCCCGAAGGCAGGGCCTTTCAGACTTGAAGCCCTTCTCTGCGCGTCTTGTGCCTCACGACCAGGGCCGTTAGACAAGCTCGAGGAGGACCACCCCGTCTGCGTGCACGTAGATCCTGATCAAGATCCGCTGTCCACGAACGAGCTGTGGTCAGATCCCCTCAGGAGAAGGAGGAGGTCAAGGAGCCCGAGTGGAACATGATGCCTTCTGTGGGCACGTGGTGCCGCCCTTGTCAGCTCTGCATTCACGGGATCTGCATTAGAGTCCTTATTGCGCCATTGTTGGTTCAAGTGAAGAGCAAAAATTGCATCTTGTGCCCTGGAAGTGATGCATGAACTCATGTCGAGAGGCGCGGCTTAACAGGGCTTGCAGTTGACCTACTCGGCTTGGCCAGGTACATGATCCCGACACCCGTGATCAAACCTCAGGCGGCTCGACTGGTTTTCATGTCAATGTGCGTAGAAAGTGCAACATACTTGTTGGAAAGTGCGTGTGCAGCTCTGCAACTGATCTCGGGCTGCTTTGGTTGGCAGGGCAGCCTCGTGCCTGAAGCGGAGTCTCAGGAGAGGTCTCTGCGTTCCCTGCAGGGTGCTACTGAGGATCGTTGCCTGAAGCAAAAGCTTGCCCCCACGAATCAGGAAGAGCCACTGCTTTCCACTCGAGGGGAAGAGGCGGTTGCCGCCGAAGCTCCATTTGCTTTTGACATGCTCGCCCGGCTCTTCCAGGTTGAGCACGAAAGAGCGGTGGCAGGGCAATTTGTGGAAGATCTTGTTGCTGCCGCGGGGCGCCCACATCGGCATGTTCATGGCAGGGGTTGAAGCAATGGTTGAATGCTGCACTGCAGATCGGTAGTTGCATCCTTGCTTACCATAAAGGCCCAAGCGTCATGGGCATTCTCAAGTGCCGCAGGCAAGCACATCACCGGCCAAAGCGATGTCACAAGGTGCGCGGCCTTTGCTAGAGTCCATTAGAGTCCTACAGGTTCCCAAAGTAGCGTATACGAATATCCCCCCAACCCAGGTCAGGCCAGTGTCGTGAGGTCAAGATCAGTGGCACTCACACTGCACTTCAGGGAGATGCCCCGTCCAGATCGAATTGATGTGAATGTAGTGAAGAGGTTGTTGCACATGATTCCTTTGGAGGCCTCTTGGTATGAAAGCACTTGGAATTCGGATGGCGTTTGCTGTCAAACCTGTGCTCCTCTCTCGATGTACGTGCCTCACCGCCTTTCCTTGACGTGTTTCGCTTGGTTCCCATGTGGTATCTTGTCATGCTGTGCCAGCTCTTCTTTGTTGTCCCATGGCTGTGCCTGGTGTGCCACGGGTTGTGTCATGCAGTGGGGCATTTTACTGTCGGTCTTGGGATTAGGCTCCTGGTCCTTGACTGTTCTTACAACGGCTGGATTTGACAGGCACCTCGCCGATGGTCAGTGCTGCTGGCACAGAGGCCCTGAGTTGAAAGAGATTCTCCTTGGGTTATGGAAGTTCTCTGACTGGAGAAACATTGACTCGCGTGACTTCTCGCTTCCCACGTCTTCGCAGGTAGACACCAGGCATCCCGCACGGGAGCTGGCAAAGAAAGCAGCCGAACCTCAGATAGGGAAGCACTTCAGAGAAGTATTGCTTAAGTTCTTGACTTCTTGCTGCTTTAGCAATTGGGGGCCCAGGCTTGCCAGCCTGCAGCCGCATTTTCCATCCAGCCGTGGGAATTTTTAGCGTCGGTTGGAACCTGGCCCTGAAGCTCAGAGTTTTCTTGCGGCAGGAACAGCATGTAGGGCATCCACCTCGGACTCACGTGCCATTTCCCGCGAAAGGTATGCGCCACTGCGACAGTCTCCGAGCGCAGAGGCAGACAGACCGATGATGGCTCCAAGATTGCCGCCGCACAGTAGCTCCTGAAATGCTTGAGGTGATGTGCTGGCTTAATTAGGTGTGGGAATGCGAGCATAAGAGTCCTGAGTATGGTGCTGTTCAAGCACGTGCAAGACAGAAGTGCCGAAACTAATGCAAGTCAAGTCTAATGCACTTCGCAAGGGGCCCAAGGCCGACGCAGCGCAGGCAGAGGCCAGGAGCTCAAGCTTGCACAGTCGTTGAGGAGTAGTTGTTTCGCAACTAGCTACACGCGCTGTCATCCGATAGTTTTGGCAGGTTGTTGTGGTTGTGGTTGTGCCTTGTTGTGGCTGTGGTTGGGGTTGTGGTTGTGGCTGTTGTCAAGCACACGTGTGTGCGCAGTAACAATCGTGAACGGCTTTGCTGCCTAAGCTTCGATGCGTCTTCGACGTCCAGGCTTTTCACCCACCCTCGCCAAGCTGCGAACCCGGCACCGGCTGTAGGATCTGAACCTGCGCGCCCAACGGTGCATGCAGCGCTACATCCACACGACGAAAAGAAGGAGTCGTCCAGCTTTGGCGTCGGAGGGCATCGATTGTTGTTGTGGTTATATTGCGATTGTTGCTGTTGTTTCTCTTTTTGTTGGTCTTGTTATTGTTCTTGTTTTAGTCGTGGCTGTGGTTCTTGCTGTTGCTGTTGCTGGCTTGGTAGCAGCAGCAGTAGTAGCATGTAGTTACCGTAGCTGCAGTTGATGCACCTGTACACATAGCTGTAGGTGCAATAGTGACCGGCTGTTTTTGCCAAGCCCAAGACACAGTACAGCAACAAAATATACGACACGATACCGGCGGCTTCAAACAAACATACATGTCGCGCACAAGCGAAAAGCTTCCGCAACGGCACATGCTGCCTCCAACATGCGAACTGCTAAGTGTGTAATGTAACTGCAGCTGTTGATGTTTTGCTGCGTTGTGTTTAGTTGGTAGTCTTGCTCAGAGTCTAGTATCGAGACTGGGTTCGGGACTCCGTGGACAGAATCGAACGAGGTCCAGCAAGCGGTGGTTGCCGCGACTTTCGAGGCAGAGTTGTCGTGCTGACTCACCATGCTGCCTGGCGCTTCGGATGCCCGTCGAGCATATTGAAGGACATCGACACCAACAAAGACGGCGTGGTGTCGAAAGAGGCCTGCGCTGTGCTGCTGAGTATCATCACACGAAAAATTCCGTGCACCCCCTCGCATGCAATGTGATTCCAGGAGTTCGCGAATTTCGTCGCCAGAGCGGCTGAGGCAAGTGTCAGTGACTCAACTGTCTGGCACAAGTCAGATGACATGAAACCATGGTGCCGAATATAGCCGAATGGCGAATCTTGCCCGGTGGGCGTTGCAGGTGGCAACAGGTAATTCATGACATAATTGTTCCTTTGCATAGCACAAGAGCACAGTTCGATGCATGGTCTGCGTTTCGAGTCTGGTGCTTCTTACCCTGATTCAAATGCGAGATCTAGAAAATCCTGTGAACAATTCATAAAGAACCCCCGCATCTGCCTGACTAGCAAGAGCGATCCAACAGACAGAGCTCCAACCCCCCAACTGCGCGACTGTCCTGACGCCTCCCAATGCTCACCTCTCAGGAGCCTAGATCCAGCTGCTAGATGTTTGGAATTGCTTAAAACTCTGAAGGTTGTGGCTCCAGCGCTGGACTGCGATTGGCGGCAACGACCCTCCGTCGGCACCTGGTGCCTTTGCCAGCAGTCAAGCAGATCAAGCCAACTCAAACCAGGGTATCCGACCCACCAGTCAATCTCTGGTAGGGAAGAAGTTTGAGGGCTTTGCTCTCAGCTGACTCAGGGTGGCCCGCTTGCCACGGTGATGGTCGGCAAGACTTGGGGTAAGCGCAGTTGGATTGAGCTCCTGAGGTACATGCCGCTGGACGAGCTGCCTTCACCTGCGCTTCCAGTGATCGTCCCAGAGCCTTTGGCTTTTCAAAGTTCTGTGCTTGCCTTCGAATCGTGCGCTGCATCGTCTATGCACTGGATCGCCGAACCTGCCGGCCATCCCACAGACAAAGGTGCTGACCACATCTACATCCAGCACCCAGAAGGCCAGTCGCAGAGCCAAGTAAATGCTGTGACCTGAAAAAAAGGAGTTGCAGCAGGAAACGTTGCTTCAGGAACTGGGGGAGGCCTGTAACAGCAATCGGGGAGGCTTGCAACAGGAACTGCCTCTCTAACATTTCCCACATCTGCCTTGCACTCGCCTCTTGTTACGCACGTGAGGGTTTAGAGCTTAGGGCGTGGAATATGACGATTTTGCAGCAAGAACCATAAGAAATCAAAGGTTTATTAAGGATGCCTAGTGAAATTCTATTAATAAACCCCCGGGGTGTTTGAACGTTAAGGGTTCAGGGCCAGGGTGGCTCAGGGTATAGGGTTTGGGGTGTAGGGGAGAGGACGTTCTGGGGTGCGCATTGAGGGAACATAGAGCTTTCATGCAATTTAGAACCGATAAGTTTTGAAGAGGGTTGGATTTCTGGGTTTAGGGTTGAGGGTGTAGGGTTTGGGGAGAGGAGAGGAAAGAGGAGAGGGAGAGGAAGGGCACAGGAACAGGAGAGGCAAGGTTTTTGTCCTTGGGGTTTGAGGGTCAGGGGTTTATGGTTAAGGGTTGATGATTGGGTGTAAGGTTTGGGCTTCTGAAGCATGTATAAGGGCTAAGGGTTTGCAAGGCCTTACAAGGTTCATAAAGCGCTTTAAATACGTCTTCTGAGGTTTCTTATACAGAACGGGGTTTGTAACACTTTCAAAGGGCTTACACAAGTGCTCTTGTAGGCTTATGCGGGCTTTCATGCAGGGTTGTAAAGGCTTTTAAGGGCTTCTGAGGGCTTCTAATGGTTTATAAGAGCTTATGAAAGGCCTGTAAGGCTTGAAGAGGTGTTGAAGGGCTTTGTTTTACAGAGGAGTTCGAAGGGCCCTCTAAGGGTTAAGAGTAAACACTGTAACTTGACGTCTCAACCCAAAACTCGGTGTGGCCTTTGTTTCAAGTTGCAAGTCCCACTGGTTACAGTTACTAGCCCCAACCCAGTTCCAGTTACATGCCTCCTTGGTCCCTGCTACGCCCTCCTGAAACGTGGTTCCTGGTAGGTCGCGCGCTGGTTCCTGTTACAACCCTCACCCTTGGAAAGCCACATTGGCATCGGCCGTCCTCCTGACCTGGTCGTCGGATCGACAGGCCTTGGAGGTCACGGTCGCGGCTGCGGCTCCTCCCCGGCCAATGAAGGCAGCTGCTTTGGGAATCAGTTTCTGGTTCTGGTCAGGGTGAGGCTCTTGCGTATTCTTGCATGCATGCGGCATTTTGAAGATGCGGCACGAGCGTCAGCAGTGCAGGGCAGCGGAATCAGCTCCAGCACCGTGGTAGCTTTTGCCGTCTGCTCGGATCAGGGGCTTGGAGGGCCCGGGCCCTTCTCGCGGGCGCGCGCGGACGTTGCGTCTGTTCTGAGGCGCTGCCCGCCTTGGACTTTGAGGAGCTCGCGGCCTTGGAGCAGAGCGGCCTCTTGCTCGAGGAGGCCGCAGGGGGCCCGCAATGGGGGGCCTTAGGGCCTTGACCGGCGCTGTCTCTCTGCTGTCTCCTCCGCAGGTGCGGGAGGCGACCAGGGCTCAGTTCGGAACCATCCGCGGTGGGGAGCCCCAGAGCCGCGTGCAGCGCCGTGTGCAGCGCGCACACGCGAGCAGCATCGAGCGGCCGCGGCGCTTTTTTTCTCCCGTCGTGAGAGGTTCGCTGCGCATCGAGCTGGGTGGGGCGGCGGAAGCCCGGCGCCCGGCCCTTTCGGCAGACTCCGAAAGTCGAAGACAGATGAGAGCTTCCTTCTTCGCCGCTTTGTGAGGAGGGCGTGGAGGTGAGGATGACCATCAAGAACGCGTCCTCCGGTGAAGCCAAGGCCCACACTGCCACTGCCTCAATGCTCGGCCACCCCTTTGTCCTAGCACCAGAGGCTCTCAAGGCCGAGATTCTTGGAGCGGAGGAGAACTTCTTGGCCGAGGCCACCTCTAAGGTTCCAGGGATTCTAGGCTTGGTGGGAAAGGAGGGCTGAGCACCTGCTGAGGATGCCCACGCCCGTGGGGTGCACGGATAGGGGTTTTTGCAATGACATACATCGAGACTTGCTTTGGTCCAAGGCAGTTGTCCGCGCATCTCTCACATAGCAGGTGCAGCAGAGGCTGGCGGCAGCACAGATTGGGCCGAGAGGTGGTGGCCTCGGACTTCAGGCCACAGGCGCATACGTGTATCGTGAGATCCTGTTCTCCTTGAGGTGTGCCTCAGCGGGCGACCGACCTTCAGGTAATGGCAGCTTGGCTTTTGAGCGAAAGACATCAGTTCGCCTGAGTGCCACAGCCAGTCCATCCGGCCTCGGCTTGGGGTCCGAAGGATTTCGCCTAGGTGCGCCACACTGCCTCCTTCGAGGAAAGGGAAGGGCCAGTGGACGGGCCTCCCACTGAGCGCAAAGCGATGTGAAGCTGCTCGCACTTTGCTTCGACGACTGTGTCCTTTGCTGTGCCCGAGGCATGCCACCGCATCCACCATGGTGCCCGCAACGACTATGTATGCCACTGGCACCACAGGCAGCAGATCAGCAGATACAGAGATTCAGGCGTCTTGAACTTGAACAATTCATTCTCCGCGGTGCTCTCAGGCAACGGCTTCAGCTCTGCAGGCGCCTCATTCTTCTCAACACGGGCAAAAACCGCACTTACGGAGTGCGGAGGACTTGATTCTAGCTTCTGCGCAAAAGGGAACCGCAACCACTGAGGCCATGCCCACCGAATCGCAGTGGGCTGGGAGCCAGGGGCAGGTTTGTCGGAGGGAATTACAATGCTTCAGTGCCCCGAAGAAAAATCCGAGGCGACCTTCGACAGCACTCACCCGGAGCTTCCAAAGGACGAGGCCAGGTGAAGGAGGATATTCCCAAGAAAGTGCTAAGTTGCATGATGCAGCTACTGTTCTGTTGTTGCTTTTTGGTTAATTATTAATTTGTTCGCTGAGAATCAAGTTTCTAGTGGTTTATACCGTATAGAGCTGTATGAGGTGGTTAGAGCGGCAGAATCCAGCAAGGCCCAACAGACGGCGGTTGCCGCGACTTTCGAGGCAGGGTTATGGTGCTCATCATGCTGCCTGGCGCTTCGGATGTTCGACGAGCATTCTCCAGGCCATCGACACCAACAAAGACGGCGTCATGTCAAAGGAGGCCTGCTGAAAAGCGCTGTGCTGCTGAGTCATCCCACACGAAATTCGCTTGCACCCTCTCGCATGCAATGTGATTCCAGGAGTTCGAGAATTTCGTCGCCAGAGCGGCTGAGGCAAGTGTCAGTGACTCAACTGTCTGGCACAAGTCAGATGACATGGAAACCATGGTGCCGAATATTGCCGAATGGCGAATCTTGCCCAGTGGGCGTTTTTGCAGCAAGGATGTTATTACAGAAATGTTTCTTTGCATAGCACAAGAGCACAGTTCGATGTATGGTCTGTGTTTCGGGTCCGGTGCTTCTTATCCTGATTCAAATGTGAGATCTGGAAAATCCTGTGAACACTTCATAAAGAGCCCCCGCAGAGCCTACCCCCTAAGTGTCCGGTACAAGGTGAAGCTTCTTGCTACGAGTTCTCAAATCTTCTCAGTTCGCCGAACGAGTGAGTGAAAACTCAGGCGCCAGAGCCTGGCCCGCCGGCAGAGGAGACGGCACCTGTGAGTCCAATCTCGTCTGTCTCGGAATAAAAGACGCAAAGCGATCGAGGCGGCCAAGCCCGCGTCCATGGAGGCCACGAGTGCTTCGTATCGTGTCAGTGACATTCGGAAGCGGCAAACTGCTGGTAAGGACGAGTTAATTCCCAAGCTCTTGCTGGATCCGTATGTTGGGCACTCAGGGCCGACACGTTTTTTCGCTTGCATCTGGCAGCCTCAGCCAGTGGACACCAGCCGAGGCTATGGATGATGGTTTCGGCACTAGCCCTATCCAGAGTGCCGTGTCAGCGCCTCGGGTAGGCTGTTCGTGCGACGGCCCCGCCGTGAATCACAACTACCAGTCACGAGGAACTTTTTGTCGAGACTTCTTTGAACTCGTGACAGTCAGTCACCCTCTTTGAATTGTGGGATGACTGAAGGTCTGATGCGCGACTTTGCAAGGACCGCGTTCGACTGTTGTCATGATGCCTTCTGTCTTCTGCACGAGTGTGGTTCCCTTGTTGCTGCTGCATCTACTGCAAAAGGGAGCTCCGAACGCTCAGGCCCAAGCACGCCCACCCCCCCGCACCACCCGGCACCCTGCACAGTCCCTGCTTTTGCCACTGCGTCACAGAATGGGAATGGGAAGGAGCGAGAAGCTGCCGTGGCCGCAGCCAAGCGCCGAGCAGCCAAGGCGGCTCTTTGCAGCGTGGGTCGTGAGCCGTGTGTGCTTCTGTTGCCGCTTTGCAAGTTTGGCCAGGATGAAACCTGATACTTGTAGGGTCTGTGCGCGATTGAGTCTGCAAGGCCGCAGCCACGCAGATTACGGACTTCATCGTGGATCCATACGTTCTGGCCCTGGAAGTCACGCAGCAGGGTGCGGAGTATGCTTGGAGCTGTAGCTATAAGTCCGGGCATGATGAAAAGCCTGCCAGGAGAGCACATCACGTTGAATGCTGCAGGCGCTGGAGGATGGCAGCGGCACTAGTCCCATGCAGAGCGCAGTGTCGGCTGCTCAGCTAGTGCAGGGATGCGCAGGTGATTCTGAAATAACTATGTCTTGTGGGTGATCGGCACAATCTGCGATGCGAGCATCAGCTGAAGTGGGTAGAGTGTTAAGCCTTTTGCAGCATCTCCCGGCGGCCAGGTCCGAGTCACGCCTTGCAGAAGCGGGGCACCTGGAAGTTCGATTTGCTGGATCTGAAGCTGACCCAAGCCTTCGTACATTAAAGGGTAACTGAGTCTTTCGTCTTTCAGCAACTCGCTTTGCGCTATCCCGAAGGTCCCTCGTCTCATGTTCGATGGCAGTCGTGGATGGTTCTCACTGACTGATGTCGTAGCTGACAGGACAGCTGCCATGTCACAACGACCGGAGCATCTTGTACCCAAGGTCATCCAAACTCCAATCAGCGGAACCCTGCCAAGGGGCAAGACAGGGAGTGGAGACAGGGAGGATCCGACGCTTGAGACCTGAAGCGACTCGACATGTACCATACGAGTTCGCCAGCTTTGCTCAAGGACATTCGCAGAAAAACTACCTTTGAATTTGAATTGGCCGCAACAAATCGACAGGGAATCGGTGGGAGCCAAAGCCGCAGCAACACCACGAACACATCGCGACTCAGCAGGCTTCCTCCCCGGCAGTCGGTACATTCACTCAGTCATACATGGTTGAGGGTTATTCCACTAGTTGGATGGCCAAGGAGCGTGAGCAGGCGCTGATCGCCACCATCAGGCGGTCAGTCGAGGAGTGTTGGTGCAAGCTCATGCTCGTGAATTGCTGTGCCATGCACATATTTGCAGGAGGAGTTTACCAAGGCAGACACGAACAACGATGGTGCACGCTCCTCGTATTCTGCTTTGCTTGCATGGGTGAGCCTGCGATCACAAGCATTGCAGAGCATGCCCAGGTGGTCTCAGCAGAGGAGTTCGCGGCCTGGGCCCATCCCCACACCTCCTCGGAGGTGCGACCTCAGCATCTGTTCTCCTGCATGACATGAATGAGCCACGCTGTGCAGGCGCAGCCTGCAGAGGTTGCAGCTTCCTTTGAGGCCGACATGGACATGCTGAGCGGCAGAGTCTCTTTAGGCTTGCGAATCCCAGAGCCAGAGCTGAAGCCTTCCAGGCCATCGACAGCAACCACGATGGTGTCCTGTCGAAGGAGGCCTCCCGCCATGTCTTAGTGTCTTACCTAGTAGGCAAATAATTACCTAACGGGTGCAAGTTCATTCAACAGGCACATGCCCAAAAGGTAGCACAGGGCCACTTGATCGAACTTTGCCACGGCCCACTCTCGATCATCGAAATGGTGTTCCTGCCCTCCCCGCTGCACTCCCTCGCCTCTCACTCTCTCGCTCGCTCTTTCTCTTCTCCCTTCTGTCTCCCTGACTCCCTGCTCTCTCCCATCTGAGAGTGATTTGGTGAGATCGATAGTTGAAAGCTGTTGGGAGTTGTCTGAGGGTGATGACCAGTCAGCCTGCTACTGGTAGCGCGGATGAATCCTGGCCCCTGGCCTGCGCCGGGGGGAATACAGTCAGACCAATCGGCCTGCAATCATGTCGACCCAGTACTGTACCGTGCAAAGCAGCATCTTGCACTCGAAAGAAGCACAAACAGAAAGACACAATTTCAAACACCACAGGAGCGCGGAATGTTTTGCCAGGAAAGGCACAACCAGGAGCCCAATGGCTTCCCCGATTTTCAAAGCTCCCGCTTACGAGCTAGATGTGTTGGGGGAAGCAGGATGAATGTGCACGCCAAACCCGCAGTGCCCAGCGCCTTTTCACCACCCATTTGTCCAATTTCAGAGTTCACAAACTTCGCATGCAACTCTTGGTCTTTATTTGTGGTTGTTAACGGTTGGTGGGTGCGGGCTTACGCAAACTCGCACCGCTGCATTCTGCCTTCCATTGCAGGAGGGCACAGCCATTCAAGCGAGTGACCGAGCGTGCGTACTGTTGGTGTTCAGGAGTTTGAGAACCACTTCGTCACAGAGGCAGGATGCTCCGGTTCGTTCTGGTCTTGGACGATCGTCAATTGCCGGTGTGCCAGGCCTTCCTGCAAGTAGAGTTGGCCAATGTCATGCAGGCAACAGAGGAAAAGACGGGACAGATGATGATTGAGGGGTTCTGCGACCCTTCCCAACCTTTGTCGCAGGCCGCGACCAGAGGAGCCGCGAGCCGCGCAACGAGCTCTCTAGCAGGCACGTGCGCTCCATGAAACGAGCTGAAAGTGCAGACTGCCGGTTCATCTATGGTTCATTTCATTTGTAGGGTACGTGAATGAAGCAGTTAGACTTTCGTCGAGGCAACTGCGGGCTGATATGAAAGATGCCCTTTGTGTTGCGGCCGTTGGCTTTGAACGATGCCACAGCATGCCCAAAACAGTTGTCAAAGGAACATGCAGGAGTTCCAAGTGTCGATTCCAGTTTGACGGGTTGCTTGTGCCCTGATGTGTCCAATGCGGGCCTCGACGAAGGGCTTTTGGGCTACACTACAAGCTGCGTTAGCTGCATCCAGAGATTGTAGATGATTTCTCTAATTTGGCAGTCAGGCCGCGCCTGAACGATCTATGTATCAGCATGTCCTACTAACATGAGCTGGATTGGAGGCAGCGCCGCAGAACAGGGCTCGGATGGCAGCATGACAGCCACGAGCTCGGAAGGAGCAGAGCTGCTGTGAGTTTGCTGTGCTTCGACTCTCGGGCGTGCGACAGCTCCAGGTCGCGGAGCAGCTTGCAGCCGCTGCTGTTGCAGCGGTTGACGCGGCTGTTGCCGTGCCGCCATCAACGGCGGCTGCAACCGAGGTCTCAGAGGACTTGCAATCGGCCTGCATGGGACTTGCCAGATGACAGACCACCCGGCTACATGACATGGAATCTGGCAAGGACGACGCATTCGCACTTCCACCGCTGGTCGCCGCCTTGTGAAAGCACGTACGGATTCTGCTTGCTGAGTTCGGTAGCAAATCATCAGTCCATAGCGAGTATGCGAGGAGTACCGTAGGAGTCGTGAGCATGGAATGCTGCACAGCATCGTACGGCGGATATGCTGCCCTTTACAGCAAGGTTGTTAGTTTCGCAGAGATGGGGGCGACGCCAACAGTGGTCCGGGAACCAAGGTTGTCTTGTGCACAGTGTGGCACGTTCCCGAAACCACAACTGGTGCTAACAGCTAATAGTACTTAAGAGTGAAGTGCAACCGATCTCGGACGAGTTCTCTTCCAGCGCCAGCTGCAGGTCTCGATCGAATCAGCTGGTGATCGCGATGCTGTCGTGCCTGTCGCCGAGGCAGGCGGCGGCGACAGAACCGAAAAAGGGTTGTAGGCTAGAGTCTGCCATGATGGCCCGCTTCCCTCAGGTGGCTAAAGCTGCTGAGATTGGGGCCAATGCACCAACAGTGGTCGGGGAACCAAGGTTTATTTGTGCAGATTTTGGCGCATTCCCAGAACCACCAAAGGAAGCCCACGGGTGCTAACAGTACTTAGGAATGAAGTGCAACTGTAAGCCTCCTCTTCTGTTCTCTATCGCTGTCGTTTCCCGGCACTGTCACTAGCTGCAGGTCTCCATCGAATCAGCTGGTGAAGGCGACGCTGTGGTGCCCGTCGCCGAGGCAGCGACAGCCAGCGCGGAAAAGCGTTCTGGCAAAAGCCTGACCATGCATGCACATGCCGCCCTGCTACACTAAGGTGGCTAAAGCCGCTGAGACTGGGGCAAATGCCCCAACTGTGGTCGGGGAACCAAGGTTTACTTGTGCACATTGTGGCAGATGTCTACCCAAGACCCGCAGCTTCCAAAGAATCGCAGCCCTCTCTGCACTATCACTCGCCGCCCGGGGATACCTAGACAAACGCACACAACAGCAAGCTTCCTCTTCAGTTCTGAATCGATGTCGATCCGTTCCTTTGGTGACTGCAGGTCTCCATAGAATCCTCTGGTGAGCGCGAGGCCGTCGCGCACGTCGTGGAGGCAGTGCCAACAGCATTCTAGCGAAGTGCCTGCCCACATGCTACGCTCTGCTGAGGTGGCTAGAGCGGCAGAGATGGGGGCAACCCCGACGGTGGTGGGGAGCCACGAGCAGTGAGTGTTGCGATTCCGATCCGTAGGCAGAACACTAGAATCACTAGAGGAAGCTGCTTTCGCTGTCATTTCACGTACCTGGGAAATTACATGGCTCCGCATCTATGGGTACGAATGAAGCAACAAAACGATGCAACTTAAGTCTACGTAGCAATCTTGCTGGCAAAACGTTCAATTGACGTGTTCAGAGCACACTTAGGTGAGTTTGGTATGGTTCGTAAGCAGGCGCCAGCTGGCTGCAGGTCTCCATCGAATCTGCGGGCGACCGCGGTATGGCGCCCGTGGTCGAGGCAGCGAAACCTGTAAACAGCATAGACAAGCAATCTTTCAGTGGTTTCGGTGCGGGCCACAGCCAGGTCCACACTCCCTCGGCATCGTCCGGGCCGGGTGATGCACAGGAACTTGGGGCTGAGATCGCCGCAAAAGACTTGGTGCTGGACATTACCGCCGACAAGGATCGGGGTGCCCACAGATTACTTCTCCAGTCATCATGCCCGCCCTCTTCTGCCGGCGGCTGCAACAAGGCATAAGGTAATAAGGCTCCGCTGTGAAGCATTGACCGGATTAAAGATCTTCGAAACCTTTGCGGGCGCACGCCATGACAGTCAAGGAAATCGTGCATCCAAGCTCTTCACACCGCATCGAACGGACCAGAAGCTTCAATGGTTGAACGCTCTCTGGGAAGTGACACGGGAATGTGATGTCGCTACCGTCGTCAACCTTATCATCGTCATGATCAGCACCGTCATGACCATAATTTTTTACCCTATCCATCACTCATGACCACTATGCTCAAGTGTTTTTGCAAGACAGTCAGTACAAATAAAGACGGACGGTTGAAGCTCGACTCAGCCAGGAGCCCTTGCCAGCGGATGTAACCAATGCTTTGAAGGCAAAGCTTTGCACCGTCTCTTCTGCCACGACTTTGTGCATGACTCTTTGCACTTGAGATCGGGTGAGCAAGCTGCAGTTGAGAATTTCAGTTGGGTGTTCCATTGCATGTAGAGTGTTGTCTCCAGAAAGGTCCAAAATCCGTAGTACTGAACGACATGGCACACTTTCAATGAAAACAAGCCGTCAGAAACTTGCACGGAATTGACTGCAAACGCAAACGAGTGCCACGCCTTGCCACCCCAAAATGCCTGAGGAAACCGTAAACCTTGCTTCCAGAACTTTTGCAGGCAGCGACCAGAGGAGCAGCGAGCTCTGTGACAGGCTCTATAGAAGGCAAGCCTGCCGGCAGTGATGTTACTGCCATTTCACCCTACGAATGTGCTCCTATTTCAAGCATGTTCCCACCAATTCCTGTAGCTGAGTTGCAGTGCTTGCTCTCTACACACAGACAATAACACGCGTGGGTCATCTGACTCTAGGCACCATTGGCACCGGTGCACAAGGGTCGGATGGCAGCAAGAAGGCCGCAAGCCTAAAGCATTTGGCATATGGCTGTGTAGGCTGTCTAGGTTCCATGTCTGCATGAGGACAACAGCTTCGAGGCTAGCGGCTAGACGATGGCTATGGTGATGGATGACCCAGGTGGTGATGATGATGTTAATGACTCGCGGTCTGATCATCATCATCATCATCATCAGCTGCATCGTCATCGTGGTAGCGGTTTCGTCTCAGTCATGGTGCCATAGCAAGCCGTACATTACAAGCATTACCACACGTCATTGTCGTGGTGCCATGCTGGACAGGCACACACGAACAATAAGAATGTGATGAAGATGATGAGGCTGATGCTTGTCACAAGCATGATCAAGGCTGCCGTCCTGAGTACCAGCTGTAAATTGGTGATTAACTTGAACCGTGCTAGCTTGCCGTTCGTGCCACTAATGATATTTAGCTGGAGCTTCTTGGACATTGATTAATCAACCAACGGCAACGGTAATTTGCTATTCTTGTTAGTATTGTCAGAACAATTAGATATACCTGTTACGTTGCCATTATCAGTATTACTCTAGTGACCATTCTTATCATCGTCGTTATTGGTTCCATAAATCATCACCATTAGTATTAGTACTCCTCGCATAGGATTATGTATGTTATTACGATGAATACTGCTGTTGTGACTATGAACTTCGAACATGTTTGTTCCAGACACTACACAAAATGACACATTTCGGGCCCCAGTGTTGCAGCCTTCCTGTTCATGACTTGTTACACTGGACATGAACTGCAATGCCCTCAGCCCATGCGCATGTGGTTACGCTTGCAAATTATAAGAGTCCGTCTTCAAGAACATACTATGGGACATGAAGATCATCGGCAGGATGGAAAGGGGATGGATGAATCGGAAGATCTCCATGAGAATTCCCCAATGAAGGGTAGCTCAGAAGCCTTTTCCACTGGTCGGTGGGACTTCCCATGTCAGGCATCAAGAGCGACAGGGTTGCACAAGCTTGAAAATCATGATTATGCAGACTGTGCATACTATAGGTTTTTGTTACGAAACTGCATGGCAAACACCGTTTTAACTGGGAAATTGGGGCTCGTCAGGTGTTGCACTCTCCAGTAGCAGTAGTACTACTCGTCGTGGTCGTTGCATTAGTAGCACCACTGGACTGCCAAGCAAGGATCGCGTGTCTTTGCATCGTCTGGAAGAAGTCGTAGCAGTTGTTGCTGTTGCTGTTGGGGTTGCTGCCACTGCGGAGGCTTCCGCTGCTGCTGCTGCTTCTGTCAGGTGCTGCTGCTACTGGTGGTGATGATGGACTGGCATATAGAAGCTGTACCAGCATCTGTAGGTGTACCATACATGTCGTGCAAAACGACGCAAAGCGTCTGCAGCAGCACGTGCTGCCTTGCAACATGCGAGCCGCTGAATTGGTTGATGGAGCTGTTATTATTCTGTTGCTCTTTGGTTGGTAGTTTTGCTCAGAATCAGGTTCCTGATTTGGAGTCGGTTTGGGGCTCCAGCGCCAGAATCGAACAAGGTCCAACAAGCGGTGGTTGCCGCGACGTTCGAGGCAGGGTATTGGTGCTCACCATGCCTAGCGCTTCGCATGCCTGACGAGCATTCTCAAGGCCATTGACACCAACAAAGACGGCGTGGTGTCAAAAGAGGACAGCCGCAAAGTGCAGTTGCTAGTGAGTCATCACACGACAAGTTAGGTGTACATTCTCGCATGATCTCGCATGCAATGCGGTTCCAGGAGTTCGAGAATTTCGTCGCCAGAGCGGCTGAGGCAAGTGTCAATGACTCAACAGTCTGGCACAAGAAAGATGAACTGGAACCATGACGTCGAATCGCGCATCTTGCCGTGGCAGCAAGTACTTCGTTACAGTTATGTTACTTTACTTGCCATAACACACGAGTACATTCCGATGTATGGTCTGCGTTTCTGCCCTTGTGCTTCTTGCGCTGATTCAATCGCGAGATCTAGAAAATTTTGGGAACAAGTGACCTTTGTATCCGGGACGGCACGGCGCTACGAGTTCTTTATCTCATCAGTTTGCAGAAGCAGATCTTTTTGATGAGCAGAATCGATCCGACAGAGCTCCACCGCCAACCTTGCATGTATTTTAACGCCTCCCAAAGCCACCTCAACCTTCCAGGAGCCAAGCCTCGCTGAGCCGGTGAACCAGGCACTGCTTCCTTTTGAAGTGGCCAAGCACTCTTGTCCTAGGTATTGCGAAGGTCTTGCAGCATGCTTGTGAGCAACGCACAGACACAACATACACAGCCTTGACGCAACCGGCCGTGTACCGTGACAGCGACGCGAGCTGCAAAGTAGCTGCAATGCCTGCCATGGTCGACTCTCGTGAGCCGGAAAAGGTTCGTGAAGCTGTCTGGCACGCAGGCTGCAGAGCCTGAAGCTGCACCGGAAGCAGCGGAAGACGAGGCTCCCTGGCGCGGTATGCTTCGTCGAAGAGTTTGGCCAGCAAGTTCTGCCAGGACCCAGAGGAGATTCAGGAACGGGTCCACGAGGCGCCAAGTGCAGCTCCGGCGCGATTTGCGAACGAAAGTCGCGGTGAGGTCCTCGAGGAAAATAGCAGACTTCGGTCCGAGAACATGGCTTTGCGAGCCCTTTGCTCAGACTGCTGTGGGTATTGTTGGGTTCTGTTTAATTACAGAGTATCTTGCAACACTGCCCCCCGCACTTTCCTCGGCTGCTTCAATAGTTGTTCTCGCTTTTGCTGCGTGTGCATCGCCTTCGCACATCCGGAGAAAGATGCTCGGCTGTTACTCTCAGGTAGAATTGGATGCCCTCCTGGCCATGGCCGTCGTGTTGACCCCAGCTGCCCTGGCTGCCCCAGCTTTGGCTCGGAGTGTTTTTTTGCGAATGTGCCCTTTTCGATGAATTGCTCCAACTCCCACTGAGACGCCGGAAACGACGCCGCCCGGGACTGCGAAGTGAGATTTGTGCAGATCGCCGTGTCCTACAGGCATGGAGGCTGTGGGAGATCACTTCGCAAAACCTCCAGGCCTTTTCCTAAGACGAACCCACAACCCTCCACGCTCCCACTAACGGCTATCAGCCATAGCCGCAGAGCCTCTACGACTAACACCACAGATTTCATCAACAAGGTGGCGAACCGATCAATTCACCGCGCACATCGCGCAGACCGAGCCTGTCCGAAGGACGGGTCACGGTTCGCGGTTTCACGTGGCCCACAAACTCGGGCTGCGGGGCCTCAGAGTCATCCTGGGGCATTTTCAGAGCTCTCGCTGTAGACGTGCTGACGGCAGCTCAGCGACGCAGTCGGAGATCAGGAATGTGAAGCTATCTTCTTCGGACGGGGAAATCTCTGCTCATGCATCGCCAACCGGGCTGCTGCTTTGTGGCTTGGCTGTCTCGTCCAAAGGTAATTAGGCCGAACTACAGTGCCGGTGCTTTTCCCGTGCTGCCAAAGGTGGCTGCAGATGGACTGCCAATTCGCGATTCCGTCAAAAGCACTTCAAATCCTATCTTGAGAGGATATCGACACTCGTTACACATGCAGAAACGAGTTGGTGTCAGTCTGATGGACGTCCTTGCAAGGATTGATAAGTTTCACCGGTGTAAAAGGGGTGCAAAGAGGAGGATGCTGAAGCTGCTGCTGCTGCTGCTGCTGCTGCCACTGCTACGGCTTCTGCTACAACGACGACGGCTACTGCTACTGGCTTTAGTAGCACAAAAAGCAAGAACAGCGGCTGCATTAGCAGCACCACTAATCGTCGTCGTCGTCATGACGGCTGTTCCTTTTTGCGAGTCCCCTCACAAGGAGTCGACAGCAGTCAAGATACCTTTTGTGCAGGGTCCTTACAGAAGACTCGCACGCAGGGCTTCGTCTATGCCTCTAAACAGAACAACCCTGGTGGTGGCGGTGGTAGGTCAGTGGTTGTCGTCGTCGTTGGCACTACTAGTAGGTGGAGTATGCCAACTTCCGGCTACAAACTAAACCACATCTTCCTGCACAACCTGCGGCAAGAAAAGTAGGCCAATAACAACAGGCACTAGGCAACAATCCTAGTTTCAGCTAGTTTCAACAAAACACCGACAAGATCAAGCATCAAGCGCAGCGCAGGCAAGAAGCGCACCAGCAGCAACGAGTAAATCAAAACAACACTGACGGACGCTTACAGCCCGGTCGTATCAAGTGCTTGCTGTGGGTCCGCAAGTGTGAAGCGCGCTGGGACCCTGCAGCAATAGGCCAGGACAGGTGTGCTTCGAGATGCTTGCCAGAAATATTGTTTTGAGGCTCAAGTGCTCACTTTGGGCTGTGTTCACAGGCGAAGAGATTTAAGCAGCACTTGCGAGATACATAAAGAGCCTTCACTTTTCTCCTGCCTCGGCAACGGGACCAGCAAACCCGCATGAGCACGGCGGATGTTGGGGCCTCGGCCGGCACTTCCCCTGCAAGTTTGCAACGGTCGCGTGCTTCTCTTCCTGCTGTGAGCGAGCGGGTGCAGCAGCATGCAGGGCTGTGAAGAAGAATGCAGGTTTATTCCCCGAAAGTTGCCGTCGCAACGATCGTGGTATGCCTGCTGCAGCATTTGCTGGATTAAGTGGCAGGGTTAGCCAGAAGTTGGTTGCAACATGTTGGGGTGAGCAGGCATGTATAGGATGCCGTAGAACCTTTGAAAAATGCCGAGTGGGGTGTTAGTAACAGTTAGTGACGCATCGATCCAGACGGAGGGTTGCATCTGGCACAGTGACACCTTTACTGGTGAACTCCCAGCTTCCTGTATTAGGTTGCAGGTCGTGCGGTAGGTGCGTTTGCCAGCGCCATGTTTTCCCGTCCATGGCTGCTGCTTCTTGCCGTGCAGCTGACTGCAGTGCTTGCGGCCTCTGCTCCCCGGCAGCTCTTGGGCGCTGCATCCTTGCTCCTGTCGTCTGCACAGCATGGCCCAGCACAGCCTCGCAGGACGGCCATGGAGACGTTCACCATCCGCATGAGGCTATCTTGCGTCCTGGCAAGAAGGTCTAGGCCTGCTCGAAAAGCTGACAGCTTGCTGTCGGTTTTGGACCAGGTTGGCAAACAAGACTTCAGGCTCTGACAGTACGTCCTCTGCAACGAGACCTGAACATAAACGTCAAACACGGCTGTGCCTTAGAGATGTGCCGAGGTTTCCTTTCTTCGCAATGCTGATCGGCATCGGAGCTGCGATTTGCTCCCGATGCAGCTAGCTAGCCAAGAGCCGTCCCAAGCCTGCATCGTCCCCAAGTGCTGTCAGGTATGTGCATCACACATCTTGGTTCACGCTGTCCAGTCGTGGCTTCGATACCGTACACCGTGTCGCTGCTGCACCTCGGCTTAACATACCTGCATCTGACATAAGACCGCTGGTGCCGTGATATCTGGCACTCTGCGCATGTTTCTCTAGGATCGCTGGAGTCCTGCTTGGAGCCATGCACATCGAGAGCTCTCAAGGCCTGGCTTGTATAGACGCAGAAAACGACTCCCATAGTTGGCCCCGGCCGGATGTCTGAAAGCTTGGGTTGGCGGGCATTGTGGTGCATTTGTGGTGTCGTCTGCTTCACTACCTTGGAACATGCTACACGGTAGTTTAGGTTGTTCAGGGACTTGATTTGATAGCCTGGGTTCGAAGAAACGCCTAGATTTCCTCCTTGTGCCGGAGAGCCACATGTACGATGCTCCTGAGACTTTACAGGGGTGCGTGGTGTTTCCGTGCTCATGGTTCTCTTTGGAGCCGTTGACGTTCTGGTCACTCGACATAGCTCCGTGTGGTTTCCTCCACGGCCCATGGCCTTCAGTCTGTTCAGGCCTGGGCACGCTGTCGAGGAGCATCGCCCTCTGGATGGACATCGAGCCTCGAATGGACCTTGAAAACCTAATCGGAGTTTAACTGCAAAAGCCAGCTATCTTCCAATACGAACAACTCCAAGCCGTTCTCTTAGCGCAAGCTGAAAGCTGCCCGGCCCGCTGCCCGCTCAGGACCCGCACGTGATTTTGTACTCGTTTCTGCCCGTGCTCCTCTTCGGAGATGCCTTGTCCATTGCGCCTCAGCCGTAAAAGCGCAAAGCATTGTCTACTTTGTTGCCTTTCGGAAATATGACATGCCCTACGTCCAGACTGGTGGCTAGTTCCCCGAGCAGGTTGCACCATGCTACGCAGGAAATTCCCATTCTGATAGTTGGGCAATCGACCTGAAAACGGGGGACACAATCCAATCCCCGCGGAGGTATGGCATGATTTCCGTCGGACGGCCATGCAATGCGCGGTGTTGGCAGGCTCGGGAGACAGAGGGGGCACACATGGGCACAGACACCTCGAGACACTCGGACCAGCAGAAGTACACAAAGACTCTGAGATACCCGACGGACCCCAACCTAACTGCCGCTTGGGTTGCACCGTAATTTGTGGGAGAAATCGCAATAGCTCTGCTCGTCGTGCCTTTATTGAAGAGAGAAGGAACCTGCCCGTCCTTAAGAAATTTTGAAACCGTTGCAAGCATTCTCATACTGTAGTTTACATGACCTCGTTTACTTCATCTCGAGGGATGAGACAGCTTCTTGCATGCTTTTTTGCTACGATAAGACACTCTCGTAGTTCTTGTTAAAATGCAGGACGTGAGCGTGTTGCTTGAGTAGAAGCAATGGATTCGTTTTGTAATGTTGCGAGAGCAAAAAGATGCTCCAACTCTGCAGCCACGAATTTGCTGAGCGTATCCTTACCTTGGCATGCAGAGGTTCTGGGTTGGGTGCGAGCCACGACATTCGTCATACATAGAGGTGTTTCCACCGTCTTATTTTGATGAGGACATACAGGGAAAAACTCGTGCTAGGTGCAAAGATGAAACTACTTTTTTTGCTACTGGTTAGCATTGAACAACATGAGCCTTCATGTGTAGTCCAATCACAGAAGACAGAAGCCAAGCAGCTGCATTTAGGACATTGGAGTCTCGTAATTTCCAGCTAACAGATGTTGAGGCGCTTCCATGCTTGATGCGGAAAGGTTATCTTCTCTGTTTCTTGTTGAAAAGCTGTAGAAACCGCGGTACTTCTTCTGATCAAACAAAAGAGATTCATGAATGTTTCCGACAACAACAGACCAAGCCAAAGGGCGCCTCCATCGGATCTACATGTAGCTGAGCAACTTGAGGTACAGTAGTGTTTTTCGTCGACGTACTGGCATTTTTGTTCAGAGATTCATACGTCTATGTCTTACGAACGAGAAGATGCAAGGAACATGAACAGCTTCAGAAGTTCCTTACAGTCAAATGAGGTTGATTTATAATGCTTTTCAGTTCGAGTTCAAACCATGACAAAGTCTGTATGTGGCGAAAGCCTGTGAAGCAAACCTAGTTATTCAGTTTTCCTGTTTTTCGGCTGTTCAACAGTACATGTGGTTCGTGCCCAGGCCAGGCTAACCAGCTATGAGTTGTTTGCGTGTTCAGTTCTTAATTGGTTTGTTTATGCGTATATATTGATATGTCACATGTTTAGGTTATGTATTTGCTATATTAACTACATATATATATATCATGCATACATACATATATATATATATATACCCCCCCCCCCCCCATGACAGACCATCCCCTTCAAAACATCGCTCCCACCGGCGTGTTCGTGCTTTTTCCGGAGTATCGAGTTTGAGCCCTCCGAACGTATCCCTGGAACCACCAAAAGACTGAGACCAGAAAGCAGCACGATAAGGCGCGCGGGTGTCCTACCAAGAAAGGAATTACAGAGCACACGTGTATGGATGAGGGTTGTGCTGACACACTACATAGTAAGCACTACACAGTAATCTTACTTGAGTCATATATAGAGCAGATTCCAGCATTTCCAAAATTTCCAAAATTCTCTCCCCTAACTTTCCAGATTTCCAAAATTTCCAAAATTTCCAAAATTTCCAAAATTTCTAAAATTTCCAAAATTTCCCGACCTAGTCGACAGGATTTTTCCAAAACATAAGGGCGGACTTTTTGGAAATTTTGGAAATTTTGGAAAGTTTGGAAATTTTGGAAATTTTGGAAATTTTGGAAATTTTAGAAATTTTGGAAATTTTGGGAAATTTTGGAAATTTTGGAAATCCGGAAAGTTAGGGGAGAGAATTTTGGAAATTTTGGAAATGCTGGAATCTGCTCTATATATGACTCAAGTAAGATTACTGTGTAGTGCTTTTAACACTAACGTTGACATGTATATTAATGCTTTCATTTCGAATATGCACATTACTAATTCTATTATTAACATTAATACTCCTACGCCTACCAATAGTCATATTCATATTGATATTAATGCCAATACTAACAGACACCTGCGTATATTAATGTCCGCAGATATACATACCACTATCTGAAAAGCAAATATATCAATGCATTCGTGTACTAACGTAGTATATTCGTATTTAATTTGTCATATACCCAGTTTCCAACGTGACAATATACTACTTGTTAACGTCTGATTATACTGTATTGATATGCTAACTTGCTAAGACACGAACACTGTAATACGCAAGTACACTGACACATGGCAATGGTATACTAACATATGGATATACCAAAAAAGTTGTTAGATAATCTACGAATATGATAAGTGAAGTAGCATACCAGGATACTCATACACTAATATGTTAAGAATCGAAGATAATAGCACACCAATGTACTAATGTACTCATGCACGAACGTACGCATGCATTAATATACTAAGAGCATACAAACATACAGGTATACAAACATATTACTGTTCGAATACATTATAATGTGTTGGTATACTAAGCTGTTTATATAATCTATCAGTATACTAATATATCAAAACTAATTATAGTATTGATACGCATACTAGCACGTCCGCGAATATTACACTGATGTTAAATTCATCATTAAGACTGATTGAAACTTACATCGACAATGGCACTGGCATCAACACTAATTATCACTAAATATGCTAGTGTACTAATATACGAATACTGTAAAAGGCAAGTACACTGACATGTTCACATGCCATTATGCCAACATATTGATATACCTATAAGCTATTAGGGAAAATACGAATATAGTAAATGTAGTAATAGACCACTATAATAATATACTAATATACTACTACGTTAACATACGAATATCATGATACACCAATATACTAATGTACTCATGCACCAACGTACTAATATATTCGCGCAATCTTCAACTCTGCAAATATACTATTGTTCGAATACATTACTGTATTATTATATTAAGCTCAAAATGTACGAATCAATCAGTATATTCACATATCAAAACTATTTCTATTACTGATACTAATACCAGCACTTCTGTGAATAATAAACAGATACTAAAACCAGCATTCAGACTGATACTAATACTAACACGAGTACTATTACTGACATTGACATCGACACTGGCACTAACACCAGCACGAACATAATCACGAGTTCATATTTACTATTATTGATATGTATACTTTTATTCAATACTAATACTAATACTGATGCTAATACTAATACTAAATACCAATACCAATACTAGTACTAAAGCAATACCCATCCTAATATCAATACTACCACAAAACTATTACTCATATGAACACTGATACCAGGATTAGGACTACTACAAACAATGACAGCAGTACTAAGAATAGAACCAAGAACAATACATATTAATCCTAACACTAATACTAGTACTAATACTAGCTACTAATTCTAATACTCATACTCATACCAATACTAATGTCACCACTACTGCTGCTACTACTACTGCTACTACTACGACTACTACTACTACTACTACTACAACTAGTACACATACTTAATACTAAAACTAATACTGATACTCATACTAGTCACTAATACTAATACTAATACTCATTCTAATACTAATACAAATACCAATACTAATGCTACCACTACTACTGCTGTGCGACAACTATCGCTAGTACGACGACTACTACTATTAACATCAAGACACATACTTAATGCTAATACTAAGAGTAATACTAATTCGAATACTATTACTCATACTAAACATCCTAACATCAATACTACCTACCACAAAACTAATACTAATGCTAACACTGATACAAGAATTAAGATCTACAAACAGCAATAGTGGTACGAAGAGCAGAATTGAGATTAAGATTGGGACTAGGAGCGCTGCATGCGTGTGAAGAAATTTCCAAAAATTGCAAACCATCTAAAAGAACATTTTGGAATTGAGTTTGGGAGAAGTGTCTGTCGCCTATCCGTTGACAGATCCTGCCTGGGGACGCACGCCACCCTTCCCCTTCCCCACGACGGTCTGTCATGGGGGGGGGGGGTGATACATACATATATATATATATATGCACGGCACATACGTGCTTCAGACACACACACACACACACACACACGCACACGCACACACACTTACTTACTGTCTGCATCCTGGCTATGCAAATGAGTGGCAGCAAGAGTGATGTACAGGGTCGGCTTGTACTTTTCGGGTTTAACTAGAAACGGCTGGGGGTTCGGGGCAGGGATCTGGGCCCATTTTTTAAACAACCCGCAAGCCTTTCCAGAACGCCCAAACAGAAGCTTGTAAACCAGCCCGAAAACCTGCAAGCCCAGCATCATCCTTGAAAGCAACCATGCAGGTTTGAAAGTTCTGGTTGCAATTTGGGCGTTCTTGAGACCAATTCAAGCAAGCTCACGTTAAACTTGGACACGCCACCCAGGATGGGTGAGAACGGATATTTAAGGTTTTGCTCCCCTCACCGAGCTGTACCTTTGTCACTAACGTCTGGGAACGGGAGTGGGGCGGATGGGAAGAGACTGAATCTAGACTCTGGAGCGGATTTGACAGGGCCGTATATAAGCATGACATGGGCTTAGAGGCTTAGAGTCTTCCCGACGCCTAATCCCTTAATGAAATGCACACTCTTTGATTATCCTTTCATTTTCAGCGTCATGGGTCGTCGTCATCGGAATCGTTTATGCCATCGTTCGTCAGGTTTTAGGGTTTAAGATTAATTTCCTGTATTGAGGGTTAAAGATGTCTGGCATTCCTGGATTGAAGACGGTCATAGGCTTTTGAATGTTGTGTATTGTTGTTTGGGCAACAGCCAGGCTTGCGGGAAAAGGTCGGCTTCCAGACAGTCTATTCGAGTGCTGCGACAGTAACAAAGGGGTCTTCTTGAGTGAGAAAGCTGCGCACACACACGCACACAAACACACACACACACACGCGCACACCATCTGCACAGCATTCTATGTATTTGCCCGGAAGTTCTTACGTACAGTCCATGTCGATCAACAGCAGCACTGCCAATCTATCAGGGCTTGCACAATATGTGCACATACAGACACACAGACAGACCGACAGACAGACAAAGACCGACAGAGGCAGGCAGGCAGGCAGACAGACAGACAAGCATGCAGACATGCATGCGCAAATACATACTTACATACATATGCACATACTACGTACATACAATGAATGCGGCCATAAGTACATCCATGCAAGTATACCTTCATGCAATGCACGCATTCTGATTCCGTCAGCAAAATGTCGGTATTGCACGACTCACAGCTGGCACAGGTTGCAAGACGATGCTAAGTTAGCTACTGTAGTTTCCCGACTTTGTCTGGAAGCATGCAGAGTTTGATCAGGCCCTGGCGTCCTCATCGGAACCGGACTCATGTTCATCGTCTCGAAGTACATTTTCCCCTATGGCCCCGGACTCAGTGAGTTCTAGACAGAAGCTGAGCATGTCTACCGCACTTCACTTCGCTTGATTGTGGGATACAGCAAACGTCCTGAAAACTAATTGGAAAAGCAGATAGGCAGCAGTGGAGTTGTGGCGAAAGTAATTCTCGCTCTTTGCATCAAAAGCTCCAGCGTGCAAACCCTGCACATTCGAAAGAACATAGTAAGAAATCCACGAACTGGTCTGCCGAAGTTTTGACCCAGGCTGGGGAGACTATGAATGTGCTGCCTTTGCAAGTGTGCTCGCTGCCACGGATCCCGTGGCTGTGGTGGGTCTCCTGAAGGCCAGGAGTGTCAGCAACATTTGCGGATGAAGGTTTGGATGCGTGCGTGTCTCGCAAAAGCAAGAGAGCACCCAAAGGCATGCAAGGGCACGACTCGTTGCCAGGAGCAGTGTTTTAGGGTATGTGATCTCTCCCAGGAGATGGGGGCCAGCCGCGTTCTCACCATGCAAATAGCAGGAGAGTCCTTGCTGAACGCTCCTTCACTGCACTGCTGGAGGGTGCTTACCTACTAAGCTGAGAATGGCATCGTGTGCCTTCGGTTTCTGCTTGGTTTGATTGAGGATGGTGTCGCCATTGTCGTCTGGCTTGTCTTCTTCGACTTCATGAAAGGCTGCGATGGCGACATGTGGGCAGTTTACCGCTTCCGGCTCAATCCTCATCCTCCCGGCCCACGGGTCTGCTGTCAGAATGAGCCAAGCACCTCCTTGCCCGGGTTTGCGGGGTTTGGATTCCTCAAAGGGTGGGTGTGGACGGCCTGTGGCTCTCGGCGACGTACTTGAATAACCCAGTCATTGCAGTGTCTTCATGAGGAGTGGTGGTGAGTGGTGTCTCAGAGATGTGTTCCGATAGTCAGGGACCACCATTGTGTTGAAAATGTTGCCTATCTCGTCTCCGGCCGGGGCAGGAAATCAAGCAGATGGCGGCGCCATCATAGGATCATTCCTTCGTGCCTTAGCTTGAAGCCTCTCAACGGGCTGACTTGCTGAACAGTTCAGGAGACAAGCGCAGCTCACAGAAGGCTAGCACAGCTTCTGACCATGCATGACTCCACACATGTAATGTAGTAAAAATGATGGACAGCCTAGATTCGAAGATAGCTCAAAGTCTGCTGTCGCCTACAAGGGTTATTGTGTTCCCAGAATTCGAATATTGAATTCAGATTCAATAAGCCGAAGCATCATCAGAGGCATCCGTCTGTTCGAGTTGAGCTGGAGTTTGTCAGAGTCCATGTCGCCTTTGAGGCCTAGCAGCCGGTGGCACAGCCTTCGGAGTCTTCTGCGGGCTAGTGGGCGCACGCTTCTTCGGCTGCATTGGTGGTTCACTTACTCGCCCGGCATTCACTTGCCTCTGCTCCACCAGGCTGGGCGTCGCTTGCATCCGATCGTTTGGTCCACACAGATGCCTTGGTGCAGGCAGGGCCAAGCCTTCCACGATGTCCTCGCAGTGACAGAGACAACTCTGATTCGCTCCTGAGGTCAGCCTGACCATCACTGCCGCCTACCTGGCGTTCTTTATTGGGGTGGCTAGGCTGTTCGTGTGAGGGCTCACTGCCTCCGAGTCCTGGGCAGAGCTCTCCTGCCGTGCACGCACGCACAAGATCCAAGGAGAACGAGCTGAAAGTCAGCGGGGTTCTTGCGGCCATATTCGCAGCATTGATGATGAGCAAGTTTGCCACACCCTTGGTCTGCCACAAGGAGCGTCGCATGTGCCAGGGGCCGACATGTACATGCTTTGGCCAGGATATAGTTCGGCAGTCTGTAGCATCTCTAGAAGGCTCTAGAACAGAGGATCTAGACGGACTGTGGTATGACGCCACGGTTAGTAGGCTTACAGTGTTGCCACATGCAAAACATAAGTCGCTTGATGACAGAGACAGCGACACGTACAGGAGGGTATGCTCGCGGTGTGGCACACCATGGAGTACTTCGGGAACACGGTCCTCTTCGTCCTTTGTGGGCTCTTTGCATATGAGTCGTGCTCGAAGGTGGCCTGGGCAGACTTCGGTTGGCTGCTTCTTCTCTACATTCTGGCGACCCTGGCAAGAGGGTTCATGGTTGCAGTCCTTTGGCCGGCCGTAAACTTGGTCGGTGGCTCCGATGTCACGCTTCTTGCCGGCAAAGCGGGACTTCGCTATCGGAAGCGCTGCACCGACAGAGTCGCGAGAAAAGCTCCACCCCACTCTCAGCTGAGGAAGACGACCTGGAAGGAATGCGCCGCTCGAAGCCCAGCCTGAGCAGGGGAAAGCAATCTATGCTTGTAGCTTGCAGGAAGTTTTATGCAGGCCGAACACTCAACACCCAGCTAACACCCCTTTCGCATGACGAGTGCTTCCAAGACGTCGTTTGGGTCCATGCAGTTACGACGGTCGTAGCTGTCGCCGTATTTCTTGCTTGCCACTACCATCGCTGCCATCGTCATAACTGTCCACCATCGCCATCACTTGAGCATCGTCGCGACAAGAAGCGTCACGTGCTCATGACCAACATCATCGCAAAAGCTCCCTGGCATCTTCATCATCGTTGTCATCCATGAACTAACCAGCCAGCCGCTGCCCAGGCAGCCAGGCGAGCAAGCAAGCAACCACCATCCTGTCAATCTCATCGGTGCCGAAATGGCGGTGTCGATGATCTCGAAAGTCATGTCGGTTGCAGCGATGATGATGTTGACTATGATGCTGATGATCTGGCTCGACAGCATAGTGCGGGCTCGCTGGCTCAGTGACCGTCTGATGGCATCGGCAGCATAATAGCGATGACAATGATTACTTGAGTGATACTGCGAAGACAAGTATGGTGACGGTTAATGACGATGCTTCTGATGGTCATGCTGACGAGGATGATGGTGATGATGATGGTCATGACGACGATGACGATGACGATGATGATTATTATTGCGGTTGTCATGACGACCATGAACAGTGATGAGGGTGATGGTCTAAGCTGATGACTGTAGAACGGATCGAAGCAAGAAGTGACAATGATCAATGGGCGCTGGCGCCGGTGATGGCCGCGGCCGTGGCGGTGAGGGCGGCATAGGGCGGCTACAACGTCAATGGTTGCGACGCAAGGACGACGGAGAGGTGGAGGGAGCAGGACTGTGATGGGAAGTGAACTTCTGCGACGCTGCTGGTGGTGGTGGTGGTGATGATGATGATGGAGCATCACCATTCTTCATAGCCGTCGTTGCTTCTGCAAGCCCTATCTGCGAGTAGCACTGTCGCCATTGTCATCGTGACGAGAGTCACAACCACGAGCATCCCTGCTTGTCACGAACCTCTTAGGTGGCATTGTATGAACACCTGCCCGGTAAGCGTTTCACTTTTCCGACACGTGCACCACCCGTTCGTGGAAAGGTGTGAACATTGTGAGGAATGCGCAAAAACCCTGTCGCGATACTGAGGTCATGGTTTGGGGCGGTCTGCGCGGTGCTGTTGGCCTAGCCCTGGCGTTGTCCATGCGAGACCTGGTCCGCCAAGCAAATTCTGTATGCCGTCTGCTTGTGGAAGCTTCGGACTTGGGACAAATGCACGCCTGGCCTGAAGCGCAGCATGGTGCCCTTCTGTGTCAGACTCCCGTGCTTATCCCAAGGAAACGAATTGCGGACGCAGGGGAAGACTGAGACGGCAGACCGCATGGTCGCTTGCCCTGCAGCAGGGGCCAGATTTCAAGCCCCAGCGCCCAAGGATGCACGCGAGTTATGTGCTGGTCAGCCCTTCCAAGATGTGTCACGGAGTGTGCTTCTCGCTGGAGCTAGCAGCAGCAGGAGCTAGGAATGTGTGTGCCAGTGCCGTGCAGTTCCGCAGTCAGGTATTCTTCGTCTCAGGCTTTGCAGCCCTGACGTTGTTGATGAAGCCTGGCAGTATAGCGAAGCCCATGCAGTCCATGTGGTTGGAAAACCCAGAAAGCCCAAGTCAAAGCAAAGTCCGAAAGTCGCCCAGAAATGCCACGACCTGCGGAGCACTCTTGCAGCGCTTGGAGCTCACCAAGCCTCCCGAGGCCAGGACCTGGGCCGAAGCGAAGCCCGGAAACCCCATACCGCCCATACCGTATGATCTTTTCATGAGGATCTTCTGTCGAAAGCTGTTTTCTTTAGACGCTTTGCTGTCGCTCTGCGCTGTTGCTGCTTCTGCGTGAACCATCATCCGTGCCGTACAACAGCAAATGTGGTGTGGTTGCAAAGCCAACAGCAAGACACCCGCATCACCAGGCACAGGTGGTGATCCTGACAACTTTGCGGAAGGTCTTGCCATTCGGCTGCAGTGATGAGCGATTCGACTGTATCTCGCATTGCTATCCAGTGCCCCCGTCTCAGGGTGTCGGTCTCGAAGAAGGCATTCGAAGATCGGCTGGCAGAGGATGGGCGCTTCAAAGCCGTTCACCAGCCCCTGTTCTGCCCTGGCAGCTTTTTTGAGAGCTGGAGTCCTGGGAAAGTCGCCAGTGGCGCTTGCGTCACCTAGGCAAGAACTGGACGCGCTGCTCGAGCATCTCGATGAGGAGCTCGCCCACCACGGCCACGGCCACCTCGACAATGAGCATGCGCAGGACTTGCCGCCCGCGCTTTTCTCGAGGTGTGCATCTCCATGGCATTGCTAGTTGCAGGAATCCGTGCCCCAAGACCACACACAGTTGGTGGGCAAGTCGATGGAAAGTTCTGCGACTGCAGTCGGACTGTTCACACACTATGCTGAAAACGGATCCCTGCGATCAGGTTCCGATGAAATTGCGAATGAGATTACCACAGATGTTGTACCCGAGGCCGAGGACGCAGTGTAGAATGGTCCAGGGTTGGCGTGTGGACGGGGCCAGTTTGGCTTTCTCGACGAATACATAACAGCAGACCGACAAGCACTCTGCTGCATGCTGCACACACGACCATCGGTGTGCGTGGCAGGAGCCTTCCGTGGAGGTTGTGGCAGAGAAGGTTGCAGAAACAGGCTTCGAGCTGTGATTTCTAATCAGCTCCAAAGGAGCATGTTGAGAGCAATCCCGTGTGACCCTACACGACCATATTCATCCCGGTGAGGCACCACAGACCAGGATGCCACATCAGCGGATCCTGCGCAGAAGAAGGATGCAGAGAAGAAGGACCTCTCAAAAGAGAGGCTGAAAGAGTGTATAGTTTGCGGGCATCTCTGAGCAGGAGGAGCATTGGTGGTGGGGTTTCGAACAAGTTCAACCTGCAACTTGTCGCAACCGCTCGTACAGAGGGGCTTGAAACAGCTGCGACTCGCGACAGCAGGCATCTGGTGCCACGAACAAGCCTACTGGGCCGTCCTTCTTGGAAAAGCGGCAGCTTGGCCGAGCAGGTTTTGGTCTGGACTGCTAATCTAGGGGCCACTAAATTTGCCATCTCGATCTGAGGTATGGCGTGGCAACACGGGGCACACATCAGGACCGTGTAGTTTCACTCTCCGCTCACTGCCGTCTATAACACGTAATGCCAAGATACGCAACGCCGATGTCAATGTTGTTGCGAGGAACGTATTGTCTACCGCAAGCTATTCCTCTCCATGCTCCGTGGCTTGGCAGAAAGATGAGGTGGCACCGATTCAGGAAGGAGCAGGAAGAACTGAAGACTTCAGGAGTTACGTCCATGCTGCTTTCTCTGCAGGCGCCGAGTACATGCGCCTCATGGACACCGGGATGCTGCCGCGACGAGCCGAAGGCCGTGCACGTCACGAAGAGATGGCTTTGAGGGGGCTTTGGGCGCTTACGGAGCGTTTCGCTTTGGCTTTGGGAGATCTTTGCAGGAGCGGAGCTTTTGCTGGCGAGCATCGATGCGGCAGACGACTTCGCTGCCATCGGCTTGAACGACTGCACCGCATCGCTTTTCTTTTAAGCCCCCTTGCCGTGCCGCTACTGACCAGCTACAGTAGCAGCTGGCAGCTAGCTGTCTCCGGCGGAGGACTGGAAGATCCTCCAAAACCAGTTGCTGAAACGTACCTTCCTCGAGCTGGGCGGGCTGGGGTGATCGGGGCACCCACTTCAGTGTGAAGCTCTACCCGATCAGGCCGTGGGAGCGTCTTGGTCAAGGCAGGGCTCAGAAGCGACGGTGTGGACTGGACGCCCACTACCCACTCACAGCTGCAAGCGTCATGTAGCATATCCGTCTCCGACAGCAACGCATGTAGTAGGTGTGCCGCACTGCTTTCATGCAACGACTCGTCTGCGCAGCACGAAGAGAATTCCAATGTACCGGCGGGCATCCGAGTGATTGCCAGCACGAAGATTCCGCCCACTCCTGCCGAAGGCTCGTGAACTGCTGTCGCCCTACTTCGCGCTGTTGGGCCGCAAAAGATTGCAATGTTGGAGGGCTGAGACGGACTGTTGCTTGAGCCGCAAATGCAGCTTATGCAAACCCAGCTCAGGTTTGCCCCCGTTCCAACCGTCAGTGGCAACATGGTTTTCGATCTCTTCACGGTCGTGGCGTTCATCGATGCGCACCACACTGTGTCTAAGGTAGCACGAAGATGTCATGTGAAACTCATGCAGCCGCCTGAAGCGCACAGCTTCGTAAGTGCTAAGCAGAGGTGTGCCACCGGCTTCTCGAGAGCGACTGCCTCAATGGCGATGCACGGGAGGATGTCGTCAAAGAGTCCTCCACTGCCACTTGCTGCCAAGCTACGGGGATTGAAAGTTTCTGTCAGCTTCGTGTGCGATGAAACCCTCAGCCTTGCGACCCCTTATCCAGACTCTGGGGCGCAAGCATTTTGCTCGGTCGCCATATCAGAGCTGCCCCGCACAAAGCCGCTTTTGAGCTACAGACGTCGGACTTTGATCTTGAGCGAAACCGCTGGTGCTGCAGGTCTGCAGGTTTGCATGCGTGTTCATGTCTGTTTGCGCTTCCAATCCCACGATGCTTCTCCTTTAGACTGACCATGTCAGGTTTAGGCACACCACCCTTCAAACGATGCGAGTCGAGGCTATGGTTTGGCAGGCTAAACCATGGCTAAGGCTTCTCTTTTCCATTGAACTGCATCGGATGACTTGTTTTAGTTGGAACTGTTGCGCATCGGCCTTGGACACTGGACTCGAGTGTGGGCTGTGTCAGCTCAGGAATTGGAAGCCGCACGTGGCCTGGATTGCAAAGCCCTGCTTGCTTTCACCTAGTTGTCCCCTGCATCTACACCCCACACCACATCATCAAGAGTCTCTGGTGGGGAGAAAGAGCCTGCATAAAGGTTGGGAGCTGGGTCCGCGGCAGTGTTGCTTTGAGACTGTGGACGTTGGAATTGGCTTTGGCAGTAGTTCTGTGGAGCTTGTTCGGGACGAACATGGACGAACGATAATGGAGGCAGGAGGACTGTCCTAAAGACGCCGCGAGAGAGCCACCAGCCAGTAAGAAGACCAACATTGACGCATGTCTTTGTTGCGTGATGCGGGTTGCAACCAAGATCAGCTGCTAAAAGAAAACTGCACCTCGGCTGCACAATGGGGATTAGCTCAAGCCGTGTAGAACCGCTGCTTCTTCGAAGGCATCGGCGCGAAACAGATCAGCAAGGCCAGCCATGCCGCAGACTGCTTGCGGAGCTACTAGTGCAGTCGGGATCGACACGAATGCTCACAGTGTTAGCAGGGATGTGAGACGACCGTAAGCACGCAGAACTTGCCGTCGGGGTCGGAAGAGTTCGAGTGATTGCAGTGGCCAAGTTGAAGTTCTCGTCCTCTTTCGAAGCAGTCTACGGACCTGGTCAGGTTCGCACGATGCAGCTGGCCACGATGCTGTTCGAGGTTCAGAAGGACGGGCAACAGTATTTTGTGTCGCAAGACACAGCCTGCACGGAAGCACAAGCGCCTTGAAGAATCTCGACAAGGGGATAGCAAGACTACCCTCTCACCCTGCCGTGGCCGATCCCGGACATCAGGAGCAGGTGTCTCGCTGGTTGGAAATGGGTGCCGCAGCTGCAGCATGACAATCCCGTGACACTGTAGCTGACCATGACATCCGTGCCGAGCCCGCGGGCTGTCAATTGGTTTCATTCCCAGCAAGCGTTCCAGGCGTCATTTCTGACAAGGAGATGGAGGCCAGGATGTGCACTGGCCAGTGGGCCACAACAGTGCGGAAGATTGTGGGCTTTGCGGGGCCCTGGCAAGAGCACTTCTGGCAGGAGCTCCTGCACATCATCAAGCACGGCCTGGAGCACTCGCAAGAGACCATGAAGAAGAAGGCCGCATGGACTATGGTCGGGTGAGCTCTAGGTTTGCATGAGGAAGAAAGATGCCGCTGGTTATGCGTACTGATCTGTTGCAGGAGCCTAAGAGTATTATGCGAAGGGACACCCGGTGCGAAATGATTTGCCACTGGAAAGTCTTACAGCCTCCGGACACGGTGTCGTATTGTTAGTGCAGCGTGGTGCACGACAGTGCCGTGTGCGGTGTTGACGAAGGGATCTTGTGAAGGTCTCGGATTGGTCTTGTAACGAGAGATCTTGACACCCTTGCAGATGTTTGAGCAAGTTCGAGGCTAGATGTGTTCATGCAGAAAGCCATTGATCGTGCTTGCTTGGATCAACACTACCAAATACTGGCGGCAGAACATATTCTGTGAACTACTTGCATGCCAGGCCTCAGAAGCTTAGCATTCCGTAACCACGTATCGCATGTCCTGCCTAACCTAGGAATCACACACTATAGCCTGTATGTATGTATGTATGTATGTGGGTATGCATCAGGTATGTGTGCATCTCTCTTTGTGTGTGTGTGTGTGTCATTCTATCTGCATTTGTCGATACAGTGGGAAAGATAGAAGCAGGTCAAGATGGGCCGTGCCCGTGTTTTGCAATGAATGAGAATCCCTGGAGTGCCCAACCCCACAGACTACCGTGAGAATCTTTGGAGTGCCCAACCCCACAGACTACCGTGAAAATTTTTGAGTGCCCAACCCCACAGACTACCGTGAGAATCCCTGGAGTGCCCAACCCCACAGACTACCGTGAGAATCCCTGGAGTGCTGACTACCGTGAGAATTTTTGGAGTGCCCAACCCACAGACTACCGTGAGAATCCCTGGAGTGCTCAACCCCACAGACTACCGTGAGAATTTTTTGAGTGCCCAACCCACAGACTACCGTGAGAATCCCTGGAGTGCTCAACCCCACAGACTACCGTGAGAAGTTTTGGAGTGCCCAACCCCACAGACTACCCTGAGAATCCCTGGAGTGCTCAATCCCACAGACTACCGTGAGAATCCCTGGAGTGCCCAACCCCACACCGTGAGATTCCCTGGAGTGCCCAATCCCAACTTTGGAATCTGCCGGGGCCTCGCAGCCTCCTCGAGAGGCTTAATTCATAATGCATCGGACTCGTTTGTCACAAGCAGATTCCACACGTACTCTTCTGTCATATTTTGTACAACATCTTGTGCTATACAAACACACTTGTTCCACACCTAAACCCCCATCACAACGCGTGTGAAACATCAGCCCTAATCTTGCTGCGTTGGCCGCAGCGTGGCGGCCCGCGGGAGTGCTTGGGAATACCAGGGTTGTCGGCTGCAGCGTGGCGGCCCGCGGGAGTGCTCGGGAATGCTTGGCACTGTGCATGTCAGTATATGGGCAAAAAGTAGTGTATATAAGTATATATATATATATATATGGTCACGCGCTCCGCAGGCCCCCCCCCCTCCCCCCCCAAAGGTCAATGGTCCGGATATAGGGTGGCCCCTCCCCTGTGGTGTGGGGTGTGGGGTTCCTCTTCCCCCTGTGGGTGGTTGCGGGGTTTTGGGGTTTAGGGTTTAGCTTAAGCTTTTGAGTTTTGAGTTTACGGCTACAAAGTATAAGGCTTCGAGTCGACAAGGGCTTAGGGAGGATTTGCGGTGTATGCTCTGCTTTAGGCTTAGAGCCTGCAGTTAGGTGGGGTTTAGGGTTGGGTGTAACGTTTTGAATACAAGTTAAGGTTGCTCAAAACCGGAGCACGCGCTGCGTCATAGGGTTTACGGCTTGCTTGCGAAGGGCTTGCGCGTGAGCCCTGGCCGCCAGCACCACCCCACCATCCAGTGGCAGCTCCAACGCCCCCAACCCCTTTCCGCACACGCCAGGCCCCCCCCCCCCCCACCCCTATCAGACCATACCATTGGGGGGGGGGGGGGGCTGGGAACGCCAGACGCCTGACCATATATATATATATATGTTTATTTATCTATATATATATATGTGTGTATATATATATATATTATTTTACTTCGAACATCCCCACCCTCGTGCCTTGTCCCTCCGACACGCAAATCCTAAGACCAAAAGAACCCGAGCCTAAACCTTAAACCCTGGTGTCTCATGCTGACATGCCCTGTGCAGCCAGGTACTCAATCAGGTGCGCAAGGCTCGGACTCGGGCTGGGATCCAGCACGGTCCAGAAGTCTGATGTTCCGACTTCGGACCTCCGACAGGCCAGAGAGACCATGATGACTTTCCGATCCAACACAGGCTGGATCAAGCTTGCCATGCTTGCCGTTCGGCGTTGAATGTTACAGTTTGGAATCAACGGCACACACTGCTGTCAGGCCTACTCGCGTCGCGTGAGACAGAGTGAGATCTCAGGACATCGGGGCAATTTGCGGATCCACCCTTCGACCCTTACCTTACGAAGACTTCGAGCGAGTTATTGAGAGGGTTGGGTTGCTGGAGCTTCGAAGAGGGATGAAAGCATGTACTCTCGGGCTGGACACGTGTCGGATACGCTTCAGCTCTTGGCAGGAGCATGGCCTTGACGAAGCTTCGTAGAATACCCGTGAGCTCGGGCAGCACTGTACAACTCGAGAGCGGTGCAGTGCGAGGCAAGATGTCTCAGAAGGCTATAGTAGGAGTGACTTCTTGAATCTTGAAGGTTGACCTTGGAGGAAGCTGTTGTGCTGTTTCCGTCTCGGTGTCCAAGCTTCAGGGTGAATGCCCCAGACATGTGCTCAACCACGAGCGGATAATGCCAGTTTGGCACGGTGCAGCGCGAATTTCCGGCATGGGCTGTAGCCATAGCAGATGCAAAGGCAGCCATCAAATCAGGGGTTTTCAAAAGTTGCCGGGAGTTCGGTCTGCCACGGTGTCGGAATGAGTCGGAAGCCTCGGGGCCTCCCTTTAGACATCTTTCGGGAAGCCGTGCCCATCCAAGTGAATAGCTCTGCCGGACCACAGGATTTGGCTTGCCGGGCTGCCTCGACGGAGACTCAGGGTTTGCAGCAAAATCGTGTCCTGCTCTCGAAGCTCAAAGGCACATCCTGCTTCTTACTGCTGGTTCTGATGAACACAGAACCTGGGGACAATGCTTTCCGAACACAAATGTTCCTCGAGTGTCAGAGAGAATGGATGGTCGCATCGCAGTCGATAGAAATGGCTCTGCCTTTAGGCGAACTTGATTGGTTCTCTACTTTACGACATGCACGTGACTCCATTTCTTCATGTCGAGCTGCCTTGCACCTGTCCATGCGCCTTGGCACCTGTGCCCTTGTCAAGTGTTTGTTATGATTGCCCGCTCTGCCAAAGGCAGAGTGTGCAACAGTGCCAATCAGTGCCAGCCACGTAAGCTTGGCCTCGAAGAGGACAGGGAAAATCGCCTTTTGTTACCGACCGGGACGTTTCGACTCTCACAGCTAAGCCCTGAGTGAGGCCAAGGATGGAAGTCCTGGCCGCAAAAGGCAGGCAGCATTGAGGGCTGTGCCATCCAGAATTGCTTGCGCCTGTGTATTTGCGGGACAGCACTGTACCTTGGGCATAAGGGTATACAATCACAACCTTCAGCAAAAATGGTGTGGCTGCTCCAGGTATGGGTACCAGGGTTGTGCGAAGACACGAGCAGCCAATCTGTGAAGCGAGTTTCGACCTTCATGTGCGTGCTTGCCAAGCGGTACTGCGCGTAAAGCACTTCTACCATCTTCGCTGCTTATTGATGAGCATCGCTCTTGGTAATCTAGATGCAACTGATTGCGTGAACACATTTTACTTGTGGATGTGCTGATTATCTTACTTCGTCTCCACGTTCTTGACGTGCTCTGTCTACTTGACACTTGTTTCTGTACCTGGTGATCGACTACAACGACCAACCATCGATGACAATCTCAACAATGTGTGGCTCGCGGCGAAGCCTCAGACTACATGAATGTCGGATGGTGCTGCCGATTACGATCAGCATAGATTTCGCTGGCCAGGCAAAGATGTGCGTGTGTGTCTGATGTGTCTTATTCTTCTGCCAGCTATTCGTGAAGTCAGGTCACACCAGCGTGAGGGAAGCTCAGGTTGCCCCACTGGCAATGAACGGCCTTGAAACGGGCATGTCGGCCCACACGTGTTGAGAACATATTCTAGCAGTTAGCAACAAATCTCACATATTGCGACAGCCATCTGGCCACCGACCGAGATTCGGGAACAGGCGGCGGCTGTCTCCTGGAGCTGTTTGCCCAGGTGATGCAGCAGGACGGTGATTTAGGGGGGTTCAAGAGCCCTCAACCTGGAAAACCCTCGACCTTTCAGGGGTTAGGGGGATCACGCTTTTGGCCTCTAGGACCAAAGCTGGTGATGGATATTGGTGCGAACTATGGCCAAAGCAGTGTCTTGCATGCAGTGCAACGGGCGACGAAACAGCCTAAAGCTTTCATGGCTGCTCTCTTGGATGTTAGCACTGCCAAGGCGAGCGATATTTGGCTGCGGGTTTCAAGGCGTGATGCACGCGCATGTACGTTGGTAGGCGAAGTGGACAAGAACAAGATACGAGATGTTCTGTTCAAAGTTGCCAAAGCGTGTAGGCATGTCCCGCTGCGCAGGTCGTAGCTGTGGAGCCAAATCCCGCAGCTGCTGCGGTGCGATGTCCTAGTTTCCACCTTCCGCTTGCTTTTCTGAATCAGCGCTTCCATGAAGTAGATTGCTCACACCTGCTCCTTTGTTCCGCGGAGTATCTCTGCAGTTCTTAGTTGCGGACCGGACTCTTTCCCCAGAGGGCCTCCGCGATCGCCTTCAAAGTCACGTGAGCGCAGGGAGCCTGGTATTGGAGGAAGGCACTCGCTGAGAGCACTTATGCAGAAGATGCCTTGTTGCTTGACAGCTGCACCTCATGGCGCTACTAACGTGAGGGTGTGTTTGATTGTTTGGTGGATGGTGAAGACATTGTGCCCGACGCAAATAGTCAAGAGCGCAGGAGAAGGCTCTTTGGAATCAGACCGATGCTTCTGGGGCCCCGGTGTCTTGGAGGCAAAGAACAAGTCAGCTTCCCCCTTCCCGGATTCCCCTTGCTCCTTCGATGCTTTTTGATGTCTGACATTGATCTGCTACGGCCTACGGATGGCACGCCCCTCCTTTCCTCACACATGCCTTTCACTGGTAAAGGAGGTTCCGTTCAGTGTAGGCCTCCGTAGGCCTCCAAGAGTGCAATGGCCTCATAATGCAGCGTCCCCCCTGGCAGGATGTAGCAAGGGGATATGCTTCACAAGTCTCCGAAAAGGATCAAAAACGTAATGTAAATGTGTGAGCGGCATTTTTGGGGGAACGAGCGACTCGCACTGTCTTTTGCGCATAGCAGCGAGTCGGGCACTGGCCCCGATTATTCAAGCATGCTTCCAGGGATGTAAGCCCCTGCGATTCAGGCACTAGAATTAAGGGTGGGGTGTAGGGCTTCTGGGTTGACAGTCCGCGTTCAGGTTTTTTGGTTTGTATAGGGGTCTCGGTTTGGCGTATCGATGGGCAGAGAGCCCAATCTAAAAGGTTGGTCGGGTTTAGGGTGCGGGTGCAGGGCTTGGCCGCCGCTCGACTGTCGAGCTTTCGGGCAGGGTTATTTCGATTGTCAGATAGCACGGAGAGCCGAGACTGTAGGATCTAGGGGTTAGATTTGCTTTCTCCATTTGGGATCTTGAACTTGTATGGCTGAGGCTTTTGCTGATTTGTTTTGCCGAGGGATTTGGGATTTTGGTATCGGCAGGCCGTGAGAGTCGAGACTTAGGGTTCTACGGTTTAGGGTTTAGGTCCCTGAGGTCTTAGGGTTTTGCGGCCCAGGGGCCTAGGTCAGGTTTATGGGGTTCAGGGTTTATTGTTCAAGTTTAGGCTTTAGGGTTCCGGGTTCTAGGAGTTTCAGGGTTTAGGGCTTTTTGAATTCAGGGTTCAAATCCGTGTTGTTGGTGGGGCCACCCGCACGGCTGTTGTGCGCATTCATGGTACTCGGATCCGTTGTGTTCGGTATCCGCGGCGCGAATCCGCCTCCCCAGGGTGTGTGAAAATTGACATCCTACCCTGTCCCGCGACATGAAACACAAACGGGAATTTCAAGCGCCAGATCAATTTCTTTTTTGGGGGGCGGAGCTCGGGCGCTGCCTTTGTCAGTTCGCAGCTGCTCTTGTGCACGGTGTGAGCTTGCCTTTCCGGTGCTTGGGATTGCACCGGCACAAACTTCCTGATTAGCAGTTGTCCTTTCGACATTTTACAGTTGCGCTTGTTGTAGCTTCGTCGACTTCCTTCATCGGGTGTCACCCGGGCGTTAAGGTGACTTCTGTCGCACTGTACGTCAACAAGGAAGACTCTGAGTGGAGCAGCTGCGCCGGCTGTGATTTTTCCTTTGCTAAGGGCGTGTGGTAGCTAGACTCCGGACTTCTCAGCTCGCCACTCACCAGGCTGTCTGCGAAATGTGGGACGGAGGTACGATACAGAGGACTGCATCTGAGCCTGTCTTGCTGAGTTGTTAAGGTCCAAGCATCCACAGGTAACTATTTGATTTCAGCTCGCATCTTCCACACGTTCCGGAAAACGAGCCTCTCAATTCTTCCGGCCCAACCCCTAGTTCGAAGCACTGCTGCTAGCCAAGCGTGATCCAACAACACCAGTCCGTACCTTGTCTTTACCTTCCTTGGCGATAGGCGGTCTTCGAAGGAAAGACGTGAAAGGTGTCTGCTCCCCCATGCTAGTCTGACAGTCGATCCAGATGCAGGCCGAAGCCGTGAACGTCGCGACTGTGACCCTCGCTGCTCTCTAGATGCAGCTGGCGTTGGTTTGTGTTAGATCTGCTGAGTTCCTAGCTTTTTGAACAAACCGGGACTCTGTGAGAGTGCGTTTTTGAGGTTTTGCACACCTGCGAATCCACAGAATGCAGACAGCTGAACGAACATACAGAAACGCACAAAGTCAGGGAAAGGTTTACAAGATCCAACGACAACGAGCAAAACCCACCAACAAGCCCGGGAAATCCCCTGCTTCATTCAAAGCCACAGAAATAGCGTTTTAAGATTGTTGCACTACTGCTCTAGATTCTCTTTGAACTCGCCAGCTGAATCCAACTGTCACTGCGACACTAGAAAAGCGCACTCTTACAGCGACATGGTCTCTGCAAGTAAACTTAACTCTTCGCGCATACAAGTGCACCGCACCTCGAGTGGATTCTTACTCCGGAGGTTTCGGCAATGCCGGCACCCTCACATTCCAGATCTTGTTGAGCTCTCACGCGACTACTACTGCACTACGCCTTCTTAAGGACCTTTTCGTTCAACATGGAACCCCATGGCCAAAGACTGAGTTGACTGAGCATGAAGCATGCCCTCACTGGGAACATAGGTTCAGCCAAACTCTGTGGGAGGTATTTGAAGCTGGACACCGAAGGAGCTGACGGCATGGTGCTCCAGCAGGCACTCGGGAATCTGTAGTTCATGCATGCTTCTGTCCTGCATGCGCTCTTAAACGCTGCACTCAGTTGTCCGCGCTGGACTCGAAGCCGGCATACCTCTCTTTCGTGCCTCGGTGTCACACTGTGAAACGCGTTTCACACTGTCACAGCCCACCGCAGTTGTTTTGCCCGAGGAGCTGAACAGTCTCGGCTACATCTCGCAGGAGGGGCCCGAGCGAAGAGTCAGAGACTTGGCGACTTGTATGGACATGCTGTGATCGCAAGTCCAGGCATTCAAGCTCGGCTATCAAGAATTCAAGGCGGAGCATTCTGCATATTGAGCTTGGAGTCATCAGTCCTACACGGGGGTGCAACAGAACATTCGGTGGCAGGTGGTCCCACAAAGCCGCCACAAAGCTGAGCATCTCCAGGATGAGCATGGAAGGCTGGAGAGCATGCGCTGCAGCACCGGTCAGCTGGTTTGCCACTTGATGCCAAGAGCCTCGACATGTGCACTGCACGTAGGCCACTGACTCACGCTGGCAATTTCGGCGAGGACTTTGATGCCAAGCTCGTTTCCACCGTGCGTGTGCTCAAAATGCAGGATGCAGTGGGAGTGGCCGGAGAAGGTTGGCAGGATGAAGGCGGGCAGACTGCGGCTGCACGGCTCGCAGTGTGGTACAAGAGCATGTTTTGTGCGAAGGAGCTACGCTGGATCTTTGCCGCAGCTTGTGCTTGGTGCGCAGCCCTGCATTGGTAGGCAAGTATTGCTCAAGACTTGCATTCCGTGAACTTACCTGCTTGACCGTGTTGCAGACCATGGGAGCTAGGTGCCTGCACTAGGGATTTGAGGATTCGTGACGTTGCTCTTGAGGTCCACGATGCAGAGGCAGATGCACCCACCTTCGCCAACGGCCCGCCGAGGTGGAATCTGTACCTCGCAGACTTTCAACAGCCACTAGTGAGTCACTAGTCTCGTTAAAATACGCATCCCAAAACATCTTGGAGACCCAAGAATGGTGCACACAGTAGTGTTGGAGCTTCAAGGTGATTAGAGAGTCCCACAGACAGTTTGTTGTAAGCCCAAAGTTGCCTCGTCTGGATAAGCTGGGACAGATTTTAGTGAACTGATGTGTGATCCATGCATGGTTCGGGAGGCTTTCGGTGCGGATCATGTAAAGACGAGGTGTTCATTTCTGATGAGGCTGCGTGCTGCCCTCACGCCGCAGGTACGTGGACCGAGACTTCGCCACATTGCGGGCATGCTTTCCAATCGAAAGTTTGAATGATGAGGCCGGATGCATGAGCATGCGCTCAGTGCAGGGATGAGATGTGTTCCGGTTCTCCTTGAATCCGAGGATGCTGCATTGCAGTTATGGCAAAGTATCTGCATGTGCAGGAGTGGTACGACGTCCATTGCCGACATAACTCTGTTAGCTCCTGCCGGCAACCAGATTGCACAGACGCATTTGAGAAAAGCCGGAGCCAGATGCCTTGCAGGGCCAGGTTTCTTTCGCGATTGCAGGCTGAGAGATCTTCAGAGCCTCCTTCTGAATTTCCCGGATTGGCTGATTGCTTGCACATTCCCAGAAACATCTGTGAGTTAAGCTTCCGCCATAGCCGCCACAGCCACTCAGCCCATCCTAGCGAGATGGCGTCCAAGCCGCTACCGGGCGCCGGGCTCGGAGGAAAATCTGTTGGAGCCATCACAGCCGCAGCTCCATTTGCATACAAAGGGGCGCCCTCAAGAGTTTCTCATGTTCCCTCGCTTTGTTGGTGTGCTGCCGTGGTCCCAGTTTGGCTGCGGTCAAGGATGGGTTGCTTTCTCGACCTCCGGCGCCGAAAGCTCAGCATTAGCAGTTAGTAGGCACCTTGCAGAAACAGGAGCCAAGTGTTCTGTGAGTGTCTTCGGCAAAGGTCGGGGGCATCTTTGGATGGATCTTTATCCACCCTGCCACTGCGCTGTTAAGCTTCTGCTTTAGGTTGCCTTGTCGTCATTCGTACAGAACTCAGGTGAACACCCTGGCAATTAGGATGAACCTCGCGAGTATGCAGGCCTTGGATGGGTCACGTTCCCGAATGCGACAACCGCACAGTCCCATAGTCTCCGATGAAGGTTGTTGTGCCTGAGTTCTTCGCTAGTATGTCTTTGTGTCAGGCTTATTGTCTCTCTTTGCAGGTGTGCCTGGTGTTGCATTTTGCATCCCAGCATATTCCAGCATCATGCCTCCGAGTCAGCTTGACCCAATTTATTGGCCTACCCAGAGGTTTGCTCGTGTATTTTGTTTCATGAACTTCACAATGTGCGTTGAAGGGGTTAATATTTCCTGATCGCAGAATCCTGGAGCGAAGCTGAGCCTCGCCACTTTTGCTATGGACACTGTTAACAAGGCATTCGCCTCAGCCAACACCGATGGTCCGCTCAACAGTGTCTTGCTTTTGCTGAACCCAAGCCTGTCGCCGAGCAAGTGCTGACACACTCAGTCCGGCTTCGCAAGCCTTTACAATGGCCTGGGCGCTGGCATTTGGAGACAGGCAGCGCCGCTGTAGATGTAAGCAGACCAATTGTGAGCAAACTTAATGCTGTCGCCTTGGACCCTGTCTTTTCTGCCATGAGCAGGTGTTCTACGCCAGCAGCCGGTATGGCTTGCCATACACCAAGACGAGACTGTATGTTGTGGAGAGGCGTCTTCGGCTGCGTGTCATGCATACAGGCAGAGTGGGGGAAGTCAGGTTGGAGAGCAGCCGAGGTTCCAAGTCTTCAGGGATACACTGACCCAGTATCGCGAGGTTAACACCTCGGCAATTCGTGGATCCGTCTCAGTACATCCGTGACTCTTTCACTTTTTTAAACTACCCGAATTGAGATGGACTTCGCTGCCCGGCTCTCCTGCGCTGGGAGCCCAGTACATACAGACGCGTGTGGCGTGTGGACATCTTTCACATTACAGGTAGATAGATGGATAGCACGTGGATGTACATACGGCTTAAGCAGCTTTGCTGGCCAGCGTGCTCTGCGCCCCGGCCATGGTCGAGGCCACGGCCGCCGGCGGCCTCGCCGCGCTCTTCTCGTGCCCTTGCGAGGCCAAGCGGATGAGAGCTGAAGCGGCTGCCGCAGCTGTCGCAAGTCCTACGAACGCCTTTGATCCCGCTCAGGTCTCCCTGGTGCGGCTCTCCAACGATGCGAGTCTGCCCGAGGCGGAGAGAAGAAACTACAAGGCCCACAATGGGAAGATGCATGGCGTGGCACTGCGGCAAGTCTACTTTTTCATGACATGATCGAGCTGTTCTTGCGCCCATAGGGTGTGATGGACTGTGCGCAGCGCATTGCGCGAGAAGAGGGCGTGCGAGCCTCAGCACCGGTCTGACCGATCCACCCGGGCTTGGGAGCCTGTGGGGGGTCTTGGCAGGTCACAGCCTTCTGGCGCGGCAGCATGCCGTTTGTCACGCGAGCTTGCCTGGTGGGGGCAACGCAGGTGCTCCGAGGGAGCTGTGACACTTCGACTGTGTGCCGCCCATGCCATGCAAATGTGCGGACGCTCAAGGAGCCTTCGGTCAAGAATTCGTTGCAGCTTCTTTTGATCACTGGACAAGCTGCTGCTAACCGGCAGAAGGTGATTGATGCCACGCCAACACGGGTGGACCGGCACTGGTGCCTGCCAAGACATGTCAAAATCCAACACCGTGGAGTCTAGCAACTGCCTAGCACAAGCGATGCTAGTCGAGTTCTAGACTGAAGATTCCTTGGACCCGAAGACGATCCAAATATCCAACGATATCCAACGCCCCAATGCACTTCGGCCGCGGCCTGCGCTTTGCGACACATGCCGGCCATGGACTGGCAGCTACGAGGCGGAAGTAGAGTCCTGCTTTGACAATGAATAAGGTATGCATCTCGTACAAGTAGACATCGCAGCAGCGTGCCGCAGGCAGATTCGTTGGGTTTCGTGACGCGGATACCTCGTCCATTTTGAAGATGTGTGCTCAAGGAACCACGAGCTCAGACTTGGCAGAGGCTCCATAGCTTCAGTTCTCGTAGCCATGTGAAGCTTGGCAATGCACACAGAAGCCTGGAAGATCACCCTTAGTAAGCAGCAACATCTTCAAGGTTTACAAGCCATGAGAGCCATGGCAGATGCACAGCTCTCGGAATCGACGTGGAGACCTTGGGCAGGCTTCCAAGCCTGTCCCAGCCAATCTCTCCCTGTCTACAGCCAGCCTGTCAGAAACCACCACCCTCCGAGTTTGCCCGCTCCCTTTGCCTACGTCCCTCCCAAACGTGGGCGAAGCCCTTCGCGGCTCAGCGAGGCCTCCACAGAGGACATGGGCACATCTGGCGCCCGAACGGCAAACGTGACCCGCTCGGTCTCTGAGCCATCGCAAAAGATCCGACACGATCTGGCGGAGACGCCAAAGGACCCAGGCCTGGTAACCAGACCTTTGGCGACGCCAGTTGACATGTCAGACATGGTCACGCCCAGGAGATCTGAACAATTTCCACACAACTCTCACTTGGTCTCTAGAGTTGCATGTCCAGTGCCCCCTGCCGCACAGGATTGCACTCCGGAATACACTACCCGAAATGGCCACTCTGAGAGGAGATGTCCAGAAAAGGCCAAACGGCAGGTCACCCAGGAACCCGTGAAACCCGTCAAAGTCGAAGCTCCCAAGAAAGTTCTGAAAGCACAGATCTGGCAGCCCAGAGGCTCACCAGATTCCGCCAAAGAAAGCGTGCCGGCAATCAGAGCACCAGCACCAAAGACTTACGCATCAAGCTTTGCTCGAGCACAGAGCTCGCTGAAGTCTGCGAGAGGTGCCCTTTGTCAGGCCCTTGCGGCCAAACCTCGGATGCCCTTCACCTCGGCAGCGCAGTGTCGCGCCATGGCCACGGCAAAGGCCAAGGCCAAGGCCAAGGCGACGCCCCGTGCAGCGTCGGCTTCGACGGTCAAGGCAGGCCGAGCCGGCCCCAAAGGCTGCAACTACGGCAAGTCGCAGAGCTCCGCCGCTGGTGCTTTGCGGCCTCCTGGGCAGTCCTTGAGAGATGAGAACGCTGCCCTCCAGGCCAGGTGCATGCCGGGGGACCTAGGCCTCCGTGGCCTCTACCCTTAGAGCCTTAGACTTCCCTTCCCTGCAGAAGCTTTTCAGGCAGAGCTGGCACGAGCACTGGAAGTCCTTGCGGAGCTCGAGCATTTGAAAGCTGCAGACGCGCAGCAGTGCCCTGGCTTCCGATTGACACTTCCGGTTGACACAAGAGGCCAGAAGCCGCGAATCCTTGCGAATCTCAGTCTTTGTCAGGCTCGGGGATTTGGAGGTCAGACGACAGGACGGGCGTACGGCTCGTGCTGTCTCGTGCTCTGTGAGTGGAAAGCATGGGAGGTGAGCCATTGCCGGCATGTTTCGGCTGCCTTGAATGCTGCAGAATGTGCGAGGAGCTTCTGCACTGGTCCTCACAAGCACGTGCTGCTTTGGGTGAAGAGGCCAGAAGTGCGATGTGTGAAGCCAAGAAGAGCCAGAAGTGATCGTGCAGGAGCATGACCTCACTTCGCATCTCCGCCAGATGGCGACAGACGCAGCTGAGGCTGGTGGGTTTCCTGCATGTTGCTGTTTTGATGGAAAACGTCGATTTCTGACCCAATCGCTTCCACTGCACGTGCATGGTCAAGTGCAGCAAAGTGGTCGCAGGTCCGCCAGTCGCTGGACGCTGCCCAACAGACCTGGCAGCAGCGAGGGTTGAGGTGCCGAGGGTCGGCAAAGCTGCCATGTGTAGAGTCATAGAGTCATGGAGCCTCACAGCCTTGCGAGGCCAAGTATACGAGAGATGTCCTTGCCGACTCGCCTCGACGCAGCCCGCCAACAACCCATGGAGCAGCGACAGCATCGTGATTTGCACCAGATGTGACGACCATGTGGTGCCTGCATGTGCCCGGATCGTTCAGATCTGTCCAGAATTCAAAGTTTGTGACTTCACACACTGCGTCGCTCTAAAGGCGCGATGCGCTATCAAAATGCTTGCACTTCACAGTGAAGTAAGAGGCTGTTGGAGGCAACGGTTGTACACAGAAGCCGGGCGTGGCTCTTTGCCCTTTTGTGGAAGGAGGTAGTAGAGCGCATGATGTAAGCCTTGTGGCAAGAAGCTCTCGCAGTTGCTTCACTCTCCAACCCTTTATGGAGGTAATCGCCTCAGGCCCTACTGGAGTCTTAGAGGCCTTTTGCGCCAAGAACCTTGGTGCGCTCGTGTCGAACGCGGCTACCACGAGGCGGTTTGGGCCTTGCAGCCCAAGATACGGAAAGCGGTCAAGGCACCCCAAGACCCCGAAACCCCGTGACTGCATAGCATGTCCCAGAATGGTGCCTTTGACAGCGGATCCGTCGCCTCGGAAGACACGCATGCTCCCGTGGAAAAGCAGGGTTGCGGGGCTTTGCGAATGATGCCAAACGAGCCAGTAAGGAAGGTGTTCATGAAAGAGGTATCTGGCTTTGTTCAGCAGGTGACATGCGACATGCCCCTGGCCTGTGCGTCTGCCGGCCCGGGTATATGGCCGATGCCTGAGTGAGATACAGCGACGCGAGCCAGATGCTGCAAGTTTCTCCTAGTTTCAATGCCAGGGTAGTCCATAAAACCATGTCCGCCCCGTATGGCTGTGGCTGCCACAAGACTGCCAAATGCAAGGCCAGGCCCACGCGTCCGAGTGCCGGGCCTGTGGGAGGCCCGTTATGAGGAGGCCCCCACTGGGACAGCAGTAGGCAAGCACCGAGAAGCTTGGGTTGTTACAGATTGCTACGCAGCCGCGCCTCCGAGCGCCTTGATATGCGTTGACAGCAGCTCCATGGGTAATCGTCATCACTTGCGGCTTATGAAGCATCAGCTTGGTCGTCACGACTTCCGGATTTCCTTGCTTAAGTTTGAAGCAGAGCCTAGGTTTGCATTGTGGCCTTGCAACCGAGAGTTCCCTCAGGCGCTTGGCCACCTCCTGGTCCCAGATGTTGCGGCGTCTGTGCGGAGCATCGGGGGTGACTCCATCCTGCCGACTCAGGTGCGGAGCTCTGCTGGGACACTTCCGGAGTCTTAACCTCATTCCGTTGTTTGCTAGTGGCTCAACCATCAAGACGGCCAACCGAGTCAGTTCTCAGAGCTGCTTGGAAACGTAGTACCAGACATCTCTGTCTGGCATATTCCAATACGTGGTGTTCGGTTTGTCTTTGCAGCAAAGCTCCAAGCGGCTATCGCAACCATAGCCTGCGCTATAGCAGAAGAGTCGGCACAGCGGTGTTGCCGAAGCAGGTGGTTTTGCCTCCTTTGTTTGATGGGTCCGGGCTCGGCCCGTGCTGCCCCCGAACCTCCCTGCCTCCGCACACATCTCATACCCGCGCTACTACGGTTCGGGACCGGCGTTCATGCTTGTAGTTGGCTGGTCTTTCGTGCAATATTCCCTACTTGACTGGAGGCTCTGGAAGAGAGGTTCGAAGCCTTTGTCGACTAGACCTCACCTGACCACACGTAGGCCTCACACAAAATGGACAGCCCAAGCTCTCCCAAGTGACAGGGCCGAGCTCTTCGCCTCTCCGCGCCAGAACCAGCGAAACAGCGAGACTGCTGAACTGCGGATAGCTTCGTAAACGTTAACGATCGTCGTGACTGATTCTGGGCCCCCAACGGTGTAGTGCCACAGCAAAATTCTCAATCTACATGTTGTCGCCCACTGCGCATGCAATTGGAAATGGGTTTGACAAGATCGTTGTGGTGTTGGCGCGTGCTTGTCCGTTCTTCGGAGAGCTCGCACGAGCGATGGAATAGTCCTTAGACGGTGGCCTTCCCTTTGAGGAGTTCATGTCCAGAGTCCACAGACTTGCAGGTGATCACCACCCTGGCTTTGAGCTCCAAGTGGGATCTGGCCCTTGCTTTCCTGAGCGAGATCTACAGGATGCCGGTTTCAGCTACGGAGCATGGCAGCTGCACGTTGCGACAACTTGCCGGGGACCCGATCTTCACCTGATTGAGCAGGAGCCACATGGACATCACGGTATACCATGCCTCCGCCGCAGTGAAAGCCTGCCACCAGGCCGGAGGGTTTCCACGGAATCGAGTTCCGAAGCTGAGAGCTGCAACTTTCGGAAGCCAGAAGGTCAAGGGCAAGATGATGTTTTCCCACAGCCACCTTGGTTCAGATACGGCCAGGGTAGTCCCATCAGCTGACCGAACCTTCATGACTTTTGCTGCTGGCACATTCCTGCTTCAATTGGCCTTGCACGCGCCTTTTCCGCAACATGGTCTCCCGTGATCTTCGACCTCCGAGATTTTTTCTTGAGTTCTAAGGTAGACAAAAGGCAACTCCTTCCAAAAGTGCTTTGCCAGCCCGGCCAGGAGGACGGCGCTCGGGGTCGGGGCTTGTCGGCTTTCCTTGCAAGGGGTACAGGGTTACAGGTAACTCTCATGTGATCTTATGGGGCGTATGCCATGTTGCCGAGCTGATCGTTGCAAGTTGCAAGGCCTTGGCTTCCTATTGGGCAAACGGCGCTGGCAAGTGGACTGCGGCCTCGGGCTGCGCCGTATCGCACCGGGAGAAGGTTTCTGTGTTGCGAGTCGGGGTTTCTGCTTCTCTTGCGGTACAACAGAAACTTGCGATACCCCTCTAGTCGTTTATGCGGCGGATGGCGCAGGACTTCTCCTACTGGACGCAAACTTGGGCCGCCGGTTTCACGGCGCTCAACGGAGAGCCTGCCTACGAGGACCCGGCCATTCGGACGGCGGATGGAGTGTTCGTCTGGGATGCAGAATACTGCTGCTTGGCCGAAGGTTCCTGTGTCAACTAGGCTTCGAGCGGGTTGTGGAGTTGGTGAGGTGCCCTGTGGTCTGTCCTTATCTACCTTAGTGAAGTGGCTTTCTTTCTTTTGTGAGCTGGCTGGCCTGGGACGTCCTTGGATGAGTTGACCGGAGCTTGACCTTCTGATTTACTCGTTCAGGTCGATCTGATTTGAAGGATTGCCTGCTGCTGATGACCTGCTCGGTGCCATGCATTTTGTTGTGATAGATCCTGCCGGGCTCGGTACAATGCGTTTTGTTGTGGTAGGTCCCGGCGGGTCCAACTAAGAGCCAAGAACCCGGGTAAGATCGCAACCGAGAAGGGCTTCACCTGGCCTCAGAGATCGCACGCAGATGCGCTGGGGCCCAGGTCTCGTCTCTGGATTTTTGGATCTGCCAAACAAGACAGAGCTGCTAGAGAATTATTCCGCGGTCATGCAGCTGCAGGACTCCGTTCCACCTGCTTCTTCCCTGCATCTACCATCCTCCACACTACCCTTCACAACCCTCCAGAAGCCGAATCGCAAAATGTCATGAACCATGTGGAGACAGCCAGAACGTACCAGACACCAGATGCTACGCAGAAAGCCTCTTTCGGTGCTGATAGAAGCCTTGGATTCACTGAACCTTGGAGCAGATGTCTGAACCCTTACTGTCGTAGTTCTGCAGGAATCAGCATGCGAGGGCGAACCGCTGAAGTCTTTGATAACACAGACACCTGCAGCGGAGCTGCAGGGAGTATTCAGTGAGGCGGCCGGTTGCTGAAGCACTATAATAATACATCAGATCATATCAGTGATAGGGCCAGCTACTGGACTGGCTACTGGTAGGGAGTCTGGTACTTCAGCAATTGCGGCTTTTCCCATGACAGGTTGACGAGATGTTTGCCGTCGAGCACAAGAAGACCGCAGAGGAGCGCGCTGCTCCGCTTCTTCAGCCCGGCATCCTCACGAGAGTGAATGCGGCGCACTGTTCTGCTGGCAGCTACAGCTGCATGATTCATTTCTGCCTCAACAACTTCTGCAGACTTGGCCCCTCAGAGAATCACTCAAGACTAGCGGATCAGGGTTCGCGGCAGACTTGCTTCTTCAGACACGCTCATGAAAAGGATTCGGGCAATTTGCATACTCGAAGGAAGCTGTTCCGAGGCGATGGTCGAGTTGGGCAGGGTTGCCAGTGCCACAGCGACTTCACCTTGAAGCCCATACCATCCAGCTGATGCCCTGAGCGGGCGCGGGGCTCCGGCGGCTCCGGCGAGCGGAGCTACAGAAGGATTAAGCCATGCTGCGCTGCTGCAGAAAAGGAGTGCTGTGCTTGGCAGCTGCTTCGTGTCCCACCCTTTCCCATCCCGCGGCATTACCAAGCGGAACGGGGTCAATAAGGATTTGTAACAACCTCAATCGACTTGTTTGTGGTGTTTGGATCTGTTGCATCGTTGCGTTGACAGTCTAAACGAGAGGCTGCTCGCTGGGAGATGGCCATCGCACTGCTGGTGGCATGTCCTGGTCTCAGGGCCCAGCCCAACGCAAGGGCCCCGGAAGGGCCCCGGCCCGGCTGGGCCCCGGCCCGGCTCTTGTCTGTTTACATCTTGAGTCTCTGTAACTGGAGTGCAGGAGTACACGTACAACTCCGTCATCAGTGCCTGTGAGCGAAGAGCCTTGGGCTTCGAAGCAGCTTAATGTATAAGATCTACACAAAACACACCTGTTTTGCACCAACTGAAGGCTCCCTTTTGGTTTTGTGCGTGTGTGTCTCTCTCTCTCTCTCTCTCTCTCTCACATTCGGGATGTTTCTTGCTCCCTGCCCAGGCGGACAGTGGGTGGCAGCCTTGGCGGTCTTCGATGCCATGCCATCAGCAATTCCAAGGCCAAGCCAAGCTGAGCATCGTAGCTTGGAGGGCAAGGGCTCTGCATGGTGCTTGGAGACTTCTCCCCGAGCTGAGTCGCGCCCCTGACCTCTCATCAACCTATTCTCTAGAAATCTTGAGGGCAGCAAGCTGGGTAACTCATGACATGTGACAGTTAGGCGGTATCTGCGGCAGGTCGCAGCAACTCTAGAGCCTAGGTAGGATTCCGACAGGAACGTTGTGACGTTTGGTGCCGTCATCAGCGCCTGTGAGAAAGCCGCGCGCTGGCAAGAGGCGCGGACAACATTCTCACGAATTCTCACACTGCTCTCTTTTTTCTTGGCTTTGGGGTGCCCCGGCGTGACCGGAGGCTTCAGTTCGCTGCAGGCTCTGGCCCTCACGGACATGATGGAAAGCGGGAGCCTTGGTGGTGGCACTTCCGGTCCTTGACAGCCCCGTGATTATGATTTCTTCCAAAGGCCAGGATGTGACCCGAAATGCCATCATCTTCTGCGCCGCAACATCCCCGGAATTGATCTGGGCCTGTGCAAGTGGAATTCGCTGGTTGTCGAGGCCATGACCGCTTGCGGCAAGGGTGAGCAGTGGCAGCCGGTGTTATTTCTCCTGCAGCAGATGACGGCGGAAGGCTTGGAGAGGCGAGGTGAGCGCTTTGCTGATGTGGAGTGCCCGCGATGCCATCACGAGCTGAGCAGCCTGAACCAATCACTCATGAATGCTCTTGCTGCGTCTGCCGCATGAACACCTATAGACTCCACATGGCGAGCTGTAGAACTATTCTTGCGCAATCCTTGCATGTGAATCATGCTTCGTATCGGTGTCGCTCTGATGAGCGGCCGTACAGCTTGGGTGAGCTTGGACCCAGACTGCACCGTTCAGGAGCTGCGCCGGCAAGCGCAGCTTGAACTTGGGGTGCATCTTGACCGCCTCTTCAAATCCGTGGGAGACTCCTCTGGAGCCCCAGTGCTGCAGACTTTGCCCAACACAAGAACCCTCAAGAAGGCAGGCCTGCATGACGGACAGGTGTTAACCGGCAGCGTCAGAGAGACCAAGATCGCATCATACCTGGGATCCTGTGTCTCGCCAGTCCGGTCTTTCACCTTGGAAGACTTGTATTCGCCCTTCGACGCCTTGGCGATTGTGTGGGAAGATGGCAGCATTCGAATCTGCAGCAACGATCCGTTCCCTGCATCCGATTCCATGTGCGGCGTGCAGCATGTCACGGCGAGTTCGACAGCTTTTGCAGCCATTCAAGAAGATGGTCGAGTGACTGCCTTCGGCGACCCAGACGCGGGGGGTGATGTCAAATCTGTGCAGGATCAGCTCGAAGAGGTGGGGACGGGGACTAATTCCGGAAAGTTGTGTTCTGTGTCACCTTCATTTCTGCACTGCTGTGCTTCAGGTGCAAATGATCGGCGCTACACATCGTGCATTTGCTGCCCTTCGCAGTGACGGCCATGTTGTAGCTTGGGGCGACCCTCAGTATGGAGGAAACTGCGAAAGTGTCCAGGAGCATCTACACAGCGTCAAGATGATTCAATCCAACGTTAGTGCTTTCGCGGCCATTCGCGAAGATGGGCAGGTGACTGCCTGGGGTAATCCAGAAGATGGTGGTGAGTGCACGCAATGTCTCAGCGACGTGACCAATATCTGTGCTGCCAACCACGCGTTTGCTGCTGTCCGTGCGGACAGGAGTTTGGTCACTTGGGGCAGCAAGCTGTATGGTGGTGATATCGCTGACATTGCTCCCGGGTTGGAGGTAGAAGATGTACAGGCCGTGTGTGCTTCAGGCAATGCATTCGGAGCTATTTGCAGTGATGGAACCGTGGTGGCATGGGGCTGCCCACATTCTGGGGGAAGCGCCGGCGGTGTTCAGGAGCAGCTGCCGGGTGCTATGGGAAAGGATGACGGTCAACACTCCGTCTGGTGCAGTGTAGAACAGTCTCAAGGTCGCTTAAGTTAAGTGACTCGTCAGCACCGCGTAGAAGAGTTGAGTGGTCCCTAAGACCCAAAGCAAGACAGTGAGTGCAGCCTCGCCATGCAGGAGCAACTAACCAGTGTGCGAGCATTGCAAGCAACGGACTCCGCTTTCGCCGCAATCGATGATGGTGGAAGCGTGGTGACTTGGGGCCACGCCCAGCATGGTGGTGACAGCAGCTCCGTGTGTGACCAGCTCCGAGACATCGAGGATATACAAGCAACGACAGGAGCTTTCGCCGCAAAACGTCTCGATGGCACTGTTCTGACATGGGGCCATGATCTCTCCGGCGGTGATACCAGCCATCTTCAAGATAAGCTCAAGAATGTGCAACGCGTGTGTGCAAACCAGTCAGCCTTTGCGGCCTTACGCGACGACGGTCGTGTTCTCACTTGGGGAGATGCGAACTTTGGAGGTGACAGCACTGGAGTTCAAGATCTCTTGGTTGACGTACGCGTGATTCACGCGTCCGGCAAGTCCTTCGCTGCAGTACGACGGGATGGAAGTGTAGTTACTTGGGGTCTTGTTGGCGAAGCCACATACCCGAAGAGTCTGTAACTCGCAAGAGAGAATTCAAGGAGCAGCGCTCGGAATTTGGGGCTTCAGGCAGGATTTCGACAGTCTTGCTCAGCCCCAGAAGTTTGAATTCATGCCTCGTCGGCATCAAGACCTGTTTCACGCCCCTCCACGGAGGATACAGAGGATCCACACCCCTCCACACATCTCCTCTCACACCCGCACCAGTCTCGGCCCGGTGCTGTGCATCTGCCTCTTTCCGAACTTGCACTGCAAAGATGCTCGGAGCAAATAATCGAAAACAGGCGGCCATGCTCTTGACCCGACGAGACGCTTGAAGAGATCCGAAGTCGATGGCTGTACCCGTTTGAGAGCATCCTCTGCAGGTCTACCATCGCTTGCAATGCGGCGATCAGTGCCTGCGAAAAGGAGCGATACCTGCAAAAAGCACCCGCTCTTTTCTTCTTCTCGTTCTTGCTCTTGTCTGTCAGGCAAAGCAATGGCAGCGTGCCTTGGACTTGCTCTGGCAGATGCCCGAAGGAGGCTTCACAGTGCTGCTTACAAGGGCACAACTGTGTGACAAAGGGGGTCCTTCTGAGGCTTCAACACTTCGTGGAGGTTTAAAGATCAGGTACCCAAGCTACGAGAACTTCCGAAGACATGTTGCTTGCGATCCAACGTGCCAGCTTGCCCTTGCAGTGACCTCGAACTTTAGCATTTGAACCAGCACAAGTCCATCGCCTGACAGGCAACGAGTGGGCTCCCTCCTTACTGACAGAATTTGCAGTGCATGACATATACTGCAGCGGCAGCTGCAGCTGAATTTGAAGTGCCGAGGACGAGGTGGCATTCAGCGCAGCAACCAGTGCTTGCGGAAAGGCCGGAATTGCTCGCTTTCGCACGCCGCCGGGGCCCAAGAGAAACTGGCATCCAGGCCGGACGCTGGGGTGAGGCGCTGGCGCTGCTCGGGGCCATGGTGCAGGCAGTGAACCCGTTACGCCACTTGCAGGGAGCCTCCTTTTTTGAGGAGCAATTGAAGCAAATATTCCAATCTGATAAAGATCCGTGATTTGGCAGGAAGGGTCAAAGTCGGCCAATATCGGAAGTTTGGAGAATGGCAAAAACTCTAATCTAGGGGCCTTCCACAATCCAAAATGTCCACACATCCTTAATTGGCGGGCCCTACAAGGGCCACTGCTCCCTCGGTGCCCATTTTAGTTGATGCCTGTCCGCTCGCTGTCTGCCAGCTAAAGTGAACCAAGCATGCCTCGTTTCCGACTGTATTTGCCGTGCAGACAGAAAGCTTAAACCTAGACCCTTAACCAGGAGTCCCTGGTTACAAGAGTTCGTGTGGACTTGAGGCTTCAAGGATGAAGGGTGAGGCAGTAGACTTGAAGCTTTAAGGATTCGGAGGTATGTTGAACCGTAGCTCTACAGGGAGCTCACGTTGGCACAAGGGCCTGATCCAGTCTAGGCTTCGGGCGGGAGGCTATGAAGCCCCAGAAGCGGGTTTCGGGCACGGCACTACATACCAAGTTGCAGGCTTCGTGAGAGCTACACATCACCGAGCACAGCTGGCGTAGGAATGGGTAGTGGTCAGCAAGATTCAGATCACTGTCTTCTGCGAGAGAGGGGGAATCAGACGAAGAGCAATTGTACTTGGGAATCCGATGCAAGATTTATGTTGCTATGATCGATTCTGATTGGATGAGTTTGACTACCGATGCAGAAATCCTGGACCCTAAGCCCAAATCCCAAACACTAACACGTATGTAACACGGATGTTCTCGTACTTAATGTTTTGTTTGGCCCCTTTCGTTTCCAGTCTTCTGGTCCTCCGGTGGACCAGTTCCCAATTTGCATGGGAACCACTCCAGATGCTATTCGATTTGGGAATCGTGAGAGCGGGGTGGGATCTGTGCCAGGTGAGGATCCCCACATGCCTTCAAGCCCTCAGCGCCGCCGTCACGGTCTGCGAGGACATGAGCGAATGGCAGCAGGCATTGCAGCTTTTTGCCTCAAAAAGCCTGCGGCTCGGCAGAGAGAACGAGAGAGAGAGAGAGAGAGTGATTTGGACTGTGTAGTGACGATCCTTGAGCTGTTGCAATCGCAGCGTTTAGGTGAAGACGTGGTGGCTGACGAGATATTGCTCAATGCCGTCATAGCTGCTCTGGCAGAGGGGGGAAAGTGGCAAACGGCAGGGCCCTCAGCTTTGCTTCTGAGACACGAAGCACATTGCCGTCAAACTCCCGCCTGTATGAGATTCCTTGAGGCGCTGAGTGTCCTCCGTGACTTTGAGCAGCACAGATTGCGGAAAACTGAAGCACGGCTGCGTGAACTCGCGAAGTCCCCAAATTGGATTGCGAGAGGGTTCGCAATGCGGTGCTGAGTTCAGCTAAAGTGAGATGGCTTCCTGCGTCTCTAGGAAGTCACGTACACCGCTGCAATCTGCTCGTGCGACGCTTGGCAGCTCACAGAGTCTATAGCCGGGTGTGCATCTGTTTGCTCGTGTGCACTGTCCTTGTTCGAGTCCTTGTTTGCAGGGAGCAGAGCAGTGGCCATTGGCATTGGGCCTTTTTGCGGAGGAGATTGAGAACGGGCTGCTAAGTGCATCTTGCCCCGATGGGTTGCAAGCAGGCACTCTCCTTTCCATGCTGCACAAGGCCGAGGGACGAAGCAAGGCTGCATCTTTCGCCGAGCAACTGCGGCTGATCTGGCACAGCCACGTCGAGCCTCCACAGCCAGTGTCTTCGCGTTTTCATATCCTGGCGCGTGGATGTGGTGTGCTCGTGGTTGAGAAGCCCCATGGGCTTGAGACGGCGGATGTTTTGGACAGCCTTCGCACAGACCTGGGCATTCCAATGTCCTCCATCTCCCGCCTGGACCAGCCGACCTCTGGCATTCTTCCGATTGCTTTGGGCGACGAGACTGCTCCGGTCACGCAGTGGCTAAGAGCGCAGTGGGCAGGGCGGCTGGTCACCAAATCCTATGTTTGTTTGTGCGCGGGTCCAGCGATGGAGCGCGGCTTCTCTGCGGAGCTGGCACTCCCTCTCAGAGAAAAGCCGGGAGAAGTGCGATCTCAAGAAGTCTGCTCTGCGGCTGCTGGGCGCCCGGCCAGGAGCAGAGCATAGTAGCAGTGACGAACTCTGTCCCTGGGCGAAATCCCTCCATTCTTCATTCCCGATCTGCGAGGACCATTTACACTGTCCTGGCAAGCTACAGCGATCCAGATGGCCGCTCAGATTCAAGGGGCAAGGCAACCTCGCTGAACCTGCTCAAGGTGCCAGCTGTGCAAGCTCCCACTCAGTGCTTCAAGTTTCTCCCTGATGCGAGGTGCGAATATTGACTGGCTCCTTGCTTCCATTGGTTCAAAGTGTGAGACATCCGGTGATACATCCTGCAATGCTGCTTGTTTCGAGGCCGGAAACATCAAATCCGCGTGCACTTGGCCAGCATTGGACAGCCGCTCGTGGGAGACAAGCTCTACCGCCCAGGCAACGCTTTGGGGATTCCGAACTGGGCGTGGCTTCTGCCACTGGGTCCCTGTGTGTCCCAGGCTGCGAGGTGGACTGGTGCTCTCGCATGTTCCTGCACTGCCGACGACTGGACTTCCTAGACCTCGAAGGCACCAGGGGCTCTCTCTCCCTCTCTCCTCTCTCTCTCTCGAATTCTCGCTTTCTCTCTGTGACTTACTCTTGAAAGGAAGGCGGATTTTGGTGAAGTCCCAGCTGCCCGCCGAGCTGGCGGATGCTTTGGACTTCCTGAAGTTTCAGAACGCGACAAAGACTCGCCAAATGGAATCCGGAAAAGGTTGAGTGCCTCTTTCTTGGGAAAGCGCCATCACTTACAGCTGTGGCTCTGGTGTCCGGTCGCAGCTTGAGCCCGAACAGGTCGCAACTTATGACCAGTTTAAGGCCATCTACAGCGGCTTCGGAATCAAGGCCAATGCTGTCTGCGAGTATTGCTTCAAGACAAAGCTCGTCGTCTGTGGCAGGGCAACTCCAATGTCGTCGCTTCCTCCTTTACTGCGGGCCTGGTGCGGTGCCCAAACTGAAAGCATCTCGAAACACCATGTGTTACACGGAGGTCTACTCCGTCATTACGATGCCGTTTGAGGTGCTCTCGCATGCTCTTTGCAGTCTTTTCAAACCAGTTCCTGCCAGTCCGCGAAGAATCGCATGGCTTCGCAAAAGCCGGACCCGGAGACGGGTAAACTTCCGTGAGCCCCGCAGAACTCGTTCTACTGTATTTTGCAATTATTTTGCCAGAGAGCACGTATGCAGCTGTGTGTGATCTGATGGCGGATGGACATGAGATCATTCTTACGTCACAGGTACCGCGGCACCATGCAGACCATTCAGGCAGTCGCAGGCAGAGCGAGCGGCCTGAGCACTGTCACGAAACCTCGTCACATGGGAGCCGTGAGAGACTGAAGCTGCTTCGATGTCCAAGTTACAAATAGACTTGAAGCGGCATGCGGTCGCCAGGCAAGGAGGGCGCGGCAGCTCTTTACAATGGTTTCATGCCATACTGTCTGCGGAGTGGGACCTACTCATGGAGTGAGTTCAGCATGCAATGCCTCCGTTTGCTTAGCGGATCAGCAACTGACTGGTCCAAATGGATTCAGTCGATTCGGCGGTTTCCAAACTTTCGTGGAAGACATCACGCACAGCAGTGCACTACAGCCCAGGTGTGGAGGGCACACTGTGCTAATGTCGTGCACCAAGACCTGTTGAGGATTTTGCCAATGTACCTGTTGCAGTAGCTTAGGTTCTTTGCCGTGGAGGAGCTGCAAAAATGGTGACCCGAGTTTATCGAACAATCAATTGCTCCGGGTATCTTGCAGCCACTTCGTAGTCGTAGTAGCAGAGGTACCGAAAGGTCGCATAAATGGAGGCGGCGATTGCCGACGACTGAGACATGCCCTCTGAAGTACCGCTTCCGAGTAGCGTAACCTTCGTCTGCTTTCGATGCAACTGCAGCTGCTACATTGATGACATGTCTCTTGCTGCATCCTGGGCGAGCTCTTTTGTCGGACTCTGCAGCTCGGTGGCTGCGCTGCTGCACCGCACCATCCCAGGCTGTTGAACTGTTGGCCAGCTGGCCAAGAGAGTGAGATGTTGTGCCTGTACAGCGCAGGCATTCTGCCGAGCATGCTCGCATGTTTTGGAGGGTCTCGTTCCGCAGAGCAATCGCTTCCAAGAGAATGGAACAGAAGGGAGACCTAAGGCCTTTGGGCTTGACTTAAAGCCTCTCCAAAGCGTTTTCTTTCGAAGCGGCTGCTCTTGCACGTTACTGGAGATCTGCAGGCCAGCGGCTAGGGCCCGGTTTTCCAAGTCGCGACCTTTGCCGCATTTCTGCGTTTTTCCCAACGCCCCGAAACCCAAACCCAAAACAAGCCTTTGGCCACGGAGTCACGGAGGTCCAGGCGCTGTCAGGCGGCAGGCGCCGTGACATTCCTCAAGCCCTAGCTGCGCTGCCGGGTGCCACAAGCACCGTTGATGCTTTTTCCTGTACAAAGAAAGGATCACCCCGTGCACGCGATGGAAGGATCTTCCACGGTACGTGGAGTTAGCGAGCTCAAGCCGAAGGAACGAAGGAACGAGCGTCGATTTGAAAAGTCTCCCCTGGCTGTCCCAATCGAGCGGCGTTGGCCCTGCAAATCTCCGCACGTCACTGCACGACCAAGTTGTAGCTGTAGCTGTTCTGGATCGTTTGCGAGGGTTCGGTTCCCTGCGAGTGCTGAGCCAGCATGGGGAACAGTGCTGCGAGCAATGCTGGGAAGACTATTGCCAAGGGCATGAAGCTCCCGAACGTAACCTTGGATAAGGGCTTCCCGCCGAAGAAGATCCCGCTTCAAGAGATCATCGGTGGCAAGAAGGTGGTGATGGTGGGCTTGCCGGGTGCCTTCACCCCCACCTGATCTGCCAAGCAAGTCCCTGGCTACTTGGCAAAACAAGCTGATCTGAAGGCCAAGGGCGTCTCTGATGTCATTGTCTACTGCGTGAACGACACCGCTGTGATGGATGCTTGGGCGAAGGATCAGAAGATCGATGGCTCCATCGTGTCTTTCTACGGTGACAGCGGCTCTCTGCTCACCAAAGAGATTGGCCTTGAGTTGACCCATGCTGGGGTCATGGCTGCTTTGGGCAACCCCCGGTGCAAGAGGCATGCCATGATTGTGGACGACATGGAGGTGAAGGAAGTTTGGGTCGCGGCCTCGGAGGAGGACCCCGCTGGTGACTCCAAGCCGGAGGACACGATGGTCGACAACGTTCTCAAGAACCTCTAGAGCCTTCAGAGCCATACACCAGCCATACTTGGCCTTCGTTTTGCCGGTTTTGAAACAGTTTGATCGTGAAAGGACAACAGTAGGTCGATACGAGCAATCGAAGCATTGCTGCCACCGCATCCGTGCTGGCTTTGCAACTTGTGCAGGCACTAGTGATCAGAGACTGTAGTATCCCGTCCTGGGGAACCACTGCCTCTGTGAGTTTCGCTTGTCACATCTTTGTACACGGCAGTGCTGTCGTGCTTAGACAAACAAGTAAGTGTTTAAAGACTGAAAGCTCAAGATCGAAACGGCTCTTGCACGAAGATGCCACAGTCTGTGGGCACAGTATCAAGATGTGGGAGAGCATGCATACTCAGCATTTCTCGGAAAGGCTCTGCCGAACGTCTTGTGCACGCCGTCCTGGCTCAACGACCTGATACTTGTAGCTTAAGCTTGAAGTCCAGGCGAAGAAGGCCATCCCGGACAGTACCGAGGCCCGCTCACAAGTCCCCCTGCTGCCTTCTCGCAGGCAGCATGGCCCCGTTGCGTGGCCGGCGGCGAGCCCTGTAGATGGCCTACAGAGTCAGAAGGAAGACTGCGGCAATGTTTCCCTGCTCTATCACGGAGTGCTAGGAAACCCTAAGATGATTGCGGGCGTCTCATCTGAGGCAGGGCTGTGCCCACAGCGACAGGCCAAGGCGTGCTCTAGGCCGAGCTGCCCTCCCGAGCACAGAAAATGAGCGCCTGAGAGGCGGTGTGTCCCTCTAGTAGCTGCCAGAGGCTCAGAGAGTCTCAGCGAGGTCGCGAGGAGCGTCACACCTTGATGTGTGCACTGCCCTATACAGGTCAGGTACTGAAGTTTTCTTTTCTGTTGTTGGACCCTTGTACCAGACACCAATCCCCAACAGGAGATTGATTTCGGAATCAATATTGGGAACTTGTTGACAGTTGAAGATCTGCCACAGCCTTGGCAACATGTCGCAAGTACGCTCTGGGCGAAAGGGCCGTACTTGCGGTCGGAATTTGGCACACCACACACACACACACACATTACACACGTCCGCAGCACGACCCTGACATGAGACTTATGGTGACAAAGCCTGCAGCAGCCTCGGTGTCGAAGTAGCTCCAGTCTCGGCTTTCGCGATCTCGTGGCAGTCTCCAGGCTTGTGCGCTGGCTGCAGTCGCTGTTCTTTGGGCAGGCACAGGATCAAAAAAGCGGTTCTGGAGCATTGATAAGCGAGATCCAGAGAATACTACTACCACTGCCGCCGCGGCGGCTGCTGCACTGCCATCATTGTCAGCATCAGGATCCACATTAGAATGATCCTGTGCAAGGCTCCCGAAGTGTCAGCTTCTCCGAGCCGAGGCACCTGGGTCATGTGCCCTGGGTCATGTGCTGTCTGCACGTTCTTTTGCGGCTGCTCGTCGTGCTGATTGCACTCGGATGACGTTGTTGCCACTGAGGTGTGGTGGGTTATCGAAGGGGTAGTGTAAGTTGCGCTGAGACCTTGAGAAAACAGAAGCCTGGCAACTTGGGACTTGTTTATTTGGTCGGCAGGAGCTCGGCACCTTGCCCTTCCCGGCGAGAAGTCGGGGCCTTGTCGGATCCCGGATCCGTGTTGGGTGTAGCTGCGTAGCTTCATTTATGTGTTTGCAACTGTAAAGGAATTCCCGAAAGTTCCTAATGCAGAAACGAGCGAATAGCACTCCGACAAGAGGTTCGTACACTCTGAACAGAGCTGATAATTGCGAGTCGAACTAGCTCAATGTGACTACAGGCAACCGGAGGTTGCAAATTGTGTTCTACATTGGGTTTACATGAAGACAGGCAGTGGCTGTACTCATACCTGGACTAGCTGCGACGGTCGCGCGCTGAGCTGTTCCCATCTTCAGAGATTTAATTTGAAGCAGCTGTAGGGAGACGGAAAAAAGTGCGGCAACATCTATTCGCACAGTTTTGACAGGGTGCGGTGCTGACGGATGCGGACTCCGCATGGGCAGATGGAAGCATCACTGGCAACATTGATGAGCTTCCATGTGCCCTCTTGACTTGGCACTCAGCGCCGCTTTCTGGTCACCAGGCATAGATCTGATTGTTGGAGACTCCCGCAAGAAAGCGAAGTATGAAGCGCGAGAGGCGGGTTGCACAGAATATCCCTAACATCCGAATCTGAATCTGAATGCCCATCGATCATCACTCGCTCATGCCGGTCTTGCTCGTGTAAATCTTGATTGAGCACGCTTCCTCCTCCTCCGAGCTAGTCCAGTGGGGCAGGGTTTTGTGTCACACAGGGCGGCTTCCTTGGCGCTAACAAGTTCAAGAAGCAGACGCTTTGGACTTAGTGGGCTGGATGCAGCGGCTAGCAGCTTGACACAACGCCTTGCCCCGTTTCTGAGACCTGAGGCAGGACTTCAACTACACCGATTTGCAGAGCTTCCTCCCCAAGCTGCGCGCGTTTGTGCAGATGGTGGTTGGTCACACATTTTCTTTGACCATGCCTTAGAGGTACATGGCTCGACGGTCGTTTGAGGTTCAGAACAAACAGCTGAACGACCGCAAGGCGACACTACTGTGCAAGTTGCCCCATGACAGGATGCAGGTTCTTTCACGTTTGACATGCTAAGCCGCTAAGCAGCGGCTTGCAGTCTTGAGCATCTTGCAAGTTTTCCTTGGCATCCTTTGGGCTCAGCAAGTCAAGTCCTGAATCAGCTGAGCACCTTCCTGTGTTGGAGAAGAGGGGTAGAAAACATGGGCATCAAAGGCGGGCAAAGCTTCGATTCTTCGCACACCGCACACCGTGCCTGGGCCTGCGCTGGCATTGGAGCCCGAGGCCTCATGAAGTTTCTCCAAGACTCGGCCCCGAAGGCCGTCAAAGAGCAGCCCAGTCAGGACTGGGCAAGCCGTGAGAAATGCCACGCTCTTGCTTGTGCCCTGCTGGTGTTTGGGCAATTGAGGCTGCATACACGGGTCGGACGGTGGCCATCGATGCCAGCATGCAAGCTGCCCAGCTTCTAATGCACGACCTGAGGGTGGAGACTTTGAGTTGCTGAGGTGTCTCTATCAGTTCTTGATAATGATCAGAGAGAACAGGTCGGGAACGTGCGCCGCTGCCTGGTGGCTACTCTTGCTGTGATGAGTCCTACGTCGGTTCGTACAAGGAGCAATTTGCACAGGTACAACAATCTCACAAACGAGGAGGGACAGGACCGCAGTCGAAGCAGTGGTGTCATGCCCACTTAATTCATCCGCAGTAGCCGGTCAGGTTACATCTCACATTATTGGAATGCTTACGCGCACGATTCGATTGATGGAGCCGAAGGCTTACAAAGTGTACGCCAGTGTACGCAGTTCCCTGCACCTACGAGATCGCTCCTGCAGAAGCGATCCGCCTTGCAGACGAACACTTCAATACCGAAGCGACATCCAACAGTCCCGAGCATGGAAGCTCAGGAGTGGGATCAAGCCCGTCTACGTCTTCGATGGCAAACCTCCTGAGATGAAGTTGCTGGACATCCGGCTCAGGGGGCATGTCCGTACCGCCGCACCGTGCACTCCCAGCCAATGCAACAAGTAGCGGGTAGCGCCGGTCTTGCGCGAGTTCACAGCTGAGAGAGGAGCTCGAGCAGCGCAGGGCCAAGCGCCAGGAAGCCCAAGCCAATCTGCAGGCGGGAGGTTTTTGTAGTTCCCGGCCAAAGGGCCTATAGGTAGTGGTCAAGCCGTCTTCGCTTGGGACGAACTTGCTTGCAGCAGGTCAATAGAGTGGCGAGCTGGCAGACTCTCCAAGTTTGAGATGCTATGGAACGGCATGTAGGAGATTTGCGTGACAGGCAGCCATGGAGGCTGGCGACTCCGAGCAGATCTTGAAGAGCACCAAGGTCTTGCGTCCCAGCAGTAACATGCGCAGCAGACGGAGATTCGGTGCTGCAGACAGCTTAGCAGTTCGCTTATGAAAATAGTTTTCATGGTTCTGGTAAGCAAGCATCGCTTATGTTCCTCGGGCTAAATGTCAGTTTATGTGAGTTGCAGCCCGATTGGTCGACAGCATAGGCTGCTAGCCTTCCATCGAAATCACCGCGCAGATTGCTCATGTACATTTCTTACGAGTGCATGTGGGAATGAAAATGTCGCTTGAATGCGGTGAGATGCGGTGAGTGCGCTGGGTTCGGAGCCGAAGCGTTTTGGCTTTGGTACAGCAGTGCAAGGCGACGGTGAAGGTCACCAAAGAGCAGAACGAGGAGAACAGGGAATGACAGGGAGCATGAAAGTACGTGGCAGAAGAGTATCCGCAGGAAACCAAGAAACTGCTCCGGCTCATGGGTGTTCCCGTCGTGGTCTCCTGAGATCGGGAGCACCAAAAAGCTGAGCAGCCTCAGCACCAGGAGAGACGCAGCTGGCGCAGAAGCCCATGAGTTGCTTCCCAGGTAGATGCCCCCAGCGAAGCCGAGGCGCGCAAGCCTTAGATGCAGCTGTGCCTCAAGACAGCCTCGACGAGAGCTGACTCTGGCAAGACAGCGCTGCCTAATGTCTATGTTTAGGTAGCATGGTGAAAATTCTATAGTCAGTGCGCTTTCGAGCGCCCTAGCATGCTCACAGAGGTCAGACCCAGTACCATCCACAGCTGAGGACCTGCGCCGCTCTCTGCCGCGACGGCAAGGTCTTTGCAGCTGCCACAGAGGCAGCTGCCAGCGAATGCGCGGATTAGGATGTAGCAGTTGTTCTACACAAGTCACATACGGACGCGCGTTAGAAACTGTCCTTGTCTTAGTTGCCTTGGCGTGCAGCAGCGGTGCTTACCGGCAGCATGTTGCGCAGGACGCGGACTGCTTGACATTCGGCACCAAGATCCTTGTAAGGCCGCAGTCTATCCGTTTCTGATGTCTATGACCGCATACGCATCCGTGCCTGCGCTTGCAGGAACCTGATGGCAGCAGAGTCGCAGAAAAAAACCATTCTTGAGGCACGTGTGAGATTCGAAGACTTGCTGTGCATCGATCTACAGATTCGACTTGAATGTGTTGCACGGCTCAATAAAGTGTTGGCCACCAGGTCAATCTGGCGCTTGTGCTGGAGCAGTGCCTTGGCTTGCAAACAACATGAATTTGGAATGTCAGCATCAGCCAAAGCCCAAAGCCAAGTGAAGGTTGAACATCACCATGGACCAGTTCATTGACTTCTGTATTCTCTGTGGTTGCGACTACTGCGACACATTGAAGGGTGTCGGTCGCAACCCCATGCCAAACCTGTGTGGCAGCTGTGCCAAAGCCAGCTTGAATGCAAGCAGCTGTTCGACGTGTCCCAGGTCCCAGCACGGCAATCAAGCTTCTCATGCAGCACGGGACGCTCGAGAAGGCAAACGGTGGTCGCCCCCGATCGAGATCGAATTTCGATCCTCGAGTCTCAGGTCCTCGAAGCTTTGGGGTCCGGTGCCTGCAGTGCCTGAGCCGGCTCCTTCAAGTCGCAGGTCGCTCGCTTTTTTGGCCGAGGCCCGAGAAGGTTCCAGCCAACTTTCGCTTTGAGGCCGGGCAGCCTTTGGATGAAGCTGGGGAGTTCTCTCTGTTCTTTCCCTTGAGATTCAATCTCAGCACTGCTTCAACACGGCAAACATTGGGGGTGCTCCAGGCTGCTCGGATGTTCTTCAAGGAGTGCGAGGTGCGACAGATCGTTTCCAAAGCAGGGATCCTTAGCGATTGAATCATACTTCGGAACCCAGTATGAAGAGAAAGTCGGTTCAATGTGTCACAGTGTCAGACAGGAACAAGTGCTCTTCTAACCCAAGAGAACGGTGAAGGTGATTGTCGCAGCACGAAGAGGAAGAAGGAATCCCGCTTTTTCTTTTCTATGAAGACACGATTAAGGACCAGAGGGCACTGAAGATTGCCTTTGCAGCCCAGGATTCGACCCGTGAAGCAAACAACAAACAAGCTGTAGTTCAGTCTCATCACCATCGTTTTGAAACTGTGGCCTTTTCTCTTGTACTACTCTTGATAATGGTGTTGGCTCGACTGCGGGCACTTCCAATGCTAATCCTGTCGCCAATGGTACAACGGTTACCTACCGTAAGTGATTTTCTTGGTATCACTACCGCCATTCTGATGACTTTCCGACACTTTAGCTGTCATCTGGATTTTCATAGCTCTTGCTGTTACTCCATAAGGCTAACGTTACTGTACTCATCACTGCCGTTACTACAGAACAATCTTGCTTTTGTGGTGGTTGTTCAGGTAACATGACTGAAGCAGAGTGTTAACTAAAACTATCCTTGCAGCACAGGCGGTGGACACTGCCAGCTGCGAATTCACCTTTGAGGAGCCCGACATCGAGGGCTTGACGAAGTTTCTGGTGGAGGAGCCGGGCCCCGGCTGAAAGTCCATTCTCTCACGTCGCACGACTCGCACGACCACACTTCAGATCTTCAGATCTGGCTCGAGCCAGTCGAAACTTCAAAAGACCCTCGTCGGCTCAACTCGACCGAGACAGGACTGCTCCTTCAGCAAAGAACGGGTGGAGCGCTACGTGGAGCGACTGAAGAACTCGAAGCCATATCCTCGGCGGCTGTGGAGTGTTTGTGGGTTTTTGCTTCAAGAGTTTGCATGCTTCGGATTCTCGGCAATGGATCGCGATTGAGAATTCAGTTCTTTAGTCGGGGGTTGGGGAGTTCCGGGCATGAGAGAGATGGAACTGGAAAACAAGAAGCTGATCGTCACGCTGGCAGTTGAAATGCTGGGCCTCGTCGAGTTTGGACTGGTCTCCCTGTTCGCAGGAACAGGACCAAGCAGAGACCCTTGGACATGTTCTTCGGCGCCTCAAAGGCCAGCATCTCGCTTCTGGGTCGCCAAAGCTTTCAATGATTAAATGATTGCGAAATGCGTATGATCACGAAAGCTTGTGGAGCGGGGCTTCAGTTCAGTCTGCTTTAGCAGCCAGGGAGGGGCAGGCCACGCAGTTGAGCACTGTGTGGGGCGGGGCGGTGGGGCTGGTGGTCGCGGTGGGGCCTGGGGGGGTTGGGCTCGAATTAAACTACTGTACACTACTTGTTCAAAATGGCATAGGAGGCATTAAATTACCAATAAACTCCTGTAAGCACTGTGAAGCGAGGCTGGAGCAAGAGGGGGCTGGAAGGAGTGCTTGGGCACGGCCCGGGTCTGTGGGGCCGAGCCGGTGAACGCTGTGGGGTCGGGAGGGTTGGGCATGCCTTGGGCTCAAATTAAACTACCGATAAAATCCTATCAGGATGCTGTGCAGCCGGGGGGATTGGGCATGGGTGCTGTGGGGCGTGTGAGGTTGAGTTAAGCTCAAAAATTATGCTGCAAGAACGAGAACGGAGGTGGTCACGCAGGGCTGGGAGCTTGGCAATTGCAGCTTGAGCACTGTTGGGCATGAAAACCCGGCCGGTAGAACACAGCTTCTGGGCACCGCCCCCACAGGGGTCGACGGATTATTTAGAATGCATGCACAGTTTCCCGAAGGATGTTCAGACTTGTTTTTGGCTGGATAATGTTGGTGATGATTGTCGTGACGAAACTGAGGTGAAGGAAGGACTCCAAGTATGCCAGACAAGGAATGGCATACACAGCAGAATGACATGATCCGTATGGGGTAGTGTTTCTGCCCCGAATTACGGCAAACACACAGGAATGACGTAGCACGGAAATAACAAGGAGGATGAACGAAGATGCAAAAGGATCCGTCAGCTGCCCACGTCGGGGCCCAGGGCGGGTACCTGCAGGTGCGTTTGCTTGGAGCGTGGAGGAGAGTTTCGTTGGCCAGAGCTTCTGCACAACCGCTCCGCCCCACTGCAAGCAAAATGAACGAGTAAGAAAAGAGAGTGACCCCCATAGCCCATGAACGAGTGCAGCACACACACACACACACACACACACACACGCACACGGGTGCAAAATGACCGCAATGTGGCATAAAAGCACCAATATTCGTTTGTCAAACAAAGTAAGCAAGTTTAAAATCCTGTTGAAAGTACATGTTTTGTCAATGCACGGAGTAACCAGCTGGGTAGCTGCAGCAAGTCCGCACATTGTTGATCCAGCATTCATTGTCATGGCTCCAGCTTCCTGTCACGATGTTAAGCAAGATGCCTCTTCCTCATGCCAGGTGCAGATCAAAGAGTCAGACAAGCAGCTACCCCAGTCCACCACGGTTGAGCTTGTGGGCTCGATGCTTTATCTCTTGGAGGTTTGATCCGAACAAGAAGAAGGGTGGTGCGAAGGCTTCGCACACAGATCCTTGACGATGCCAGTGTAGACCAAAAGCTGGCACCAGACCCCAGTGCCCACCGTGCATCTGGCCCTTTCCGTCTTCTTCACCTTTGCAGGCTGCTGCCAAGGCCGGCACCAAGCGCCCTGCTGCTCCGGCCGGCGGCGCGGCAAAGCGCGGCAAGAGGCTCGCATAGGGGAATTCAGCATGGCAGCGACGGGAGAAGTACGACTTCACTCCTTCACCACCGCCTGCTGTGAGTTTTCATTGAGCCGGCATTCGAGCAATTATGCAAACGGATGCAAAAAGCACCTCATTTTGCTTGGACTTGCACACCTCCTGACCGCCATGCAAGGTAAGCCTGATTGCCAACGTGACCAGTGAGGAACGTGATGCACACGTTCTTGGGGCTTTTCGGGGTAAGCGCCGCTTTGTGCCCCCACGTTTCAACAATGTGGTGTCAGATGCGCATGCCAGGTTGCATGCACTACAGAAGGCATCTCACAGGCGGTGCGTTAGGTGTAGGATTCTTCAGGCAATGCAGCAATGGGCAATCCGTTGCCTGCAGTTTCATTGTCGGGATGCGCCAGGTCATGCAGATCTGTTTGCCAGGCAGTATTTAAACCTCGTGGCCTTTGACGCACCCGATGTTAGCTGGCACTTTAGGGCTTGGTAGGCGGGGATGGGGTGTTGCCTGTGCAGTGCGAGAAAACCAATTGTCACAGAGAAGTGCCTGCTCTTCTTGTCGTTTCTGTGTTTCTGTCTCCAAGGCTTCGATGAAGGCGTTGATGAGAAGCAGAGAACAAGACCATCCAGCAGATAATGTGATGAATCATGCCATGCCCACCTCCCCACGGATACATACTGGGTTCGCTTCAATATATGTGACCGTTACTGCAGGCAGTTCTCGAAGTGTGCTGTCGCAGTAGCATGATGCATGTTGACATTTTACTTCGTTGCATGTCTCAACGACAGGGCAGCGAAAGCAGTTCTTTTGACCACCACGACAGGGCTCAAGACCAAATGACCGTTGTTTGGCGCAGAGGTGGATGTCAACGACCCGGAGACGTACGCATTGTTGCGCAACGTCAACCGCGACGACTGCCAGTGCTCTTTTCAGCTGAGGTTATTAGCCAGAATCTTGTGTGTCCATACTTCGCCGTGGGCACCCCGATTGCATACGCCCCCTAGCGCAAGCTCCGTAAGAGGAACCATTGCTAGGCGGGACATCTCACAGGCTTGGCATCTGAAGACAGTTAATCCAAAGACCCTCGTTTTCGAGTATAGACAAAACAAACTTACAAGGGCATCCGCAGTTGGAATATGCGTTGGAAAATGTGCAACATGATAGTCGCACTGTGCAAAAAAGTGTTGCGAATACAACAGTGGCCTACTGCCGGCATTCCCCACACATTCCAGAGTCATAGAGCACGAAAAGGCCATCAAATGCACAACCACACCCCTGCAGGAGCCCGTCAGAAGATTGCGGAAGGAGCTCTTCCGAGCTCAGCAATGGGTCAAGGCTCGCCTCGCTGCGTCACTTTGTGCCTTGCTTTGTCAGAAGTGTTGCGAAATCGCGCTTGGCGACAGTACACGACCGAAGACTACAGTGCGGCGGACACGGAGTACGACCGGGTCAGACGAGCACTTGACGAGGAGTCCGAGTGCGCATGAGCGCAGCTTCGCATACCGTGAGCCCCGAGCCTTTGATTTTGGTTGGGTGACACCGGCCAGGAGGACTCTCAGTTCCTTCTGCTGTCGAGGCACAGACATCACAACCTTGCAACAGCTATTGACAGCCGGTTGCCTCGAAGGTTTGACGGTCGCGTCCCCACTGCGTCCGTGCGCACTGCCCGCCGCAACCTCCAAGCAATCGTCGATGCATTAGGCACCTGCTGGTGGTCAAGTGGATTGTTGAGTAAGACAGGCTCTTGGGGCACGTTCATGTTTCAAGCATCTATCACAGGAGTTCGCAAGGCTCGACAACTGGATAAAAAGGACAGGAGAAGTACCCTCCCTATCTGACCACATCACCTGATCGGTGATTCTGCTTTTCGCCAGTGCCCAACCGGGCGTTGTGACAGCCCGCGCCCTTCCACCTTCAAACAGCTGTAAAAACATCCTTCAGAGATTCGCCTGTGTCAGACGATCTTTTGGCGCTGGTGCCCACGGCTGACCAAGAGGCCTTCTTCAGAGATGCGCATGTGTTGACATGCCCGAAGATGCTTCTACTGCAGGCAGCAAAGACTGTGGCGGAGAGCAGGGTGATTCCAACAGCCAAGTCAGCCTGGCAAGGTTCACGTTGGCCGGAAACATGCGTTCGGCAACAAGAGCCAATAAGTCGACATAGTTGCGCAGCTGGCTCAATTCTTGTCATTTGTACTGGTTGCCTCACTTAGCCTGGTTCTTGGGCACAGATGGCAGAGCTATCGATTCGAAGGCGGACTCGTCGCCTCGGGGTTGCTTTGCTGCTGTGCTCACTGTTGCTTGCCCACGGGCCTGCTGCACTTGGCCTAAGCTCAACCTCAAGCGCCGGGGCTGCCATCGAAAGAGCCGGTGGTTTGCGGATCATGTTGGGGTCGGCAGCCATTGGTGCCATCGCAGGCGGGCTGACCCTGACAAATCTGCCCATTATCAGCACTTTCAGTATCCCAATCGGCGCTGGGGCTGGGATTTGGTGTGCACAGTTGCCCGAAGATGCCCCTCTCGCAAAAGCCGGTGACATTTGCCGGTCCCTCGGACATGCAGCTACGGTCTTCTTCAAAGAGTTCCAGTCCGAGTACAAGAAGCAGTCCGACACCTGAGGGAGATGTGCTGGGTAATGATTATGGTACAGGCTATGCCAAAGAGCAGCGATAGGGTTTCACCCAGAGGGAGGTCGGCTCGGAACAGATTCGCAATGAGCCTGATAGGTGAAAGAAGCGCTCGCTGTTTGTCGGAGTTGCCACACATCCGTTCCTGTCAGTTTGCAGCGAGCTGATGTTTTTGGCAAGCTCGGTGCATTCAGCATGCATTTTATGACAGGCTGCCCCTTCGTGCTCGGAAGCCGCAGAATGCCACCAACGCCACAAGCACGTTCCCCAAATTGACAGCTTCTTCACGCAGCTTGCTGGTGTTGTCAATGCACAGTGGCCAGCGTACATTGATGCAAGCTTCTGCTGGAGCTTACGATAGCTGGGGAAGGTCACCTGAGGTCGGTGGATTGATCGTACAAGACTGAAACAGCGAGTGGCGCCATCCCGGCACAGCTCAACGAAGTCCAGTCAGGCCATTGCTCGAAGGAGTCCAGCAAGGGCCATGGGCATGAAGAGCCTGGAAAGACTTTGACACAGTGTTGCTGGAGCTGCGAATTGTCCCTTCCAGCACAAGTTGGTCCACACTAATCCCATGCTAATCCAGCGCGGCCTTTGCAACCAGGACGAGATGTCGCACGCATGTCAGGAACGCGCGTAGCCAGAGCACTGTTCAAGTTTGAGCCAACTGTCATGCCATCTTTAAGCAAAGGTGCTGCTGCCCCAAATGAAAGCACTCGTCTCAGCTCTCTGCAACGGAATAACAAAGGCAGTCACCATTCACTCTTCAACTTGTGGCCGAGGCAAAGAAAAGGACGACGACAAGAGCACCCCCAGCAACAGTTCGAGCCCCAGCTTGTCACGTTTGGACTATGTCTGGGGCTGCACAAGACAGCAAGGTGTGAACCTGGGCAATGCATCGTCCATCCCGTTTGGAAGCATGGCAATGGATACGAGATCTGATTGAGCCAAGGGGCAAGAGCCTGAAGCTTTACAAGTTGTAGCTCGTGCCTGCTGGATGCCACAACCGCTTCCCAGGCATGCGGACAGCATGTCATAGAGTGCAAGGTCAATAAATTGGGAAACGATCCGCACTTGATGGGATACACATGCCTCCCAGGCAGCACGTGGCAGGCAGTCCGCAGGCCGTTGCGGAGATCACCCGCAACGGGTGCTTTTCTCCCAATCAAATGCACTGCTGTAGCCACTTGTGCTCGCAGGGGTATAGTCAGCTGTTTAACCGTTAGAGTCTTTAGCAGTCCTTCACTGACGCAATGCTGACTCCAATAAGATGCACCTTTCGGGGTGCTCGTTGTGCACCTGTCATCTCAACAGCAAAACGATATAGGCTCTGATCCTTGACATCACAACGAGCTACTAAGATACAATTTTCGACACTCTGAAGATCAGAGCTTTCACCGATCAGCGCGGTCTCCAAAATTGAGGGAAGGCCGAGGCGAACGGCTCAGGCCAAGTGATCAGGAAACTGCTCCAGGTATCATGTCTCAATGTCTATCAACTACGCTTGGAAACTAGAATGGTTGAGACTCCTGCTTTCCACTTCCCCACTCGCCTTTTGCATATGTGAGAAGCCGTTCCCCGGAACATGAATCTCCTCTCTCCGAGAAGGCATTGTATTTCTGCAGCCACTTGCTTAGTCCATCCCAGACTTTTCGCTTGCACTAGTAAGCAAGCCCAGCTCAGGAATTTTAGAACGGGCACCCGGCCCGAATCGTGTAAAGGGTGCACCGACTGCTTTGGCAAGACTGCATCCTGATCGAATCATCTGCGAGTTCCGTGAGTGTGTTGAAATTAAATCTCAAGCGACTTCAACACTGGAGCTTCGAAACCAGCCTCTCTGTGGACTTTGATGAGGCAAGCATTTATCCGCTACGTACGTTCTGAGCAGCTCGAAGAAACTCTCAGCAACAGCGGCTCGATGAGCTTAGCTGCCAGCCAAGCTTTCCGGTTTGAGGTCCTGAAGTCGGCATTAATCGGTCACATTCCCGTCCCTTCTCGTTCCAACCGTTCAACTTGGACCATGAAAGCTGCTGCCATGTTCGCGCTGGCGTTGCTGGCGATTCTCGGCGTGATCACCTCGTTAAGGGCTCTGTCCAACGACCGGCAGATGCTTCTGCAGAAGACAGAGGAATTGACCGCCTCCCTCCAGGCACAGGGCTTTAGACAGCTTTGATGCTGAGCCATACCTCTGCAGCCCCAGGATCTCAAAGAGGAGATTCGGCAGCAGTCCGCTTCGGGCACTCCGATCTCAAGTTTAGAAAGGCTTGATGGCCGTGACACGTCTCTGACACAGAAGATGACTGACTCCGGGACAGCGGGCGAGATTCCTGTAGCAACGTCTTCGGCCGCTGCTGCTGAGAGACCTGGAGTTGCAGAAGCGGTCGTGCAGGATTGGCCTCCCAAGGCATCTCGGTGACCTATGGCTGTCGACAACAACATGAGCTCTGCACCGATCCATGCTTTCGACTACGCGTCATGAAGTCCTCCCTCTGAGCATCTTCTCTTCCTCTTGTCATGCTCAAGAACGCAGCGTCATTGCAAAATAGTCTCGTCACCAAGTAGTAAGCAGCAACGTCGCCGAAAGAAATGGTGTACACTGTACTAGTTACTGACGGGTTGCTCTGATTGCGGTTCAGCTGAGCCCAGGCTTGCACCCATCCCGAAGGAGCGGTGCTGTTCTTCTGTGAGCGGCCCGCCCGAAAGGCATGCCCGGGAAACACGGTTTAGGCAGTTTGGGTTCAGGGGTGCTTCTAAGTGTAACACTGTGGTGACCGTTTCACTACCACATCAGAGATATCAACACTCAGCATATGCTTTTATCAACTGCCGAGAAATTTGCACATGTACAGCTTCGAACCGAAAAGTCTGACGAGTACTCTAGCAACGGGATGAACGTGCGCTGGATGTTGCACCCGTTGAAGACCCTGACATTGTTGTCTGTTGAAGTTATCTGTCGGCAAGAAGCAACCGTGTCTGTTGATGGCTCCCTGTCGCTTTCTACGTACTTATGTACATGTGAGACATAAGTTCTGTTTAAAAGACTACACTACTCTACATACACTTCACTATGTGTATATATATATATGTATACATATACACATATGTATATATATATATATATGTATATTTATGTATTTAGTTATGTATACATATATATATATATGTACGTACACATGTACACACACACTTATGCTCTCTCTCTCTCTCTCTCTCTCTCTCTCTAGATAACCATATACACACGTATGTACGTGTATGTGGAGAGCGGTCGACTGTGGGGCCTGGGTTTGGTTTTAGACCTTTTTATCGTTTCAAGGTTAATAGCTCCAAATTGCAGGAGCTCGTGTTTGTGTGGCATGTAAAGCATACACTACAAAGGCAAGCATCATAAGTGTCTTTTGGAACGGCCTATTCGGGCTGTGCAAATTCGCCCTCCAACACACGCCGTGTGTAGGTTGAACACTGAATTCGGGTTCTTGCGCCACAGATCTTACTCGCAGAGAACTCTGTAAATGCCGGTGATTTTAAGACTCTCTAAAGAACGTTTTAGGGTATGCTACATAAGATCGACAGTTTCCTTATGCAGCTCTGAACCTCTGGCCTTTAAGACTTTGGAATGGCTACCCAAAGCAAGCCTAGCCAACACCATCCAACACCGTTGTTGGTAACAATGTTTGAGAACGCGAAGGTTGTCATTCAGCCTAATTAGCTGTCGAATTGCCTAGGGTTAACTAAATGTGCATTCACATACGGGCCCTCGTTTTGCACGCTGAAGCAAAGTAAAGATGTGAGCATGTGAGCGGTTTCAGCCTATGTATCTAGATATAAGATGACCAAGGACAAACTGAAAGGGATGAAGATAAGGTTCTTGTCCGAGACTGGAATCCTACTTGTGTTGTTCGAAATAGCCAGTATTTGGGTCGACATCGTTTGGATCTATGAAAATGCTGCACTAGCTGCACTAGATACCGGGTAGGTTCCAAGCCATGTGGGATCGTCCTCCTACAGTTCCTGAAATCGGTATGGTCCAGGCCATTGTGCGCTCTCCATCCTTACACCTAGCCTTACCAGAAATTTTGTTTAGTTGAAATACTGTTCACGAACATCTTGTGGTTTTGATTTGAGGAGCCTGGACGTTTCAGCCGCACGTTGCTGCAGTGCGTTTATTTCTGTATACAAAAAGGAAAAACCACGGGCCCGACATCTGTTGCGCTTAAGCAACCCGTATGTTTTCCTCTATTAACAACAAGTTTTGTGAGCAGCACTTAAAAGTTGAGGGTTGGTGTCTATTGGGAATGGCTGCGCGCGCGTCTCGGGCGGATGGTGGATTAGTCGGCGGGTGTCCGTTGCAGTGAAAATGCTGGTGGTGAAGGGGGAGTCGCCAGGTCCTGGATGCAGCCCCATCATACCAAGACCTCTGGCGCCCCCCCCTCGGAAATAGCCCCTACTACAACCGAAACCCCGATACCACAAAGAAGAAGCCCTATACTGCAGCCATTGTTTAGCATAGGGTTGTGTGAATAGTATTCCGTTGTTAGGGGTCTGCTGGAGCCTTGTGTAGCGTTGTCGAATGTTTAGCAGGGTCTAAGCTCAGGAAGTTTTTTAGGGCATCCTTAGAGCTTTTCGAGGGTTGTTAAGGCATTCGTGCAAGTTCTACGAGTACTACGATTACTACTACTACTACTACTACTACTACTACTACTACTACTACTACTACTACTACTACTACTACTACTACTACTACTAGTACTACTACTACTACTACTACTACTACTACTACTACTACTACTGCTACTGCTACTACTACTACTACTCCTACTGCAGCGCTTCTCTTCCAACACCGCAACTCCCGCCTTCCAACATCCTTTGCGCCCCAGGTGGCTGCAGCGTTTGATTTGTGGAAGGAGGGCTCGCAGCTTCTGGGCCAGGCAGACTTCGTTGAGTTCTTGTCTCGATGCCAAAGGGCGGACGCTTGGACGCCGAAGTTCCCTTCTCTGGCAGACTGGAACGTGCGATGTTGGATCCGTTGATGTTTTCGGTGGCCGGCCCTCTCCCGAAACTCCAGCCTCGAGACATGCTGAAAGATCAGTCCTTGCTTGAATGTGGCTTTGCGAACACACTTCCACAATCGCAGGTAATTACTCACAGGAGCTAAGCTACTCCGCAGCGGCAATGGTGTGGAGATTTCCAATATCACAGATGCCAAAGGACAACCCCAACTTCAAGCTCTAGAACTTAACCCGATGAGCCCTGCTCGGCTCCGGCCTGTGCAAGTAGAAATGCAGCCTTGTGAATACAATATTCAATTCGTTTGCATCAGTATGTAAGTCTATGTGTACACACGTTTACAAACGGTATGCTTTTATGTACAGACGCACAGGCAACCCCACACACACACACACCATGAGAGATTGTGGATAGTCGTTATGGCCGTGACCACCATGACAGTACCGGTGCCAAGATCAGCCCCTTCGTCGTCAGCATAACCATCAGTGTTTGCCACGTTTTCCGATGCTCGGGAGCCGAACGTTTGAGAAGTCTCAGGGCCTGGGACCTAGGTTCCAAGGGAACTCGAACGTAGAAGCTAAAGCGGCAAACAGCACAGCCACGGCGAAGGCAGCAAGCACACCCTGAATCCCTGGACCCAAACCTCTTGCCCAAGGAGTCGGTCCTGGCCGGTTCTCGAGTGAAGATTTGGTCGGACAGCCGTGATCGCAAGGGCTTCAAGGGGGCCATGGCAGAGCAGGCCGGCCGTCATGCGACAGCTCTTGAAACAGTTAGGGCAAGACAATGTGAGGCGCGGAGGTTCATCATCCCCAGCTGGAAAGTTCAAAATGGGGAAAGATGCAAGAGATCAGAAGAATTAACCATCTTTTCGCTTTTAGGCATCACTCCGACCCTGGAGGTTAGGGATGTGTATGGCCTGTCCAAGTTGGTGAAACCGTCCTGGGGCGACGACACATGGATATTGGACGTTGGTGGCAACTTGGGCATCACAGCCATTCATCTGCACATACGGGCACCCAAGTGCAAACTGCTTACCCTGGAACCGAGCCCATGGAACTACATCTTGCTGCGGCTGAACCTGCTGCAGCAGCCGGATGCATTTTAACAGATTGTTCAGTTATGTTGTCGTTGAGCATAGTCATAGTGGCACAGGGATTCGAAGCGTCACCAATCTGAAGAGGCATCCAGTACATTACCCAGGATCAAATTCGAACTTCCCGCTTCATGTCTCGAAAGTGAGGAAAAATGTGCTTCAGGCGGGGACTCCCACCTCTGTGAAGCAAAGCCAATCAACGCCAGAAATGCACGTCCAAGATCGGCTGGTCTGGTGTCAAAGCGAGTCGTACTTGCTATTGTACACGAGAAAGCCACTCACTCTGCTTAATTCAGCTGAATTATGTATCTGGCCGTGAACATCACACTACTTTGCAGGTTCGAATAGCTTCTGTACTTCCAAGTAAGTTGAGTAAATTGAGACAAACAGGCACACGAGCTCTTTAGTTCTTTTCCCCTTCTGACAGTTGAGCGTCCATTGTAGATCTTTCGTCCTAGCACGCAAGTTCTCAGTTTTCAGAATATAGCGGCTCCTTGCAACTACGCGTCTGACACGGAAGAAGTCTCTGGCTGTCTAGCAACGTGCGCATTGAGTACAGGGTGTTGGAAAAGTGGCATGTCATTGAACCTGCGGAGGTTTTCGTATTTCCACATTGGATGTTTGGATGTTTGAGCTTGGCGGCATGTTTGCACACCTGAAGTACGAAAACACCTCAGACCCAAAAGACACAAAGCGTGCACCTGAGACGATCTACATCCAGAACTGCCATGGCACATGTGTTTCGGTCCGAATTTCCGTTCTTGTTTTTCGCAAGCCCAGCAAGCAGAGTAGCTTTACCGAGAACTCAATACATCTAATATCTGCAGATGATGCCAATGCTCTGTCGGCACTTAGGGCCCACACCGTAGATCCTTGAATTATGAAGGTTTCAACGGCGGTCTTGCAAAAACGTCGATGGGACGAGGTAAAAGCCGTTGGCTTTGCGTTGCACAGCTTTTGTGGGTTTGACAAAGTTCAGTTCTTGACCCTGGAAACCAAATTGCCTTTCTCACGCACTCTTTGTGCTCGCACAAGCCGGTCAAGACCGAGGAACTTGGAAGCTGCTGGTCAGACCGTGTTCGCTTTGCATGGCGGCTTCTCTGCAACGCCCGGCACCTTGCATGGAACCCACATGTTCACGAACGCATGGGGCTCCAGGAACGATGACATCTTCCAGCCCCACAGGTCCATCAAAGGAGAGTTGAGCAAGCATGAGCTTGGTCACTTTACAGCTCCTCTTCGGACACTAGAGGAAGTTAAGACGAATTATGGGATCAAGCATATCAGGCTGATGAAGCTTGATTGCGAAGGTTGCGAGTGGACGGTGGGCTTGAGCATGATGCACAACGGCGATTGGAAGATGGTGGACATGCTGTTTGGCGAACTACACGCGCTCTGTCAGAACGATGTGTCAGATGCAGCTGAATGCCTGCCGAGAAACGTCTCCACAACGGCAGGAAGAGATCTATGGTATTTTTTGTGCGAAGCCCGAAAGTTCCCCTTGGAGTGGGGTTGTGAAGAGCCCCGCTTTGCTGGACTCGGTGCCTCGGACTGCAGGAGTGTTTGAGCAGAGTAGAGACCCTAAGGCCCTAACAGATCCTAACAGATCCCACTCCGCCTCGCCGCCTCGCCTACACTTCAGGTCGAGAGGTGGCCTCGAGTCTGGCAGCCCGGATCTGCGGAAGCTCCGACACCAAAGCCTGGCAGTGCGCCTGGGCCAAGAAGCTCTGTAAAGACCAGGGCCGGAAAGCTCCTCATTGCCACACGGCATAATGGGCTTAGTTCATGTGGGTTGGAGGTTTCAGTGACACCATCCCTGCAGCCGATTGCTGCATTGCTTGAGCATGACAACTCGACCTCCATTGCGGACTGTGCCAGCAAGCTCTGCGAGATGAGTGCCAATCATTTCGTCCCGGCCGTCACCTTTCGACACGAACCTGACCGCGAACCTGACGCAGCAGCAGGCAATTCTTTTCAAGAGCCGGCGGGTCGAATCTGCTGCTTGCAGACTCCGAGCCTGCTTGAGACTGATTGAGTGACGAATTGTGGTATCGGCTGCAGGGCTTGAAGTCAGCGAAGCGTTTTCCAAATTCAAGATCTCGGGTTGATGTGGGAGAAGACTTTGGAGTTCGGGGTTATGAGGGTTCAGAACAGTTTGGGCTGCAAAGGCTTGATTGTCGGTTTCGATTCCCATTCCCAAATATATACGACTACTGATATTGATGGAAAGGCTGGATCATCCCAATGGTTCATTGCTATCTAGTATGAACTTCATCATTTAGGCTCATCGAAGCACTTTTCTTGCTTAAACGCACGTATAGAGAAACGTGAACAATCACGGAATCAGCACTCGATGTGTAGATACGAGTGTATGTATGTGTGCATATATCTTTATCTCTATATTATAAATATATCTATATGTATATACGGTTGTCTTTGTCATTTCCTCATGTAGTAGTTAATGAAATCTTGTATGTTATATTTTAACTTTCTTTATTACCCACATCACTGTTTTGCTTTTAAGCAGCCATCCTCATCACCTATCCATGGATGGATTAGCCCGGGGGTTGGTTCCTCCTCACCCTTCATCTCCTCCGCCTCATACCGACGGCATATAACACACAAACACGCACAACAACACAAGCAGGACAACATACACACGCATACGCATACCACACACCAACATAACATACACCACACGACGCAACACAGCACGGCATGCCACACAACACGGGCACAACTACAGAAAAGCACATACATACATACTGACTGATTCGGCCAAGAGCAAGAAGAGGAGAGTATGTTGTATGTGGCGGTGGAACATGATGAAGTTGATGATGATGATGACAACGAAAATGAGATGAGAATCTTGTGCCAAGTATACCAGACCGAAGGAATG